GCTCACTGATGAGTTTCAAAAGCTGCAACAAGGTGAGACAGATTCTAGCCAAGAATTAGTACCAAGGAACGAAGAAGCCTATTGCTGACAATGACCAGATCTACAGACAACAGTAGCAGCGCGACAAAAACTTGAGGGGCAGAAACAGGAGAATACAGGAGTGAAGAATGTAGGGCTGCCCGCGCCTCACTCCCCTCTGCTCTGCTGCTCGATTGACAAGAGTGCTTGGTGCTAACAGGCTTGTGCGCGAGATAGGAATTCGCCTCAATGGATGAAGAGGAGACTATCTACAAACTTGTTGGACCGGTACTCCTGAAGCAAGAGAAGCAGGAGGCTGTGAGCACGATCAACGGTCGTTTAGATTTTATCGACAAAGAAATGTGAGTTGGCCAGACTGTTCCTAATCTGAAAATAGCCCTGCAAAACTGTCACATCGTCGGAAATCGAGAGAAGTGTACTGACTTTCTCCCAGCGCGAGACTCGAAGGCGTACTCAAGGAACAGCAGGAGAGTGCCGAGAAGAAGAAGATGGAGATCATTCAAGTCCAATCGGCTGCGCAGTCCGCGGCAGCTGAGGCTGGCAAGGGACAATAACCCCCCGCTGTCCAGCGTTCTTCACCTGGGATGACGGATTTTGGTGGGCTTCGAGGGGATGAGGTGATTTAAGCAAGGCTTTTTGTTAGCATTTTTGGACATTCATATCTCCGAAAGTCTCCCATGACGCGCCCAATAAAAATCCATTCAATCCAAGCTTGATGTCTCTGATATTGTCGCTTGCATTTAGAACCACGACGAGAACCATGAAGAGTGAAAGAATGGCCTCTAAATATGCACGTACTGAAAGAAGCAGAGCAAAGGCTTAGCGGGACTGCCTTATGCGTCTTACATGCATATCATTTCGTCATATCCAAATTGACTGATGGTGCCCCGCGGTACCTGTGGCTGTTGGAGGGGTCTGGCTGCTCCTTCCCCTGTATTTATTGTGTTGCCTGCTTTTTCTGTGCTTGAACGAATGTGCAACGCGCAATTTGCGTAGACGCGCCATCCTTTCCTCTAGGCAGACAGCTTCCAACTTCCTCTTGGCCCGTTGCCTTTCTGGAACCCTCTAGTCAGCCATCGCGTTTCTGCCAATTTGCGTGACTGCCATTAGCGCTTCAGGGCGGGAGCCAATTTCGCGACCCGGCAGCTAAGGGTATTTCCATATCTCAACTTTTCAATGCAGGCCTCAATATTCACGGATGACAGCTTAGATCGCTGGTGAATTGTCAAAATCAAGTACGAATGTTAGAAATGGAACTTACTCCTCTACGATAGGAAGGATTATCCTCTGACTTTGCTACAGGTATTGGCGGCCGCCTCACAACCATCTGCTATCAAGGTACATGAGTACCTGACGATTAGATAACGACAACGACCCTCAGCCTTGTTTTCCTGGGGAGCTCCATTGCCTCAGATTCAACGCGGATCACCAGTTTCCCCTCGCCCAGCTCCCCCCGCCATTATGGATTCTCGACCGTCGATGCAGCCTTCTCGCCCGCCAAAGGTGGTCGAGCTGACGGCACAGGCAGAAGACTTTGTATTCAAGCCTAATATTCCCTTGAAGCATTGGTCTCGAGCTGCCGAAACGCTGTACCAAGAGGCATGTGGCCCTGACGAGCATCACCCTCCCTCAACTGCCCCTCCAGGGTGACTGCTAACACGGTGCTTTTCATCCTCTTAGGCAAATTTTGCCCTCTCCGAAGGCGATATTGGTCGCGCCTATGTTATGCTATACCGCCACTCTCTCCTCGTCCTGAATTACCTACCGAGACACCCCGAGTACAAGACCCCTGAAGGCCGCAAAGCCTGTAGATCACTTTCGAAGCGCGTTGACAGTGTCCTCGAGGACCTCGAGGAACTGAAACCCGAAATTAATAATGCCTTCAAAGAATGGGAGCGAATGAGGCCTGCCGATGAGCCATCCAAGCGCCAACCACCTCCCGTCACAGATCGAAGGAGCTACGCCGAGTTTGCAGCCCGAGATCCCACCTTGAGTGGAAATGCCAGAATCCTTGATGCCTCGGAGCATCAGGACCTTGCCGTTGACCTCGCTAGGAGGGAGATCACACGCCGAGACACCGTCCGTCGAGCGACCAAGCAAGCTGGCCTGTCCGATGAGGAGACTTTGACGAGGCGGAGAGCTGGGCGGTGGGATGATTGGGACAGTTTTAGAACAAGCACCGTTGTACAGGATAACGACCTCCAGAGACAAATGGAGGCAGCGAGGAGGAACTTGGATTCTCCAGCGGCAGCGAGAGATATTCATCCTGTGGGATCCATCTCTCAACCAGTACCTCAAACGTACAACTACCCTTCCATCTCCAAGTCGAGGCCAGTAGGACTCGAATCCAGCGAGAAACCATTGTCGCCGGTATACGAACCACCCCCGACTACTCAGCCGGCACGACCACCCAAGCAGCCCCTACACATGGACGAGTATTCGGTCGCCAAACTCGACGGATCAGCCCCAATAATTCCCAGCAAGGTTGCTCTGGACGACTACCAACCTCTGATACCATCCCCGCAAGTAGGACCAGTGGTGCAACAGCCACCCGCTCGCCCACCAAAAGCAGAAATACCTGATGAGACGCCACCCATTCCTCGAAAAGAGCGCCTCACATTCAAGCCTGGAGCGTATCTCGAGAACGGCGACCCAATTCGATCCATTTTCCTGCCCCGAGCACTGCGTCGCGAGTTTCTCAAAGTTGCGGCAGACAACACACGTCGTGGTCTCGAGATGTGCGGAATTCTTTGCGGCACACCAGTCAATAATGCGCTGTTCATCCGCTGCCTCGTTATTCCTGATCAGAAATGTACCTCGGACACGTGCGAGACGGAAAACGAGTCGGCCATGTTTGATTATTGCGACAGTGAAGATTTGCTTATGATCGGATGGATTCATACACACCCCACCCAGACATGCTTTATGAGCTCACGAGATCTCCATACTCATGCAGGGTACCAGATCATGATGCCTGAAAGCATTGCTATCGTCTGCGCGCCGAAGTTCGAACCTTCGTGAGTGTTTCGTCCGAACACAATGGCTGAATCATTGACTAATATAAGCATAGGCATGGCATCTTCAGGCTAACAAACCCTCCTGGGTTGGAACACATCCTGCAGTGCAATCACACCGACACATTCCACCAGCACTCGGTTGACAACCTATATCGAGTGGCTGAACACCCTCAAGGGCACGTTTACGAGACCGACAAACTGCCATTTTACGTACACGATCTGCGCACAAAGTAGAACATCATGTCAATTCACAAGGAATGACAGATACAATTCACCACCACCACATTGGGAAGCATGGCTATGAGCAACCCACGCTCGTAATTGAAGTCGACGAATCTCTTTGACTGGGATTAGCATAGCGTTGGAATTTATCTATTAGACGTCCCGAAGGACAGCCATGTGAATTGAAAGAACAATACCCTGTTACTCGGCCCTTATGTCTCATGCGCCCCTGGTGGATGGGACGGGCATTCTTGCTCCCCACGACTTTGACTGAAAGAAGCTTTAGAGTTGCATACCTCCCCCCTCTGACATATTCGGATATTTGTTGCATGTATTCTGGATCGATCACATTACGCACGAACACGCAGGTGCAATTAACATCACACACTTCCACCCATCACCCATCTACACTCTTCACACATCTACTTCGACTACTCTTCTTAACTACGTACCTCTACCCGCGAGGCTGGTAGGTTTCGGCAGATGGGACATTACAATGGGATCCACCGAGGCAAGAGAGGATCAACATTCCAGGGGGGGTTGACGATCATCATGCTATTGACCGGCCAATTGGAGAGACTTCATGCTCCCGCACCATGTCCGCCCGGCACTTCGCGCGTTGTACGAGGACGCTGGGCATGCTCGATTGCCCGTTTCTCGATAGCTTGAGGGGATGTGGGGAGCTGGACACGGCGCCAGCACAGAACCCATGCGAGAGGGAGGGGGGTGTGAAGAAACGATTGGACAGCCAATGCGAACTTGCTCATTTCCAACCTCTCCCGGGGTCTCACGCTCCATGATGGATGTGAGATTCGGAAGACGACCAGGCATCCCAATCCCAGGGAGGATTGAGCATCGTCGGTTGGCGCCGTGGAGCAGGTTGGTGTGGCACTTGGTAGTGGCCACACGGGCAGGGTATTATTGGGGTGCCAGAGACGAAATGAGGGGACGCTACACTCGAAATGTCTTGAGACAAGACGTGTGTCTCAGTCGGCCTGCTGCTGTTTGCTTTTTCCCATTAGGCGGAGAGGAGAATTGCCCCGCATCATGTCTGATTTGTATTGATTCTGAAGAGCATGAGCCTGGGATGCGTTGCATTGTTCCCGCCCGCAGACATGTCGCCAGCCCATCAGATGCTGGCCAAATCTCCCGATCGACGTGGTATTCGTTCTGGCTAGCATGATCGGCCGAGATAATTCCCCAAGGGGCTTTTTGCTAACCCTCAGTCTGATTGGGAGAAAGAAGTACGAGGACGCGCGACACATCCTCTCATGCTCGACCCTAGCATGACGTGCAGGCTCGGGAACCTTGGGCACCTCACAAAACCGAAGAGGGTGAGACAATACCACGTAACTTGTGAGTGACCAAGCAAGACCTTTCCGACTGTACAATCGTCGTACATGTTAAGTCCGCGATCACACGACCCGGTCGCTGCATCACTGGGGTTTCTATGGCCGCCAGGCCTGATGTTCATAGGATGTTTGCCAAGACAGGATAGTCTTAGAGACATCCCGAATCAGAGTACCTGGGATCGGATTCAGCTGGCCACTTGGTCGGTGATGGCGTTGACACTAGCCAAAAACACCATTTTGGGTCGGCTTAGACTGCAGGCTCCATGCAACCATGCATCTGATGCTGGATGGAGAAGAGCACACCGGTACTACGTACTAATAGGTCGGTACGTTATGGCACTGATCCGCGTTTCGGTTGACCTGGTTGAACATGGGCCCAGCACTGCTTACCGCTCTCTCTCCTGGCCTGGTAAGATGGATGCTCATCTTGTCTGTCACAAAGCTCCCCCTTGCTCGTGGTTTCACGGAAGAGACCCGAGCAACGGAGCAACGCGAGCCTTGTCACGATTTCACGAGAGAGCTGCCGGGATGCCATGCGGGGGACAATGGTAAGCTGGTGGCCTCTCGCCCAACCTCTCAGCATGATGATGAGATGAGATCCACTGATCTGATCCACAACAGCAACCAGGATGAAGCTGGATGGATGATGGCCGGCCCGCTCCATTGGCTCCCGCCGTACCCTCTCAGTTCAGTGGCCTTTAAATTAATCCCCGGCCAGTCAGTTGAGCGTCCAGGAAGGGTCCACCAGCTCAATAGAGCGAAAGCTTTGCAGAGGTTCATGACGCTACGCCGTAACTACCGGAACGAGGCAACCCATCGACTCTCTTTGCCTGTATGTACGCACCAGGTGGGTGCCTGGATACGCTGCTCGCTGCTATACCGCCCTCTCACCTCCGCCGGTCGAACCAGCCGGGTTCAGCTGGCTGTGGGATGCGCATTGTTGGAGAGCGGCGAATCATGCTCATTGTTTGAGGCTGGCCAAGGCTGGGCGGGGTTGTCCAAGAAGTGATGCATCAAAGACTCATTGGTATGCCCTTCAGACAGTACACCATGCCGCCTATGCATATATCCACGCTCGGCAACATGCTTTGCAAGGTGCGTCTGCTGACAACCAAACAATTATTGGCTGCTTGGCCAGCGTTCAGCACTTACGGGCACCAATATCTTTATGCGCGAGGCCTAAATCGTCACTGGCGATCAGATTGGGCCATGTTGTATTACATACGAATGGCTCTTGATAGGCCCGGTCCTCCGAGTGTTGGCGCCACGGAAGTTGAACGCCCCAATATGGTACATCCAGCGCAGTACACCTTCTGTGTACCAAGAACAGTGTAGTTGCACTACATCATACTGATGATTTGCACGTTTAAGACTTGTGAGACAAGGTCATTTGCTTCCTCAAAGGCGAGCAAGACAGCGCCTTGGCTATCACTATCCCTACTAATAAATGGTAGCTGGATCGTCAATTGAGTTCGTCCCTTTGGGAGATCACCCCGAAGAGACAGAGCTGGATGCTATTGACGGCATGATCTCCATCCGACGGCTCCTAATTAACGTGTACATCTTGTGGACCCTTGTCGCACCTCCCCCTTGCTCGAAGCTTGATGAGATTGCCTTCCCTAGCCGCCATCTACTTCTCACATGCAAGGACTACTTCACTGATACGTCCACTATACATGCTAAATGGTCGATCAGAGGTCCCTGCAAACAGCTGGCGCCGTGTTGAGCTGTGGGGCCGCATACCTAGCGGAGTGCCATGTCTTGGATGTGACGATGGGCGTGGGTAGGAGTGGGCTTCCCTCCTTGCCAGTCCTCGGGCTATTATTTCTTTTGGCTTCGAGTTACTGCTAGGGCTACTACTGGGTGTTTGACTGTAGAGAGTATCGAATGCCAGGCGTGTGTGACATTTGGTAGCAAACTAGGGGTGTGTGAGAAGCAATGGGTGTAATCCCGGATGGTGGTACGGCAGGTTTAAGATGGGCAAGCAGCCCAGGCCCATTCGGAGGGTAACCTCTTCGTTCCTCAGTCCTCCTGCCTCTGATCGAATTGTCAAGGTGAATTGACCAGGCTTCATCATGGCAGATTACGAGAAGAACGGCGTCCAGAATGGCCAGAATGGAGAGAAGTCCAAGGCTAAGGTGACGACCTCGGCATCTGTCAATCCGGCAAGAAAGCATGACAACCAACCGGCACCTCTATCCTCGGCGGCAGCTCTTAAGAAGCTGGGCCTGCTGGCTTCCGTCAAGGAGATGCGGGTAGCCTCGAGTCGCCCTCTCCCGACTGAAATGGGCGACGGCTCGTATCGCCAGATTGTGAACAGGCCGACACTTCGCGATGACGTGGGTAGACTCACCAAGCGTGGTATGTATGAAATTTGCTAAGAGGCAATTGCACTTTGAGAGGAGAATACCAGGCATACTGACCGATTTACGCAGATTACAAGACCCTCATCGATATTGTCAAAGGCAAGCTCAAGGGCGAGACGCAGCAGGATGACAAGACCATGATCATGGAGAGGACGATCCAGCTTGTCGCTGCGCTCCCTAACCATTCCCGAACACAAGAGAAGCTCACCAATAGCTTTATTGACAAGCTTTGGAACTCGCTTGACCACCCCCCTCTGTTGTATATCGGGCCCGAGTCAAAGTATCGCCGCCCAGACGGTGCTTACAACGTAAGTTCGCTTCAATCAGCCGCAGGTCGCATGGAAACCAGTGGCTTCGTGCACCATAAAACTGACAAATTCATGACAGAACCCAACATTGCCATTCATCGGTGCCAGGGGTCACACCTATGCACGCTCCGTCAAACCGAAGCACGCTCAATTGGGTGCCCAGCCTGACCCTGCAGCCATTTATGAGGCTGTCATGGCTCGAGATGGCTTCCGCAAGAACCCCAACAACACGTCGAGTATTCTCTGGTACTGGGCTACCATCATCATTCACGGTATGTTTATTGTTGAGTTCTACTAAATTTTCAGAACAAGGTAGATGCTGATGCGTTCGAAAGATTTGTTCTGGACCGACCAGAGAGACCCCAACAAGAACAACACCTCGTCCTATCTCGACTTGGCGCCTCTGTACGGTAATACGCAGGAAGAGCAAGATAGCATTCGAACATTCAAGAGTGGGCATCTCAAGCCGGATTGCTTTGCTGATAAGCGTTTGATTGGAAACCCTCCCGGTGTCTGCATTCTTCTCATCATGTTCAACCGATTCCACAACTATGTTGCGACCAACCTGGCCGAGATCAACGAGGACCTTAGATTCCCTACGCCTACGCCCGGGATGAGCGATGAAGAGGCAGCAGCAGTTTGGAAGAAGCATGACGAAGAGATCTTCCAGACTGCTCGCCTTGTCACCTCCGGCCTGTACATCAACATCACCCTCATCGATTACGTCCGCAATATCATCAACTTGAACCGATGTGATACAGCTTGGACCCTCGATCCCCGTCAGGAGATGGGTGTCGCTGCGGGAACTAACAATGGCTCTGAGGCCGGCGTTGGCAATGTCGTTTCGGCCGAGTTCAACCTCTGCTACCGCTGGCACTCGTGCATCTCCGAGCCGGATGAGAAGTGGATTGAGGACTTCTACTCGGAACTCCTGGGTGGCGGTAACTACGAGGAGATGGATATGCGTGCTCTGATGGGCGCGATGAAGGCATATGAGCAGTCCATTCCCAAGGATCCCGCTGAGCGTACCTTCAGCGGGTTCAAGCGTGGACCTGATGGACGCTTCAACGACGATCAGCTCATGGAGGCTCTGTCTCAAGCTATTGAGTCGCCCGGAGGCTCCTTTGGTGGCCGCAACGTGCCCCGCTGCATGAAGCCCGTCGAGATTCTGGGAATAATGCGTGGCCGTCGTTGGAACTTGGCCAGTCTGAACGAGTTCCGAAAGCACTTTGGTATGAAGGCATATGACACATTCGAGGAGATCAACTCCGACCCTGTCATTGCCGATGGTCTCCGCAACCTGTACCAGCATCCTGATAACGTTGAGTTGTATCCTGGCATAGTTGCCGAGGAGCGCAAGGAGCCTATGGTTCCTGGTGTCGGCATTGCCCCCACCTATACCATCTCTCGTGTCGTTCTGTCTGATGCTGTAGCACTTGTCCGTGGTGACAGATATTACACCACTGACTACCACCCGGGCAACTTGACGAATTGGGGCTACAAAGAGGTCGACTATGATCTTAGCGTGAACCACGGTTGCTCTTTCTTCAAGCTATTCATGCGAGGCTTCCCTAACCACTTCAAGTCGGACTCCATCTATGCCCACTACCCCATGGTGACTCCTGATGAGAATCGCAGGATCATGAAGAGCTTGAACCGCGAACACCTCTTCAACTGGGACCGCCCTACGTCCCACATCAATCGCGTCAACGTGACAACGTACGGTGGTGCCAAGTACATCCTTGAGAATGGCGACAAGTACAAGATTGACTGGCAATCTTCTTTCGGCAGCCTCCTTGGCGACAAACCTCTGCATGGCAACAGCCGCAAGGCCCTCGAGTCCCTCCTGTACAGGCCCGAATGGAAGAAGTCTGCAAAGGCTTTCTATTCCGCCATTGCTGAGACGCTTCTGGCCGAGAAGTCGTACAAGCTTGGCGCACAGACTCAAATCGATCTTGTTCGCGATTTTGGTAACCTGGCCCATACACACTTTGTCGCCCGTCTGTTCAACCTGCCCATCAAGGACAAGCAAAACCCTAAGGGTCTCTTCTCCGAGCTTGAGCTGTACCAGACCCTCGCTCACATCTTTGTCGGCGTCTTCTATGACAGTGACCCCGCCAAATCCTTTCCTCTGCGACAGACGACCAAGGAGGCGGCGCAGAAGCTCGGCCGTGCTATTGAGTTCAATGTCAAGCTTGCTTCCAAGCTTGGCATGCGCGGCCTATACACTCCCAAGTACAAGAATGATCCTCTTGAGGCGTACGGTGTCAACTTGATCAAGGGTCTTTCCAAGGCCGGAGTCGATCCTCATGAGATTACATATGGCGAAATTCTCCCTACTGCTGGAGCTATGGTGCCCAACCAGGCCGAAGTGGTACGTTTACTCATTCCTCTTTATGTATCAATTTGACTAACACCTGCTTTAGTTTGCTCAAGCCGTCGACTTCTACCTCTCCCCCGAAGGTGCTCCTCACGTCAACGAGATCCAGCGTGTTGCTGCTCAGCCTTCCAGCGATGAGACTGACGATATCCTTCTCGGATATGCTCTCGAGGGTGTTCGCAAGGCTGGCACCACAGGACTCTACCGCGAGGCTGCCGGCAATGATACCATCCTGGAGGATGATGGTCGCCAGGTCAACATCAAGACAGGCGACAAGATCTTCATCTCTTTCGCCGACGCCGCCAACGACGCTGCCCACTTCCCTCAGCCGGAGAGGATTGACCCCAAACGTCCTCGCGACTCATACATCCACTACAGCGCCGGACCCCACGCTGGTCTCGGCCGCGACATCAGCCAGGTTGCGCTCACTGAGCTCTTCCGCGCCGTCTTCCGCAAGAAGGGTATTCGCCGTGCTGTTGGACCTCAGGGTGAGCTAAAGAAGATTCCTCAGCCTGGAGGCTTCTCCGTCTACCTCACCGAGGACTGGGGCAGCACCTTCCCCTTCCCAACCTCCATGAAGGTTGCCTGGGACGGCCAGTAGGGGAAGGTCACTTCAATGTTGCTCGCGAGAAATGGGGGGACACGCTCGACGAAGGGTCGGTGATCGAAATTGTGTCTATCGTGTGGAGTTCTATGTTTTGAGGAGGACGTTGAATGGTTGTTGTATCTTATACCCTGAGGAATTTCTGTATTCAGGAATGCTTCGAAGATTAGTTTAATGCCTAGTTATGCTTCTGCACTCTTGTCGTGGATTCGCCTTGTGATACTTGAGTGACGGCTGGTTCATTGTCCATTGGCCCTAACCAGCTTTCTCAAAGTCCTCGATACTCGACTCGCCGTTTGACAGTTTGTTCCAATCGAGCCCTTGTGCATTCACCAGCCGCGCACGAGACTCCATTGACATCATCCCGGTAGCTACGACGAGTATGACCAGAGTAAGATAGTTTGTGGGTACCTTAGAGAAACAACACAGTCCTTCTCAATCAGAACTCAAATAAGCCATGATTGTATTGATGTCCAAACTAATTTCCTGGCATTGAAAAATTCGTTGCCGCCGGCTTTTGTCTAACACTTCTTGCACGCCATTTAGTTTCCAAGCTTGAACTACTCACCCTACTTACTCACTGAGAGAGTCTTATTCCGAACTGAAATCCCCCATACAGTGTCAATTAGGCCTCTGCCATCAACCTTGATGTCACCTCCGATGGCCGCTCTGCCCACGGTCCTAGATACGTAGCGTCCCTCACGACGTAGCCCAGATATTCAAATAGGTAGCTCAGGCCATGTTTCGCCTGCAGTTCTTCGGCTATGCGATGAGATAATGGATTCTCCCGGTGTCCTTGTGACGCCAACAAGTCCTCAGCCGCTGGCTTGGAAGACCGCGCGGCGAGGTCACGCGCACTGGCAAGCAGACCCAGGACTCCATCGGTCGACCACCACGCGGGATACGAGTGCAGGATAACGCCGTCTGATCCGTTCGCGCAACCAAGTGGATTCCCGGAGAGCGTGGCGGCCGTGGCGGCTAGTGCTTCATCCGGGTCAAAGAGGTCAGACATGAAGCGCGGGTCCCTCTCGGTGATGTTGATGCCAAGCTTGCGGACTTGGGGGAGAAGCCACTGTTCAATCCCCGAGAGGGTCTTGTAGGACCGGCTGCACAGGTTGGCGGAGAGCGGGCTCCGGACGACGGCTCGCTCGATCTGGGCCCGAAGCTTGATGGGAAGAGAGCGCCGGGAAAGGACCTTGCGGGTGACTTTGGTGTTGAGGACGTCAATCAGCAGCTTGAGTTTCAGCAGCAAGACGGCAACAACAAAGCTCAGAGGGGTATCTTCGCCAAGAAGAAACTCTGGCTGCTCGGAAGCGTCGGCGCCGCGGATATCAAGGTGCGGCAAGGTGAGGTCTCCCCAGCCGGCATCTGCGCCGTTTGTCGCCCACCACTTGACAAAGTCGTAGCACTCCTGGTCTATGTCCAGTCGCAGCATGATGAAGGGCAAGACATATCGTACCCCCATGGTATCCATGCGGGACAGCCTGAGCATGTCCCGGAGATGGTCGTGGGCTTCCTGGACGCTGTCGAGTGTGCCCAGCGGGAGCAGGACATCCTTGACCAGGGTAAGGCGAGCACACATGTAGGGCCTTGTGCTTTCGACCTCCCAGAAGTAGCCGGCATTTGTCTCGAAAGCATTGGCGGGGAGTTGGGCCCAGCGGAGGCGATAATGCTCTTCGTTGAACCTGACACGGGCATTGACGATATTCCTACAGATCCGCCAGTGGCCGGATCTATAGAAGTACTTGTGCCTAGGGCCGCAGTAACGAGCTACGTTGCATCTGGTGCATCGCTGCATTCGTGGCCCGGTGGCCTGGCATCTTAATGCTGAGCAGCGATGGATGAGAGGTCCCACGGGCCCCTTGCGGATGTCGGCGCCGCTGGCCATGATGCTGGAGAAGTAGCTGGTGGAACGATTGATATTATGATTGATGGAACGGTTAGATGATACTGGGTTCTTGTAGTTTGCTCTTGTGCGGTGGCTCTTTGGCAAAACACATGAAACTATGCGAGTGTGTTTCGTGAACGAGTCGGCAAGCACGATCGCTGTCGGGCGGCATTGCTCCTGCCGTGTTTCTCTCTTCCAAAGTTCTTTCAACTTGCTCTCCTCCAATCTTTACCTCTTCTCATCCTCTTCTCGCCTCCTCTCCTTCCCCAGTCTTTGGGCTCTTCTGGAAACACAAGCAGCGGACATACCGTCCACTTCTTTGGCTTCAAATCAGCCCATATCATGCTCTCATCACCCTTCCAACTTCACAAAAAACCTCCCGCGTTAACTGGTGTTAATTATAGAGCGCTGTCGCAAAGTCTCGGTAAGTTGATTTGTCCTGACTTAGAAGATAGAATACCCAGGGATGATGTTGTCGCAAAGAGAGAGAGCAGGTCTCATGGCATTTGTCAAGTGCTACAAATTATCCATTTGGCCTAGTCCAACCAAGTAATTTATTTGATTTCACTGCGCGCACTGATATTCCTAGAGAGCGAGTTAGTAAGGGGATATGGTAGGACGTTGATGTTGGATGTGATGGTTCTAAACAAGTCACGCATCGAGATTTGATTCTGGCCGCCTTCTTTGCAAGGTATTGAATTCCATTTGAGGAGTTTTGAATATCTGAAACTAAAATTGAAAGAGCGATCTTCTTTAAATCAATCTCTGCGTACTAAAAATCTTATATCGTAAAGAACCAAATGAAAGCCCGCCCGCTCGATGATCTGGAAACCTGTTCACACATCACTGCTGTTGCTGTCCCTCCTGCTTCTTGCCTCCTCCAAAGGCACCGCCGAGGAACCCTCCGGCGCTCTTGACGCCGTCAGAGGCGCCGTTCACGATGGACTTGCCACCATCGGCGACTGATGAGGCAGCGTTGCCGACGGTCTCGGACCCGGGGACGGACGTGGGCACGTAGCTGCCCTTGTCGTCCTTGCCCTGGCGCTCGGCGCGGTTGATGCCCTCCTTGGAGGCGAGGTCCGTCACGGGCTGCAGGAGGCCTCCCTGGCCGAGTTGGCCGGCAGCGAGATTATGCACTCCGTCCTGGAGGGTGTCAACTTGTTCGATGCCCGTGACCTTGGTCTTGTCTAGGTTCTCTGGGAATATTGTCAGCAATGAATGGTGATGTAGGGAGAGATGAACGGCGTACGTCTGGTGGTGTAGCTGGCTTTGTTATCCTTGGTGAACCAGCGGAGGTAGACGTCCTCGAGCCAGGGGACCCAGTTCTCGTACTGGGTGTTGTAAGTGTTCTTTGCCCACTCCATGTTGACTGATTATCTGGATGAGTGTCTGGTGAGATTTCGTAGTTGTGTGAGTGTCGAGGCAGGGGAGGATTTGATGTTCGATGATCTTGAACGAGAACGTCGTAGGTCTATGGGTAGCCAAGGGTAGGCATTCTTATATGTGCATCTACCTGCACGCGCAAAGCAATTCCGTCACCCTCCCATGACTGCACACGTAGTACTCGACATTCTTATTCGATGGCAGGTTGAAAACGTGGTCGTTGCGCGAAAGAGCCTGTGTCGATCAGTAACGTCATTCCAGAGGCAGGGATGTGATGCAGGGTCCACGCCTGAAATATCACGTTTGATCAGGTAGATTTCTGAAGGAGGTGCGCGTCTACCAAGAAATAAACTTGATTTAAGTGGATGGAGGGTGGGTGAAATCGAGATCATCTCGCGTCATAGCCCGTCGCATTTGGCTGGAGGCTATGACGTTGCTGGTGGAGCTTATCGATAAGCATTATCGATAAGCAACCTGCTTTGGCACGCATTGTCACATGCTAGCTGTTTCTTATTGAACAAGTGGGTATATCAGGTTGCATAGCATAAGCTGGTTAAGGTAGGTAAAACAAGTATTTGCTCTCAGGGAGATAGTAATGGGGTAGGTATGCCAGTATTATTGACGCATGGTGATCTTGCGATCTTGTGAGTAAAAGTTCCTTGCCTGACTGATTACCTACCCTATACTCCTAGTTCTTCTGATTTTGATTTAACCGATCCAAAGACTTATTGATGACTAGTTTAAATCTTTTGCGAGAAATCACATAGAATATATGGAAAATAGAAAAGTATGGTCCAGCCACATTAGCTCGCCTTTGTAAGCCCCATGGAGCCAACTGAGTTTCGATCACAACTTCTCTCAAATTAAAGCTTGTCAAGCGACTGACATAAAACATGGCACACCCAGGACCTCTCGAATTGAGTTCATACAATATCAAAACAATTAACTGACAATAATCCATAATAACAAGCTAAATACTAAAGAATAATACTTAATAATTTTCTTATTATTGTGTTTAGTATTATTAACCAGGAGATGAGGTCCCTGACTTGCGTGAACAGAGCTTTGGTGTACAATGTTTTATGTCACTCGCTTGCTTGTGAGCTGGGGTGTCGTGAGATTAGGCTGGTATTTGGGCTTGACTTGACGCTGGTGAAGCCACATTGAAAAGGCTTGACAGTTTCCAAAACATTTACAAGTCGGTAGTCATCGGCATCATGAGTCATGAGGAAACCCTGTGAGGAAATGTAAGAGGTAGTTGGGCAAAAATGAAGAGGACTCGATCTGAGTGCGCTCGAGTGATGGGTTTCAATTTTCCCTTCTCACCTCATCCCCACTGCGTCTTGCGTGCTGTTCTCCGCATGTTACGCCATTTCCCTCGTCGAATCCTACCGTATTTCCGGTGCAGTAGGCGAGTCCCACTGCCATATCGACGGGGCCATGCAGCTGGGAGATTCTCGGGCTGTAGCTGTTTGGCTGTAGGTGCGAACCGGGGGCGTCTTGCAGTGTAATACCTAGTATCATCTGCCTGAAAGGTGGAACTTGATATCAATGGCACGCCCGTGGAATCTTACTACTTAAGGGAGCCACAACGGACAGTCTCACCTGTCCACAGGCACCTTTCCTTGATCAACGCTCTGCAGATTGATTATAGCCCGCCATGTCGTTTGTACGTTCTGTCATCCCGGAGTTTGAGGCCGCCAATCAGAAATATGCGGCGTCTTTCACCAAGGGGGATCTACCCCTCCCTCCCGGCCGGTGAGCTCATGCAGACTGTCCCCTCATTCGTCTTGCTCTTTCCTCTAATATGACAATGCAGAAAAGTGGCAATCGTAGCATGCATGGATGCTCGGCTTGATCCGGCAAGAGTCCTTGGACTGGAAGAGGGTGACGCTCATGTGATCCGGAACGCAGGAGGTCGGACGGTTGATGCTCTTCGTTCACTTATCATCTCCCAGCAACTTTTGGGTACACGAGAAATCGTTATTGTCCATCACGTATGTATCTCCTTATTTGTTCGGCCCTATCTTGAGAAGCTAGCAAGAGTATAAGCGCAGAATTGACCGATGTTTTAGACCGATTGCGGCATGCTCACTTTCACGGACACAGAAATCAAGTCTAAGATTCGCAATGAGTTGAGTGAAAATGCAGACCATATTGCATTTTTGCCGTTTCATGACTTGAGGCAAAGCGTCCTAGATGACATTGAGATCATCAAGAAGAGTCCCCTTGTTTTGGATGTCCCCATCACAGGCTACATCTATGACGTGAAGACAGGCAAGCTGGAAAAAGTACAGGCATAAGACTTGGGTCGTCTTCTATTTTATTAAATATCCTACAACCATCCATGGTAATGCAAATCTCCCATGGCATCGGCTGTTCTGTCTACACGAATAACTAGCTTAGAACCAGATATCTGACCCTTTTTCAGCAATGAAAGACCTTTGTTGACGTCTTCTAGACCTCCATCCATGATCCTGATGCGGGGAACCCGAAGCTGTCCATTTATCAGATATGTAGTGAGCTCTTGAAGAATTCCTTGCCCGAATTCTGGATCATTGTGGAAGACTTTTACTTTTATCTCGGGCGTATTGACGAAGATGCCTTCGGATAATTCGACTAGTCGTCCACTCTGAGCAGCAGTCTTTGCATGCTTCGGGATGCCAGCCAGCGCCACCAAGGTCTTCTTCCCATTCGACTTGCCTGTATTCATTGCTTGTAGACAGAGTCCAGCTGTCACAGGGCCGACAGCGTCGAAAGCGTAGTTCAGTTGCCCTGATGTTGCTTGTTGGATTGCATCAAGTAGCTCTGTATCGTTCATCCCTCGATCTAGCACCACATTGGCACCTGCTTCCCGCACATAATCTAGGTTGTCTTTACCGGCCACAGAAATGACTTTATAACCGTATAGACTGGCCAATTGTACGGCGTAATATCCTGTACAAGTTGCTCCTCCCCAGACCAGCACCCACTCCTCTGAATCTTTCTGGGAGGTGTCGTGGTTCTGGGCACTTATGCCCATATACCGCTTCAAAGCGACGGCCGCAGTGATTGCACCAACCGGAATGGAAGCAGCTTCCTCAAAGGTCAAGCTTGGTGGTATGAGTGCAACAGATGCATGGTGGGCGATGCAGTAATCTTGGAATGCACCACAGCGGGCACTGGTATAATCTGTCAGGGTGAAGACGGCATCTCCAGGCGACAAATTGGTAACAGAGTCGCCAACTTGATCAATGACGCCTGCGACATCACGGCCAGACACCCAAGGCAAAGAGCTGATACCGAAGTTGTAGTCCTTGGCTTGCCTGCATGAACCTTGATCAGCTCGCTTCATCTAGCTAAGACGGCTCCTGTCCACGTCGGATGAGGGAGGGTGGGCTCATTACCAATCCACCGGGTTCAGACCAACGGCCACGGTTTTAATTCGCACCTCATATGGCCCCGGCACAGGGATTGAATGTCCATGCTCAAGCACGAAGTCGCTGGCAAACTGCCGCAGGAGCAGGGCTTTCCCGATCTTGGGAGTGGCAGGCCTGCGGCGGTGCCTTGGACTCGAGCTATACATGGATATCGGATGTTCAAGTTGGCGAGTCACGACTGGAGCAGCAATGAGCAGGAAATTACTCGAGAATAGTTCTAATTTTCAATCTATGGTTCGGGTTTATTATATCCCAGCTGTGTGGAGAAGTGAGGACCCAGCTTCAGATGGCACCATCGAGACCCTGGATAACATTGAATCCGTGCTATATCCAGTCCTTAGTCTAAGTATACCAGCTGGGCTCTGGAATTTCCCGCAACAGGGCCCAGCTACCGACCTCTCGGAACTTGTAGGCTACGGGGTCATGGAGGGAGTGGACTGTCGATTCGTCATTTTAGCGTCTATGCACCAAGAGTGAAGGAAGAAGGGTGGGGAGAAGTTGGCCTATCTCTTACCTCTGGTATTCCTGAAATACCGATCAAAGCCATACTTGCCCAGGCTGGAACGAGCGCCGGCCAACTCGAATATCTTAGTGCTCACGTGGAGAGTGGTCTCGATAGCCGTGGCTTTGGAAGCGGCAACCTCTACACGGGCGAGTTAGAACAAGAAACTAATTAGTGCTCCAATAGTTCCGCCGTCATTCATCCACTTGGCGGCGGGTTGCTACTTACGGACAGCGATTTCACCACGCGTTTGTGGAGTGAGCTCCGCTCGCGGGGCGTGGATGGCTGTTGATACTCGCTCGGCCGTGCGGTCAATCAAGGCCTCAGCAGCCCATAGCTTCGCCTGGAGGTGGCCGTAGCCTTCTCTGATGTACCACTCATCCGTGGCTTTGGACTTGTCGTCGCCGCCATAGGGCCAGGCTCGGGTCTTGGTGCGAGTGTACTCGGCGGCCGCTTCGAGGGCCCCGATGCCCACGCCGAGATGGACGGCCGCAAATTGGAGCTGAACGGGAGGAAGAATGAAGTCGTGATAGGTGTCGCGAGGAGTAAGTTTCTTGTCCTCCCACCCTGCGATGTGTTCCCAAGAAACATGAACGTCTCGGATCAAGCAGCCACCAGATTCCTAGATTACCCAATTATCAGATCATAGCTTAGGCAAAGAGAGAGGGAGGATTTCGCGTGGAAATGAGATCAAGGTGCTCAGTTTTAGGGTCTCACCGTCAGCCGCTGTCCGATAACGTCCCAGTCTCCTTTGAAGGAGATGCCGGGATGCTTCGTGGAGACGAATGCAAACACGTGCGTCTTTTCGGTATCTTCCAGCACCCCCTCCAAAACAGTCACGTCACTGATCACACCGCCTAGACAAATATAAATGTTAGCTTAGCTTCGGAGGGTGAAAAGATTGGCTGATTCATCTGCAGGCGATGGTGGTGGAGCGGGGAGTTGGCAAGTTGATTTGTTCTCATACCTGTGGAGAAGAACTTATCACCGTTGAAAACGAGCTCATCACCCTCGTCCCTGGCGATCATATCGGCGTTTCGAGGGTTGACTGCTCCACCAAGGTAGTAATTTCCTTCGGTAAACTCTCGTAGCCACCGTCGTGCCTGCTTTGGCGTCCCGAGAATCTGGGAGCTCCAGAACCTAGGATGGGGACCCACGAGTTAGCCGTCATGTCTGGGATCTCTCGCGATTCAACAAGTGATAATACCATGAGTAGTGGTTCCCAAGCAGATGGCCCACACTTCCATCCGCCTTGGCAATCTCGGTAGTGACCTTGTAGGAGGTTTGCCATGTCGCTCCACCACCACCGAACTCTCTTGGGCCCAAGAGGTTGACCAAGCCAGCGTCTTTGAGCAATTGAACTTCAGCAAACGGGGGCTTTCCCTCATTATCCCTCTGGACGGCATCTATCTTCAGGATCTCAGACGCTTCTGACGCGCGCTTGACCCATTCTGTGGGAGTGTTCGGCTTGGGCTCCGACTTCCAACGACGGCTAGCTGCAGCACGCGCCTGTTCGGCCTGGAAGCTCTCCATGACTCTGATTCGTCCGTGTGAGTGTAAGATAAGGGGCTGAGAATAGTATTGGTTCAATGGGATGGTGGGAGAGTGATGGTGCAATACCACCTCTCCAGAATGGGTCTTTATAGACTTTTCCGCACCGTAGATTATTTCCGCCTCTCATAGAGATCCCAAGTCTTTCTCGTTCAGTGGGCCTCACTAGAAGCAGTGATCCGGTTTCATTTTCAGTCAGTCAAAGTGGCATAGTATTGGGACCAGACCTTACCATCCGCATGTTATTGCTGTCGTCATTGTCCCCCCGCCGTCACGTCTTCGTGACTATTGAGGCTCCCCATTCTTCCGACCCGCTGGGCATGGATATGGGTTTGACCACATGGCCCCTGGTCCTACTCCTGCAGCTGACGTGCAGCATATGCAGAAACGTCTTAAAAGACCAAATATCTTTTCGGCAGCTTCATGCGGTATGGTAAGTTTGCGAAACCTGCGCATCTCAAAGGGCCACATTCAACTTTGCCACTCTTCCGCAGCGTTACCACCATGGCGGAAAACTCGATCTTTCCCATTTTTGACTCTGGGGTGGGCTATGGAATCATCGTTGGGCTAGGTAAGCAAGCAGTTAACTGTACACTGGCGCATCTGATTCTAATGATGCTTGTGATCTAGGCGGGCTTTTCGCCATTGTCATGACACTGACGACATATGCTCTACGTCGTTATTTCTCCGAGGTCCAAGACTCTGAGATGTATTTGACGGCCAAACGATCGATTAAAGCTGGTCTTATTGCATCTTCGGTGGTGTCCTCTTGGACTCTCAGTGCCACGCTACTTACTTCTACAGTCTTTAGTTACTCATATGGTATCGCTGCCACTTTTTGGTAAGGAGTACATAACAAGTATTTACCGATATCAAGCTCATCTCAAGAAACAGGTTCGGCGCTGGTTGTTCTGTCCCGATTCTAACTTTTGCCGTCCTCGCCATTGAGCTCAAAAGAAAGGCACCCAATGCACACACGTTTCTCGAGCTCGTTAAACATCGCTATGGAGCGCCCGGGCATATTGTATTGGCTATTTACTCTCTTATTTACCAAATATTCATCGCCGTCAATCTTCTAGTTGGAGGAGCCGATGTTTTCAACTTGGTGACCGGGATCAACAAAGTTGCAGTGTGCTTTCTCTTTCCTCTCGGAGTGTGTATTTACACTCTCTTTGGTGGTATCAAGGCGACTTTTCTTACCGAATGGGGTAAGAACTAATATTGAATCCCACATCAAGTTTTCGAACTAAGAATATCGTTATAGTTCACACGGTCATTATCTTCGTCATCATGCTATCCAGCATGTTTGTCATGTATTCAACCTCGGAACACGTCGGATCTCCTGGAAGGATGTGGGAGCTGCTTAAGGCTGCTGCAGAAATTCGCCCCGTTGACGGCAACGCTGGAGGCGAGTTCTTAACCATGAGGAGTGTACAGGGTGGTCTTATTGGTTTGATTTTTCTTGGTGGTGGGTTTTCAGCTACTGTTGACTCACAGTGAGTGTCCTGTTGCATGCTTCAGGAGGTCGATCTGAAGTTTTGGGAACTCACATGAATTTCTAGGCTTTTCCAGAAAGCAATTGCTGCTGACCCCAAGTCTACTGTTGCTGGCTATCTTCTGGGCTCGCTTTGCTGGGTAAGTATTCTTAGACTCTCTTCTCTCCAAATATGTACTCATTATCAACAGTTCACTATTCCTTTCTGCATCTCAACCACGTTCGGCCTTGGAGGTGCTGCTCTCGAACATACACCAGCATGGTAAGATGGAAGCTCTCAAACTTTGTGAATCTCATTGCTAAACCCTTCTAGGCCGACATACCCAACACCCTTATCTGTAGCCGAGATTAATTCGGCCCTTGTTATGCCTTACGTTGCATATACTATCATGGGCAAAGGTGGCGTTGTGGCAGTCTTGTTGATGCTGTTCCAGGCTATCACCAGTGCAATGAGCTCCGAAACCGTTGCGGTGACTAGCTTAGTGACGTATGACTTCTATCGCTCCTATATCAACCCAAATGCAACGGGAGAGAGGCTGGTATTCGTTTCTCACATCGCTGTTGCTGGTTTCGGGCTGTTGACCGCGGGTATCGCTGTCGGCCTCTGCTACGCTGGATTCTCAGTAACATTCATTGTCACCGCAATCGGTATTATTATTGACGGTCAGTATCATAATACCCACATTGATGGCTCGAAAGACTAACAATAGCCAGGTGCCGTGATCCCAAGTGCCTGCACTCTTTTCTGGAAGAAGCAAAGCAAGTATGCCATTGTTTTGGTCCCCATCATCAGCTCGATTGCCAGTATTGGAACATGGATCGGCGTTGCGTATAAACAACATGGAGTGGTGTCAATTGTTACTCTCTCGGATTTCATACCTACAGTGGCAGGAAACATGCTGGCGCTCACGGCACCCATTGTTCTAACGCCCCTCATCACGTTCATCAAGCCTGAGGACTACGATTTTGAGAAATTCAAAGAACTAGAGCAGGTAGACGACAGCAGCTTTGATAAGAAGGCACTGCAGTCGTCGGACGCGAAGATTAAGACGGCCAGGGAGAGAACGGACGAGGAGCTGCAGAATCTTCAGCGTATCGAGAAGCCATTGCTCAAGGCACGGAACCTCGCACTTGGCGCAGCCCTATTCATTGCGGTATCAATGACCATGTACGTGTCCTGTTCATGTAGTCACTTTGGGTGAAACTAACCTTTAGCAGTCTATGGCCCATCCCGATGTATGGGTCTTCATATATCTTCAGCAAATCATTCTTCACTGGTTGGATTGTTGTCACGTTCATCTGGGGTTTCTTCGGCGCCATAGTTATTACGATCCTCCCCATCTTCGAGAGTCGACAAGACATTGCTCTGTTCTTCAAGGCAATCTTCAAAGGAAAGAAAGCCGTATATCCTGAATTATCGGGATAGTTACAACTCAGACTTGAAATCATATTGTGATTGGCCTGAGATATTACTAAAGAACTTGAAACTAGCACTGCTGATTTAGGTAGCTTACATGCAAGACATAATTTGAGCAGACTTTTGCTCTATGTTGATAAAGTCTTCTTCTCTTCTCCTGGGAAGATCTAGTTGTTACTTGCAGATGGCTATTTCAATGTCCTTGAGGATTACTCTTCCATAAAACAGCCTAAGGGAAGCCTTCGCTAATTCTTGCGATATATATTGAAAGGCTATGTTAAATCAACAGTCGAAGTTCGCAGTGTGTTATGGGATATTCTTTACATGCCGCGTTGAATCTTATTTTTTCAGCCCCTCGACACATTAGACTTTCTCCGTCCTAGGTGAAATTGCCAACTAGGCACTTAGTTCGTCAACAAAGTTCTCAAATTTTAAGATAGCTGAGTTATAAATTCCAATTTTCAGTAACCGATTAATTAAACCTAAGAGCCCCTCGTATAGATCCTCGTAGCTCCTGACACGAACATTGCTACTTAAGGAACTTGGCCCGTGAGAATTACGATAAATGGTTTACGTTGCAGGTATGCTCTCTTAAGGGCGCTCTCCGAAGCCAAGCGCGATTCGTCATTTTCCTCCAACGTCTCCTTCCTGATGCGAACTACGCGTTCCAATATCTCGATAGACTCTTCAACACGCTCATCTTCCAGATATGCAAGTGCAAGCTCATGCTCCGACACGAGGGTGATGTGGTTCTCCTCACCCAAAACGGCTTTTCGGAACTTGACAGCATGTTCCAACACCTCAATAGCCTCTTTAAAGCGCTGGGCTTTCTGAAAGGCCAGACCAAGTTCATGTTCTGAAGTCAGTCGTGTCTGGTCGTCTTCCTTTTGGTGTTCTTTTTGAACGTTGATCACATGGCTGAGGATTTCAATTGCTTCATGAATTCGACCGTCTCGAAAATATGCCCTTCCAAGTTCATGCTCCGAAGAAAGTCGGTGTCGATCCTCTTGTTTTGATGTTCGCCGCTTTTCCTGCACAATAGGTTCGAGGATCTCGATGGCCGTACTGGCACGCCCAGCCTCAATGTAAGCACTGGCAAGTTGGTGCCTGGTTTGACTATAGGCAAATTCAAAACCCGACGTATCCTCTCCGATATCCTTGTACATGGCCTCAAACATCTCTATGGCCTCATCCACTCGCTTGTTCTCGAGGTAAGCACTTGCGAGCAAATGCTCTGACTGGAAGACAAATTGCTTGTCGTTGATGGTTTTTTTGTTTGTACTGACGATTGGCTCGATAATCTCAATTGCCTCGTCCACGTGATCTTCTTGAAGCAATGCATGTGCCAGCATGAAATCCAAATGTCGCCAGAGGTAATCGTCCCGGGCAAGGTTTGCCCTTGCCCAATTTGCAATTTTGGGCAGACAGTCTATGGCCTCCTTGAACCGCCTTTCCGTAAGCAAACATATGCCAACATAGTCAGCTAAGTCGCATAGAACTTTGCTGTAGTGATACTCGCTTTGACTTATCAGTCTCAAGCCATGGGGCAATATTTGTCTCCATTCATGGGCCAGCGATTGATCAGCGGTTGACTGCTTTGCCACGTTCTCAAAAATCCCCTGAACTGCATTCGTCAAAATCTCCTTCATCATGCCTTGACCTTCCAACCATCGAATAGTTGCCAGGTGGACCAGTCTGTGCATGTCAAAAGTATTCGGATCTTGCCTTTGGGTTAGAAAAGAGTAGCCGCAGAGGGTTCCTATCGCATTTTCCATCTCTTCCTCCGAATTTCCAAACGGCAGGATTATCTTCGGAATAGCTCGCGGCTCAATGCACGCCATGAATGAAAGCAGTTTGAAAGAGAACGGGTCTTCCTTAGCAATCTGGCTGAACGATACCAGCCAGGTTGACATTATATCGTTCGATAGCCCGGGATATCTCCGTTGGTCATGAAACCCTCGACTTAGAACCTGGACTTTCTCAATCTCGGCCCCGCGTAAAAGATCCAGGTATCTCCTCAGAGATATATTTGTGTTTCGATTGAGATATGCAGCAGCTTGTGTGATACCCAAAGGTAGATAGCTCAACTCCTTCAAAAGCTGATCAGCGTGTTCCTCAAGACTTTCCTCTCTCGTGATCAAACTTTTATCCAGAAGGACTCTTGCTTCGTCCGAGGTCATCTCGGTTATACTAATGACATCTGTTTCTGCAAATAAGATGGCTATCTCTTTGACTCTGCTGGTGAGCAAAAAGAGGCCATGGTCGCTTTGGGGCAGGAAGTTTATCAATCCCAATTTCCCAAGTGTCCCAAACATCATGGCCTTATCATCTGCATTGTCTATAATGAGCAGCCATTTGCCCGCTGCTTCTGACGAGAGGTATCGCTGGATGGTTTTCTTGTAGTCCTCGTCGCTTTCGCGCGGTACAGAGAGCAGCTTGCCGACTTCCATATACGCTTGCTCAAAGCTCGCTTCACTGAGTACCGGGATCCAGAAGACGGAGTATGTCGGCTGGTTGGCTTTCATCCAGTGGGCAAACTGGAGGGCTACCTGTGTCTTACCGACACCCCCTAGACCATCTAACGCAATCCTTTGGCATGGTGGATCAGAGAAGAGTTTCCCCTGGATAGCTTGCAAAACGCTCTCTCGACCAGTAAACTTTTTGTTTGCAGTAAATGGGAGATAGTAGATAGGATTCAATGTTGGTTTAGGGCCAGCTTTTAGGACCATTGGCTGTACATTGGCGCTACCATCCGTATAATCCGTAGGATGTTCTAGGGCATGGTTGCTTAGCTCTTTTGCACAGTAATCCCAAAAATATGTTCACTTACTGCCAATAGCCGTAGAATTGTTCGGTTCGTTGTATGAGGCTCCTTCCCCGTTCAGGCAATCGATCTCTTCAATCGCCAATTGTTTCAAGACTCCGAGAAGGGCACGGTAGCGGGGATCCTCCTTATTGATGCATTTTGCAATCTGTCTATGGTCGGCATCCATACTCTGGACGGTCTCCAACCCACGGTGAAGGTCCATTTTGGACGAGAAGTCATCGACAATCTATAACCACAGTGAGTTGATACGACTTGCTTCAGAAGCTTAGCCTGCTCACCTTGTGACTGATTCCCAACGTTTCCGGCGCACGACCCTCTTGAAATGAGTAGATTTTGAATTCATGTCTATGAACATGTACTTTAAACTCCTCATGAATGTTCTCAAGGACCTCGCTGTCTACTTGAAGGCCTCTGAGAATCCTGGAGTTTGGTTGCTGTAATGCGACTCGAGACAAGTTAGAAAGTATTTTACCCCAGTCTGCGACTCTGCTGCCTCGATGAGGAGTGCCGAGAAAGATAATAAGCCTCGTCCGTGACCGACAATTTTCAGACAAATGAATGACCTGGGGAGTGTTAGTTCAAATAATGAGTCTCTGTATTCGCTGCCTGTCCACCTACACTTTTGACCAGGATTCCGCCCAGGCTGTGAGCTATGAAAACGACCGGGTCCTACAATTTGTTAGCACAATACATACACAATACATCCACAAGCTCTGAATTGGTGATCCTCCCCAATGACGCACATTGTTGTCAATGTCCCGCTCAAACTGGGCAGACAAATCCCTCCCATGCTGCGAAATACTATTCTGGTTTCCCGCTTGGAACATTCCCTGGATGACGTCCGCATTATACCCATAGGTCCATATCCGCGCATCCGGAAGATCTCCAGTTAGAAACTCTTCCGGCCAGAATGGCTTGGGCTGATTGCCGGCCTCTGAAAGACTGGTACTGGTGGTCTTTCTACTCTTGAGGAGAGATTTGATGGACGACTTTCTCCTATTCAAACCAACGTCTGTCCTTCGATGGGTCGCATCGCCTTCAGTGGTCTCGCGCCCCCACGTGTGTCTGGGGTGACCTTTGAGGCCGTGGACGAAGATGACACTGTCGGACCACTCGTTAGCGCACGCTACGGAACGACAAGAATCTGGCGGACTCACTTGTAACGGAACGGCCCGTCGCGTCCCTTGACCCCAAGCTCGGTAAACCCGAGCCGATGAACTGTGCTCATTTGGCCTCCCACGATCTAGATAGGAGGGCAACGATATTGTGATCATGAAACGATTAATGACCTATGAGGCGAGGGCTTTGGTAGAAAGCCTTACTGGAGGCGGGGTAATCGTACTGCGGCTGAGCCTGGCGGCCAGACCCAGTTGGTGTGTGCTATTTCTTCGGTTTCAAGTGAATCTTACGCTGTCTAGAAGTAGAAAAGGACAAACAACAGTCGACTTGATCTAAATATTATCGATTGCAGGCGTAAACAAGTACGAGAGCAGTTGTGATACATCAGATAGCAGGCTCGGCTAACTAATTAATAAACACGCGGTGTCATAGCACATTTATCAATTGATCTCAAGCCCAAATCCCACCAAGTAGTGGACTTTTCCACAAAGACGGAGTGGATTTCTCGGCCTGGCATCCACACTCTTGGGCAGAAGGCTCTCTCATATACTGATCAAGGCGATCGTAGCCCTGAGGGAGCATAGAGAACATGACGATCCCCCGGCGAGAGTACTTGTGCGTAAAAACAAGAGCTGAGAAAGGCTGCATTGCTGCCAAGGGGAAATCTCCCAAGGAGACACGCCGCTGATGAACAGCTCCAAGTTGTATGGCGTTTCGTGACCACGTCGCCAGCGGGACCAAAAAAGGAGTACATACTACAGAGGAAGTGCAAGGGCGGTCGCGAGGCCAAATATCCTCAGGACAGGGATCAGAGAGTTGTGCCCTGTTCATTTGGCTCGCCTTCTGCATGGACGCGGCGAAGCACGGGCATGCTCGTGTTTCTGGTGTAGGCGCAGCCGGCGGCCACACATTTGTGCGCACCGTTATTGCTCACAAGGATAAGGACACACCCACTTAACTGGAATCATCTGTAAATGGTCCATTCCATAGGAATAACCTACCTTTGCGTTACAATAACACCCATTATTTTTAGATGGACAAGTAAAGCCTTCCGTTGCCTTACTTGCTCCCAATACGATGGGCAAAGAGAACTCTCATGGCAATCAATTGCTATCTATCAGTTTAAATATGTGTCTCTAGCAATATGCAAGTAGGAAAACAGCATTTAGATAGATTCCAGGCTTATCATGCTTGATAAGGGTAGAACCACTTTGATGCACAGCTCTTTTTACGGTACTCTTAAAGAGGCTCGTTCTACCCTTCTTGATGTACTTTGATCCCGATAATAACAAAATGATGATGATAGGCCCGTTTTGGTCGTCCAGTGCAGAAAAGGCGGCCAACTCACATGAGGCCCAAGTAATGGGCTTGGGCTAGTACATTTGGTCTGATCTAGCACTCATAGCTGAATTTTACAGCAAAGGCTCCAGCAGGGCCAGGTTCTAGAAAGAGAAATTGGGCACTGACCACTGTTTATTTGATTTACCGCGCCTCATTCTGGAGTGACCTACTACGTATAAGCTTGCGGCTGATCATATGCATATGTACGGAGTAGGACCTGCCCAATTCATTCTACCCCCCCCCCCCTGGTGTCGCCCCTGGTGCCGTGCTTGGTGCCGTGCTTGGTGCCGTGCTTGTTGCCGTGCTCGTTGCCGCACTTGTTGCCGTACTTGTTGCCGTACTTGTTGCCTCAGCATCAAGCATCCATCACATTGAATACTCAGATATCGAAAGCACCAATTGCACTTAATCGCTAATTGCACTTAATTGCACTTATTGCACCAAAAATCCAGCACATTAGCTACTTCAAATCTTAATTCTTCCTGTCGGTTGTATAAGACCCAACTACACGACAAGCCAAAGGTGTGGCCAACGACTGAAGTTTTCGTATGTTGTCTGACCAGGACTTATACCAGATTTCTTCAGCAGCAGTGTCTGGTGATGGCTCAGTCTAGTGCAATAAGCCAGTTGATTTCATCATTCCGCGTCTTATTGTGGGGAATCACTGAGCTGAGCATCGGTGTAATTATGGTGTATGAATGTCATGTTGGTGGTCCGGTTGTCGAATACCCCACTTCACATCCATTCTTCCTCACAAGCATCACGGCATCCTACTACTAATAGGCTTCTGGCCACGCACATCTTCCCTGTTGATACCACCAATTCCTTCTTCTTCTTTCTTCCATCGTTTTTAAAGTTTTGGAAACAATAGGTGCGGCTATCAGATATCTACTTCCAAAGCATGCCTGACTTTAATCCCATTTTCGAAGTTGAAATTGTCCAGTCATGGGTTGAAGCTAATCAAGATGGGTCCTACCCATTTGCCTGCCCCATGTACAAATTCAATCCCCAAACCTATGATAAGTGCAAGAAGCACCAGTTCAGGAGGATCTCGGATGTGAAACAGCATCTCACCCGTCGCCATGCGCTACCCTCCCACTCATGCTCAATCTGTTGGAGTCCGTTCAAAGACGACACATCCAGAACCCATCATATCCGCCACGCCAATTGCCAACAACAGCCACAGCCAGAGGAACTCTCGCCCGAAGAGGTTAATAACTTAAAGTCGCTTCGGGACCGCGACCCCCGTGTTGTATGGCTAGCCATTTGGATGCAGCTTTTTCCTAGGGTGCAGCCACCTTCATCGCCTTACGTCAAGCCTAACCAGATCGAAGAGGTCAAAGATCTCATTTATCCCGGCGTTTTGGTTGCCTTTCGGTCCAACCTGCCGACGATAATGTCAAATAACACAGACTTCGCATATATTGTTAAATCCATTCTGGACAGCGCCAGTGATTTTTACTTCCATCACTTGCCAAGATCCCGACACTCACCGATGCCACCATCTTTACCATCCATGCCCCGGAACGAGACTCAGATGGGTGTCATCCAAACTACGGCAACTGAACAATCACGACAGCGAGATGGCCCAGGCAATCGCGACGTCGGCCTGGGGTGTGACCTAGATAGAGACGAACCCCTTGAGGATGTCGAGATCAGCATGACCCTTGGTGATTTGGATGACATTGGGTCCTATGAGTGGATGTGATTGACTGTCACGCAAATCATGTATGGATGTAGGCAACTCTCTTTGCACTAATGCAAATTAATCAGTGGGATGGGCGCAATGGGTGATGAAGATGATGAAAAATAAGACGCACACAAAGGTCGCTAATCATGTGAGGCTGCATCGTCCTGCAGCTCCTGGCCTATGCCCAACAGCTCAAACCGCTGCAATGAGTACGTGAAGTGTATCTGGGTGAATGCGCGCACTGGCGTCTTATGGATACCTTGTCAAAGTATTTGATTATCGCTTGATTCATGAAAGCGAGAATAATGAATAATGGAATACACATAGTCTTGGTTTTCAGTTTCAAAAGAGCGTAGACAATGATTTTCATGTTTCGAATGGAGAATGGAGAATGGAGGTGTAGGGTGGCTCAATCGAGAGCAAAGACCATATCATTTCAGCGAGTTTATTTGCTGACTACGCACAAAGGAGTTATAAATAGCAGAGCGTGAATGAAAAGCACTGCCGGCGACGATGATTCTCATTAGACGCATGACCTGCGCCTTTCTATTTAGGTATAATATTTATTAGACATTCGCCCATTATTTCTAATTGAAGCTTAATAAATTTAAATCCTCCAGCCAGGGCCTTATTGTCGATTTGCTGTACGCGAGGCCCCTATTTGGTAGTGGCCGTGCTGACGTGCGACCGTCGACGGTGAGCACTAATAAACGCGATGGCCTGTATGTCTTACTCTGATGCTGTGGCGGAGGCAGGCAGAGCAGCCCTGCAAACCTATTGTTGGATACGATTGACAGGCAAAGCATGTACGCTCATACTGAGAAGATTGGCTTTCTCTGATGATGCCAACGCATGGGAAATATCACCCAGCATGTATGTCTTGGATGTTGTTCGCTCCATTGGCTGTGAAGCGCCAAGCAGAAGAGGGGAAGTTTTTGCCTATTCTTAGTCCCAGCCAAGCGATCACTGCTGGCTCACAGCGACGCATTGTATGTTTGCCGTGTTCCATCTCTGTGCCGTGTTTCGAGATCAGGCCGCCGACAGGACACGAACGATGGGGACCACCTCCTCATTTTTTTTCTCCTGAGATCCAGTCCCCCAACCATGTGAATGTCGCAAGCAATGATTGTCGCTGCCGTTGGTCTGGCCTGGGGACAAGTGCCGATCGCTCAGCCAGGGGCAGCCGTGCCCAATGGATCCCCCTGTTTCAAACACAGTGGCTAGCTGCCCTTCGCGTTCGGATCGCCATGCGTGCCCATGCAGCGGCGGAGTCGCTTGCCTGGGAGCTGCTGGAAGCAGAATGGTCCCGCGTTTTGAAGGCCTGCCCGAGTAGCGATGTGGCAGTTGATGCTGATGAGCATAGACTGTGTCGGTCCCGCGGTGCTTGATTGACTGTTATCCGAATGGGCGGTCCGGCATCACGATTCAGTTCATCGATTCAGGGGCAGCCGCGCGGAAGCAGCAAGAATCGGCACAAGCCGTGGGGATGTGCAACGTTCCAGCCGCAGCACCCGGAGAGGCAACGAGCGGCGGTGATTGGTGTGTTGTGAAAACAGCGGTCGGCTCAACCAGCCCCCAAGACTCTCATCTGTCAGATTTCTCTCAGCCACAGCGCAGGTCAGAGCGGTAAGCCGGCAACTTGGTTCGCCAGCAGATGGAGCTACGAGTTCAGTGGCGTGGATGGTGCCGTTGCTGGCAGCCTGTCATGCTGCAGGACCAGACGAAGGTGCAACAAGAGCCCCTGACTCTATTCAAGGTCTCCATCCAGTCCATTCATTGTGGATGGCCCCTGTCCGTGCCGCTTTGACTTGCTTTTGCTGCGCTTTGGCCATAGGGCTCGCATTCTGCTGACAATGGTGCCGTTGATCTTGGCCGCAGCTGGGGACAAGGCCGGGCACTGCCCAATGGCTCGAACGATGTGGTCCAGGACTTGCCCAGATCGGCATGAATCCATGTCTGAGGGGATGCTTGTGCATCTATAAAACAATCCCCCGAGATGGTTGCAGCCCAGTTCCTTGTGTCGTCTCATCTTTGGTAGCCAACAAGCATTTCCTCTCTAGCGTCTCATCTCAGTTTCCCATCTCAGCATTTATAAATCTCAGCGTTTCCTTCTCGTTGTGTGCCTGATTCTTCCCTCCACACACACTCATTCTCCGGTTCATTCTTTCATTTCATCTCTCGCTCGAACAGACTGCTTGACGCATCTCACTTCGCATTCGATTCATTTCATTCACACCCTGCCTGCTAGTCACGCACTTTATATACCCAGACCAGAACCGTCATACACAATCAATCAACACCATCAACATGCAGTTCTCCAGCCTCGCCGCCATCGCCGTTCTCGGCCTGGCCTCGCTCACCACCGCCCACCCCCACAAGCGCTCCGTCGACCTCGTCGAGGCCCTCAAGATCCTCGCTCCCAAGTCCGTCTCCTGCGCCGGTGCTAAGAAGCCCGACGAGTGCCGCACCGCCGAGCAGGCCGCGCCCTTCCTCGAGGCCGGCTTCAAGAAGTACGGCCTCGTCAGCGACAACGCCAAGGCCGCCGCCCTCGGCCTCATCTCCCTCGAGTCGGGCGACTTCCAGTACAAGCGCAACGCCTTCCCGGGCCGCCCCGGTCAGGGCACCTGCAACATGCAGATGCCCAACTTCAACCTCGAGTACGCCCGCTCCCTGCCCGAGGTCGCGCCCCTCGTCGCCAACATCACCACCACCGAGGGCCTGTCCGACGCCGAGAAGAACCGCATGCTGGACCTGCTCGTCGAGAACGACGAGTACAACTTTGGCAGCGTCTCGTGGTTCGTCAAGTGGAAGTGCCCCGAGGTCCGGTGCACCCTCGCCAAGGACATCAACCAGGGCTACCGTGACTACATGGCCTGCGTCGAGGTCGACCCGGACAACGAGGAGCGCATGGCCTCGTTCAAGCTTGCCAAGCAGGCCTTTGGCATCACCGTATAGATTGTCTTTTGTTTTTTGGGATGTGGTGTTTGTATCATGAGAAAACATGGGCCACAAGGCGCCCATCTTCGATTCTAATGCGGGAAGAATCTCTGGACAAGAGTCTCGTCTACTCTTGCTGTACCTACATAGCGTATCCTTCAAAATCAAGAGTATCCAATGAAATCACTTCCCGTTCCATCTATGTGACCACTCGTGCATCTTCTCAATGAAACTATACTCTCAAAGAGCCTCAGCGTGCACCATCTCACATGCCTTGATAGGCCAAGAGCGGAGATCTGTTACATGTCGCAGCGCCCAAATTTAGCCACCAGTTGTATCTTTGAAACACGGAGTTCCCCTGATTGCCCATGGGATGCCGGGGATCGGAGTCGAGACGGATGTCTGGTTCGCCGTCGGGTTGCATTTGTTTGATCGCTTGGAACCCTTGCGCAGATGCACGTCAATCAGTCCCGGCTCCAGATGTTTCATCACCTCTGGAGATGATTCATGCGATGCTTGTGATTGATTTTATTCATCATATTATCATCACCTAGTGTGCTACTCAAGGTAGAAAAATAAAACACATCTCACGTTACTTTATGTCAATCCCATCATACGTGAATAAATAATAAATCATCAAACCTCGTACCGATCCGTAGCATCCTTCGCAGGCCGGTAAGTCAAATAATCAAACTTGGCTTGGATCGCCAACCCATTTAGATCTGAACACGCTACACCCACAAATGACCCCGTGAAGCTCCCGTGATCCGGATGCCCTCCACACTCATCCGACACAATCGACGCATCATACACCGGCCCAATCTTCGCCAGCTCCCCTCCCTCAAGAGCATAGAAGAACTGCATCCGCCACCCGCGCACCTCCACCGCCAGCCTCACCTTGCCCCCGTCCGGGATATCAACCGGCGGCACAAACGGCTTCTCCAGCGCGCCGCTCGGGTATGATTCTTCCGACGACAGCAGCAGCAGCTCCCGCGACCCGTCCGACCCGGCCGTCACAGTGAGGTAGAAGAAGTTGAACCGCGAGTAGTACACCGTCAGCCCCGCGAACTGCCTCTCGTCCTCGGGCGAGAACGCCAGCGTCGTCTCCGCGTCGAACGAGAAGTGCGTCTGCCGCCTCGCCACGAGCGCCTGCTCGAACCACGACCCGATTGCCTCGCGCCCGATCAGGTTGAGCGTGCCCCCCTCGGTGTTGAAGATGCGCTCCGGCTCGGGCGTGCGCAGCCACTGCAGGTCCTTGTGCAGCCCGTCCTGGAAGGTGTACCACTTCTCGGACCAGTAGTCGGTGTCGTCGCGCGCGGCGGGGAGGTCGACGAGCAGGGATGGCGTAGGGCCATCTTTCACGTAGAGCCAGTCGTCGTCGCCCCAGCGCGCCTCCTGGATGGCCGTCTCGCGCCCCAGTACGCACCGCCGCTTCTGCCCGATGGGACGCCCCGTCAGGTGGACGATGTAGGTCCTGCCGTCCGGGGTGTTGACAACGTCGCCGTGCCCCGCGCGCTGGAGGGCCGAGAAGGGCGTGTCCTTTGCCGTGAGGATGTGCTTCTGCGGGTGCACCTCGTACGGCCCCCAGAGGCTGCGCGAGCGCGCGAGCGTGCAGGCGTGGTCGTAGCCGGTGCCGCCCTCGGCCGTGAGGAGGTAGTACCACCCGTTGCGCTTGTACAGGTGAGGCCCTTCGACGAGTTTTAGATCCGTGCCCTGGAAGACGTTCCTGCGGGGGCCGACGAGCCTGCCGGCCTTGGGGTCGAACTCCTGGAGGGCGATGCCCGCGAAGAGGAGGGGCCTGGCGCGGTGGTCCCAGAGCATGTTCACGAACCACTTGCGGCCATCGTCGTCATGGAAGAGCGAAGGGTCGAACCCGGACGAGTTGGCGTAGACGGGGTCGGACCAGGGGCCCTCGATGGCCGGGGCGTGGACGATGTAGTTGTGCGTGTCCTTGAAGGAGCCGTCCTTGCGCTTGACGTCGGTGTAGACGAGCCAGAAGCGCTCGCCGTCGTGGGTGAGGCACGGCGCCCAGACGCCGCAGCTGTCCGGGTCGCCGCGCATGTCGAGCTGGGACTTGCGCGTGAGCGGCCGCGTGACGAGCGTCCAGTTGGCCAGGTCGCGCGAGTGGTGGATTTGCACGCCGGGGAACCATTCGAATGTCGATGTGGCGATGTAGTAGTCCTCTCCGACCCGGACGATGGACGGGTCCGGGTTGAAGCCCGGGAGGATTGGATTGCGGACTGGAGGCATTGTGTATGTAAATCAAAGCACAAGGATCAAAGGGAAGAGTATTAGCAGGAAGGATTGAGCTGTCAACTATTCGCTTAGATGCTGTAGGCAGTTCAATCCGTTTCCCTAGCAGCCAGATGAAGATGGTTTACTCTCAGAAGGGCAGAGTATTGGTACGGCTTCGGGGCCATCCTTTAATACTTTAATATACGCACCCGCGACGAGCCATTCATACACAAATGGCAATCCGAACCGCGTGGGGTGAGGAGGCTCCAGAGTAGATGGAGTCTTTGGGGATATCTGCTCCAACATTGGATGCAGCTTTATCCGGCTCTTTAGCCTGTTGGACACCAACTCCACAGGAGATCAATTGCCTGAGTGAAGTAATACTTAGAACATATGCAAACTTAAAATAGAAAAAGCATCGTAGCAATGTAATGAAACTTGTGGGCAATACTACCTTTAAGAATTCAATGGACAGGCATTTTGCCTTTTACTGTAATCCAATCCACCGTGAGAAAACACCAGGTGGACCACAAGAGGCCAGCACAGCTTCAGTGCTGTTAGGAGGGGTATGTGTAGACATGTTCGACACCAAGTGCTATTCGTCAGTGGCCCAATTACTAAGGGAAACAATACTGCCTAAAATCAAACCCCATATTGCTGCCCACTCCTCGAGGGATGGACGACGATATACTCTTTGAGTTCATGGTATAATTCGATAGGCAAGTACAAAACTTACAATGCTGGCTTTGGATTGAGTCTGCCTGAGGGACCCATGGCCAGTGAGATATGATGACTGGTTCGGCGAGAGTAAGCACTAATCATGGCTCCTCTCTCACTGCCTCATCAGGCTTATAGCTTGTCAGCACTCTGCCTATGTAAGGGGATTATTTATTGAGTAAAGTCTTGCGCAGTGTATTTTCCATTTGTTTTCCGCATCCTACTTTCAACCTTCACCATGAGCTCAGATCCCACCACTGAAGCCAAGCCAGACCTCCCGAAGGAGGAGGGACAGGAGGAGGGCGACGACTATTACTGTTATGACGACGATATCATCGAGCAATGGTCGGGCATCGCCAAAATAATCAGGCTAGAGACTAAAAAAGCATACGCTTCAAGTCCCACCTTCGATTCGAAGGCTCCTGGACCCTTCCAAACATACTGGAGGGGTATCTTCTCCAAGATCGAACAGCTGGTCCTCGAGGACGCCAGCATCCCTCATTACCTTACAAAACCCCCAATGAAGCAGTTCACAGTGAGGTTCTTTAACGAGCCTGACGCTATGTGCTGCCCGTGCACTCTACCCGACACCGAGAAGAGCATTCACCTGCGCAGCGAAGATGGCGTGACCAAGGAGGACCTCATCAAAGCGGTTACCCGGGAACTGTACGGTGATAAACTTCCAACTGTATTCTCGGCCGAGAACGGCTCCAGCGACGCGGAGAGCAGTGACGAAGACGCGGAGAAGGAGACTGTGGAGAAGGAAATAAAGGAGCAAAAAGAGAAGGAAAGCAAGAAGAAAGAGAATACGGAGGATGGGAGCAACGGAGCCCTGATGTACTGGTCAGACTGGATGTCCAAAGGAGGCGAGAGTCCGGAAAGATTGGCCTACCTGCATTACCTGAGTGACGAACAGTACGCTCCTGAGATTATTATGTATTTTAGTTCCTACGGGAATTTCAATCGCCGGCTGGAATTCGTTGAAAAGAAATTTAGTAAGGTGGGGGACTTGTGATTCATATGATTTAGTTAGACAAACAAAAGCTGCATTTTTTTCACTCACTTTGGTAGGGTCTTATTCTCCCCGGTTTCAATATTAGGACGTCATCTAATTGAGGCTAGAAGCTTAATGATTATGATTCAAATTACAACAGGTATTTCTGTTAATTTTCATGCGAGTGCCAAATATATTCGACCGTGATCAGGATGAAGCCTCTTACCCTTACCTTGGTGATGAAAGTCTTTTTCATGCACCTCTTAATGTTCATTCTTTGTAGACAATATCAAAACAGGAAAGTATATCCTAGAATATGAAAAGAAGGTTTCAAAACACCACACAACGATACTAGGCGTTTCACGCTGATGCCTCTTGCCATTTAATGGCCCATTCCTCTCAGTTGAGGCCCTGCCCTTGAGAACTCTCAGGCCCTTTGACTCCAACTTCAACAATCAGCATCTAAGAGTCCACTTGGGATGAACTTGGATATCCATAACAATTTGCAATTGGTTCCCAACAAGCTCAGCTAGCGGTCTATTCATCCGAGAAGAACTCAGTCTGTCATCTTCTTACTCGTAGTCCTCCACCTCTCCCACATCCCTTCAGGGGCGACCTCCCCGGCCTCCGGTTGTGTAACCAACGCCGGTGGGTCGGTTTGGTGGGGGACGAGGAATATTAGGACGAGGTTTGGCTCGGACATTCAGAGACCTTCGGCTTTGGCCTCCACGGCCTCCAGTTGTATAACCAACACCAGTAGGCCGGTTTGGTGGAGGGCGAGGAATATTAGGACGAGGCTTGGCTCTCTTATCAAGAGACCTTCTGCTTTGGCCTCCACGACCTCCAGTTGTGTAACCAACGCCGGTGGGTCGGTTTGGTGGGGGGCGAGGAACATTAGGACGAGGTTTGGCTCGGACATTAAGAGACCTTCGGCTTTGGCCTCCACGACCTCCAGTTGTATAACCAACGCCAGTAGGTCGGTTTGGTGGAGGGCGAGGAACGTTAGGACGAGGCTTAGCCCGCACCTCCAGTTCCTCCATGATGTCTCTCTCATCAATGTCGTCACGAGCTTCTAAAAGAAGACCATCGTTGAGGAAGTCCTCGCCTCGTGTGTCAAGGCCGCTGTCCTCGATGAAATCAGCGGTGACATGACTTGTGAGGCTAAGAACGATGGCCGAGACGAGAGGAATGTGTTTCATAGAGACCATTTTGGGAGAATAGTTAAAGTACCAGCCAGTGATACCTATGCTAATGAAGAGAAGTAAAAAACTGGAAATGCAAAGAAATTGAAGGAAATGTATCGATAGGGAGTGGTGGTTAAATGTCTTGATTTTGTTTATACCAAATATTCTGGTTCCTGAGCGATAACTAGCGATGCCTTTTATATCAACTATTTAGGATATTTTTAGATTCTTTTTACATACTGTGGTTGAGGCTATTTAAAATAGCATTACTATCGATTATTGCTTCTGTGGAGATTTTAATATATATCCATGCTTCTTTCACTTGCTAGTCCGACATGACGCAAGCTTGTCGCCATCTTCGGCAAAAGTCGTTTTAGGAATAGTGTTCGTTGATTGAGTAAAAGTCAGGCAATGAAATCCATCAATTCTTTTATCATGATACGCGGGCTCATTCGTTCATTCTAACCTATCGCCCTCATCATAATGGCACGTGGGATGGGGAATTTACGTGGTAAACAAGGGAGAATGAGGGATGGGAATGGCTCTTAGATGGGCTTCGCGTGGCCAAGGACAGAAGAGCTAAAACAGACTCCCGAGGAGAAGTGACTGACCACGGAGTAGCGCTCGAAGGATGGCCTTCTGCTAATTCCTTAATACCACACCGGCAAATCTGCCAAAGTCCCGAATTGGAACCGATACGCGGTATTAGCATGGCTGAACATCAGGGCGTAGTTCGAAAGCGTTCCTGTACACATTGAGGATTGAGAGTAGCACAATGAGGTTAGTGGCAGAGACGAACCTCTTCTGGACGCTCGGTGTTTTGAGAGCTGCGTTCAGATGCTAGCCGACATTTAATGTTGGCGCATGCTTCCCTTCGAGGGTCGGCCGAGGCTGGGGGCCCATGGACCATCCGAGCTCATGGTTCGATTCCTTTGACAAGGGTCAGATGGCTGGATCGCAGCGGGGAAGCAGGAAACCGCCTTTGCCTCAGCCCTGCATTGCCAGTCCAATCTTAAATAGGTACTTCAAGTACCGGCAGAAGCGAGTTGAATGCCTAGGCTAGTATAATATGCACTATATCCCGAACGACGTTTCCCTGTTAGTATACACGGCCAAGGTGTTATATACGAATTAGCGTGAAGGATCGATCCTGTGAAAATTGACCGCGTAAGTCGACCCATCCGCTTTCTCCGAAGAGAATGATGATAGTTCCGCCATGATTTCGACGGTTTGATTGTCTCCTTCACAATAAGGGCATAGACTACCTCAAAGCGAACTGGGAAAGTCAGGAGCAGTATTCCCTAGTATAACGAATAGGGAAGGTAAAATACTTAAGCAATGGATTGACAAAGTTTAGCCTGTTCACGATGCCGATGTCGGTGGAACCAAACTCTGTTGGGCGGAGTGCGCTTGTCTCCCGCAAACGGGGTTGTGAGCCCCATCGTGGATATCGATCAGGATCCATCAATCGCCTCTTGCCTCTTCTGCTCATGTCGCCGAAGACCCTGAACGCCCAAGGCATCCCTGAGGTTGGCTTGATGCAGTCTGGTACGTTGAGGACCAATACCTTCGTTGTGCGCGGACCCAGTCTTAGACGGCAGCATGGCAAAACCAACAAAGCGCGGTTTTCCCACACAAACAGAGTCCGACGTGGATAGAGATGAAAGAAAGTGAGTTGTGATCCCTTGCAGAATCTTCTACTGCCTTCCCCTCTCCTTCGATCTAACCTGATAACTTAGGAAAATCCGCAACCGCCTCTCACAAAGAGCATTTCGCCGGAGGCGAGCAGAACACCTGAGGGAGCTTGAGAGTCGCGCAAATGCCTCGGACCAGCCGGATGGTGATAGAGTTGTGGTTCTAGAGCAGGAAAATAGGCGATTGCGAGCACACATCACCCAGCTTCAATCGCAGCTTGAAAGCATACAAGCGACAATTCAGCTCATGACCAAGTCGTCGACTCTTCTTCTCGATGCCACTGACCCTTCCAGCAATGAAGGGTTGGAGATTGAGCAAGTTCGAACACAAACTCAAGGCAAACAGGCCCCGAGCAATATAGCTAGCACTTCTCAGGAAATTTTGGGGACACCTGCTACTCCAAATAACAATCACCAAAACGCTAGCAGCAACTTTTCGCTCATTCGTGGAAGCAATCCGGGGAGATTCTCACCTTCTTTTGGTAGCCACAATGTGGAAGCAGGACTTGATGGGTTTGCCGAGTCGCTCGGCCCAATTCAACTTGACTCTCTCCCGCTCACACGAATGCCTGAGTTCTGGGGGCTTAGCCACCAGATGGGACCGCAAGCGTATGCGAATGCTCTAGAATTAAGCTTGCCATCGCCGTCTAGTGCTTTGGTTGGTTTGAATTGCGTCGAGTCTAACTCGCCGTTCTCGGATCACATTCAACTCCTCAAGAAGCTGTTGAAAACGAAATTAAAGCAACCACATCGTATGGATAGAGCCTTTTGTCAAACGTGAGTTACCATGATACACATGGAACAGGCCGGAATTCGCTGTTTCTAACTTCCTTTGTTAGATTATACCAATCGGTATCCAGTGTCTTAGCCATGTTCAATAGCATCACACGCCCAGATGTCATGAACTGGTATGCGAAGACGCGCTTCTTCCATATCGTCGAGCTCACTGCCTGGCAAATCTTCCCCTCGCCCGTGACTTTCTCCCGCCTGAGCGAGCGGTATAAGCCAACCAGATCACAGCTCGCACTCCAAGGTCAATACCCATGCGTGGTAGACTGGATCCCATTTGCGTCAATCCGAGACCGGGTTATTCAACTTCACGCCGCGAACCCATGCATTGACCAGATATTCTGCGATGCCGTGAGCGCGTACGTGGTTGAGTCTACCATGTCGGAGCTGATCATGGGCACGTCTCCTATCAAAGTCTACGTTCGAGTTACAGACTTGATTGCAAGCATGTCGCCCGACCAGACTCGGGAAGAGAGACTGGGCATCGACAGCGTACAGCTCCCTGCTCCTGACTTGAGGACGCTCTTCTCGTCGCCCAAGTACGCACAGTTGGCATTCGAATATCTTCGGATGGACTGTGGTGCGCAAGAGTACAAAATTGACCCAATATTCTTTGGGAAATACCCTGAGCTGTGTGATCCATCCGACGATATCCTTGCTACTGGTGTGCCGCTCAGGCCAGAGAGCCAGATAACGCTCACCAGCCCGAGACACCTTGACCCCATGACCATGACGATATACAGCAGTTTTATTAATTTCTCGTTCGATGCAGTCAAAGCTTTTTCAAATCACACTACAACCAGACGGAATCACAATGTTCTGGTGTCGGGCTAATGCTCCACGAGCACCAAGACAGTCTTTGGTTGGAGCAGACTATAGACCTTTGGTGAACAGCCATATTATTCAAACTATATAGTGGCTGCTGCAATTGCCTTACTTAGCCCTGACATTGTTGTGGAAGGATGTGAAATTCTCTTCCGAAACGGCAGAATAATCCACCAAAGGAGAGTATCAACAGCATCAACGCTTCCACCAACAGACCCGGCAACCCAATAGGATATCGCGGGTGGAGCTAGTGCTGTTATCCTCGTTGGAGTCTGAATCAATTGTTTCGGCCACGGATGGACGGGCTGTTGTGAGCTAGGTGGTGTTTGATACATCCAATGAGCATAAACTTGATCCATGATGTTGAGTCGGTGCCCGTGAAAGTGGCTCCCGTGCTCCTGTAAACGAACGGCACTGATTCAGAGTTGCTGGAGGCATCCCCAATCATTGTCAATAAGGAAGTGGCGCCCGGGAATCCATTGAGCCAAACATTCTCACATGACTGGATGCCTGAGTCACCCAGACCGGTAAGCTGGAGGCTTCCAAGTTTACTAGTCTCATCTGGATGAATAAAAGAGATTTGTTCTCTCCGAATGAAGAACTTAGGTTCTCGTTTTTGTTGAATTAGTACTATTGAAGATTGAAAAATTGATAGAAACTCTTTTGTTCTTCCAACTTATTGTGCCATGGCCATGGTCAAGGACATTTCTATACCACCAGCTATATTTGAATATTACTTCTGTTGGGTTAGTAGCCATATATATCACAGGTTCTTGGACCTCGAGTTTAAATAAGCTTTATGGTGTGAGTAAGTGGCTGAAATAACATAGAAAACATGGCGCACCAGAACGCCACTCCCAGCCTCAAGTCAGTAGATTGGGAAGACATGGCTCACAGTCCCTGCATTTTAGGAGATAAACAATAACATTCATTCTCGTGCTCATAACGGTTTAAAAATACGACTCTCTAGTTCGATTGGGTGCTATGGGGAACATCATTGGATATCAGGCCGCCCTTCGTAGATTCTGATGACAAATGTCATGGTACAGATAGGTACAGAGTTATTCTCCTTGAGAACAACTAATCGCAGATGAAATGCAGGAATGGAAAGCTGGAGATAGCTAATTCCGTGGGAGGAACGCTAACGATGGTTGGGCAGCTGGAGATATCGCGAGCGAAGGAGCAGGGGTTCTGGGCCTAGTCAGATCTAGACCCGTGATAGAGACAACCAATGAGAGAAAGCCGACATGTTCGAGATGAGTCTGGGCCTCTGACCGTCCGCTCATGGTCGAAATGACCGAACCCTCTGCTTATTCACTATATCCTGCATGAACTCATCAAAGGGAAACGTGGCTGAGGTGATCACTGTCATCGGATCGGTTTGGCTTCTTGGACATTGGTATAGGACATCAAGCCGCGGCAAGCTAAATAGAAGTGACATTTAGCGCTCCATCAATGGGCTCACAAGTATTCTCCAAGACAGGGGATCTGGGGCTGGACAACGAAGTCCGCCTTGTTTGAGCCTAGCAAAGCAATAGCGCCACCAGCTGAACCACCATTGCTTTTATATGAGGCAATGCAGATCTGCACCAATAATTAGGCCAGCAGGCCGAGCATACAAAATGGTTCGAGTGCGTGGATGTTGTATTTCTTAGCAAGCTCATGAAAAAGTCTTCCACCAACTTTTGACTGTTCTGAAGCATCATCACAGCAGCCTTCTGCAATGGCATTTGGCCGCCGGGACCAGAAGGCCAATATGTTTGACACAACGCACGAGATAAAATATGCAAAAGCAGAAGACCAGCTGGGAACCGACCCGGCCGTGCCATTCATCCCCAACTCAGAGGATATGGGCAAGAAGGGTCGAAAATGGATACCGACAGGCTGGAAATTTGGTACCGCCGCGGCAGCATTTTTGACGTCCATTATCTTAATCATCAATATTGTTGTGGCCATCATCTGTCGCGCCAAGATCAGCTCAAAAACAGGCTCGTCCAGTATTGGACCAGTGCTCTCAGGAGATTGCGCCAGCATTAATAAACTCGGGATTGGGATCCATCTTGTTATCAACATCGTCAGCACGCTCCTCCTTGGCGCCAGCAACTACTGCATGCAAACTCTGAGCGCTCCTACCCGCGAGGATATTGACAAAGCACATAAGCGAGGCTCATGGATGGATATCGGCGCACCTAGCTTGCGGAATATCCGGTTCGTGAGAAAGCGGAGGCTGTTTGTCTGCCTCTCTCTTGCGCTAACCTCCATACCTCTACACTTGGTGTAAGTTGTCCAGCAGCCATACTATCCGCTAGACTGACTGTTGGGGATAGATACAATTCTACGTTTTTTGTATCTTCAAACAATCATTTATATCGTGTCTGGTTCGCCGATGAGTCCTTTGCGAAGGGCGCCCCCTTCAATGGTTCAGTCATCAGGGACCTATTCATACCACCAGACATTATGCTGGCTAACACGAAGAGGCTGCAACAGAGGCTGATGCAAGGAGAGTTTGAAAAGCTATCAAATGACGAGTGTATCAATGCCTACGCAAAAACCCTTGTCCAAGATCGGGGAGACGTAGTTCTAATCATCGACCGACCGGACAGCTGCACTGCTTTCCCAAAGATATCCTACGCACCCTTTGAGGAGTGTGGAAACACATCAGCCACGAGTCTGTACAGCATGGTCAACTATGAGACCGGAATGACACCAGAGATCTCCCCGCGCGTCACCAACTGGTTTAGTTGGATTTGCTCTCAAAGATACTACTACGTCGATGAAAAAAACTCTGCCGACCCGCCCCCTGCAGAGTTGTGCAGTGACGGAGCCTGGAAGAAGCAACTGGGAGCAGATCCCTGGATTGTTGGAACAAAAGTCCATTACTGCCTCAGTGAGAAACTGCCAAATGAATGCCAGATGAATGTGGCAATCAGTTTGCTATACGTTGTTATTGGCTTTAACATTGTCAAGCTCGTGCTCATCCTGGCCATGGTGTCAAGTAGCTGGGTAAATCACAAACCTCTGGTTACGCTGGGGGACGCTGCGGCATCATTCATCGCAGTCCCTGATCCCCGGACGAAGGGGATGTGCTTGTTATCTAACAAAGAGATAATCAACCACAAAGGCGATCAAGTCATATCTGCAACTATGTATCAACCAAAAAAGCGAAAATGGGCTTCCGGAGTCAGTAAAAGGAGGTGGATAGTCGCAAGCCTTCTGTGGGTGCTTTTCCATTACCCCCATGCATGTATTAAGCTAACTGTTAACTTGAAGAACGTTTATTGCGCTAGCTGTGATATTGACACTGCTAGGTTATGGGATCTACATGCTCAACACTCGATATCAACGCGGTGGTTTCAATTTCTTGTGGTCATTGGGTCTGGGTAGTATCACGCCCTACAATTTGATCCAATGGAAGATCCCCACCAAGGGCGATATAGCTGTCATTGCTACTGTTTTGGTAGTGAATCTTCCACAGGTGCTACTATCTATCCTCTATATCGTTCTCAATGGGCTGTTTACCACCATGGCCGCCGGCGGGGAGTGGTCCAACTTCGGTCACAAGAATCATCAGCCTCTTCGGGTATCGTTTCCGAAGGGTGCCCAGAGGTCAAGCTTCTTCCTTCAACTTCCATACCAATACGGAATCCCAATGCTGGTTCTCTCAGTGCTCATGCACTGGTTGACTTCGCAAAGCATTTTCCTCTCACAAATTAATGAGTGGTACACCTATCAATACAAAGACTTCAAGACTCTAGACGCATCGGAGTGGAAGGTTCCATATACCACAGGAGCATACTCGCCAGTAGCAATAGCAGCTACCTGTTTGATTATTGTCATCATATTCTCGGGAGCTGTGGTGCTGGGAATGCGCCCGTTGAAACCCGGCATACCGGTAGCAGGAAGTTGTAGCTTGGCTATATCAGCCGCCTGCCATACTCCCGAGGGAACATCTGAGCTGCTACCACTTAGATGGGGTGTGGTAACAACTTCAGATTCCGGCCATGGCGGTGTCGGTCATTGTTCCTTTTCAAATAATCGGGTGGAACTGCCACAGGCCGGCAATCTCTACGCTTGATGCGTCTTCATTCATCGGCGTTGGTGTTAGGTTATTAGGTTGCGCCTTTTACCCTGTTCTTACGAGTCCATAGGCTAGATGAATTATATGAAAAACTTTCAAGCTCATCATCGTATTCATTGTAGGTATACATCGTTGACTTGGTGATGTTGCTAGAGATGATACTGATGAATGGGTGGTTTCTCTTTTCGACTAGTATTCTCATCCGATGTGGGAAGGGTGGATGTTCGCAAATTAATCTACACATTATAATGTCTGTAATTAACTGCCACGATGAATCGGGTTTTCATCTGAGACCACTTATCAAGACCTTGGAAACAAATATATTTCAGATGCCCATTCGTGGTTCTATTGACCCTACTCTGCATAATTGGATGTAAAGTTGTCAGTGATTGAATCCATTGTTGTTCAAGCCTCAATGGGCAAGCTGTGCTTAATTCTGTTTTTAGGTTATATCCATTGAAAGGTTATTCACAATGAGACAATGGGCATGTTTGCCAACAATATCTTTGTTGTCCATCACAACATTTATCGCCTTGTTACATATGCTTGTGAAGCTAATCGCCGTTAGTGAATCACTTCATGCTCTACAATATATATACGCCTTGTTTTCCTTCCTTCCCTCCTCCCCCGGAGTATTCTCCAAACTATCAGCCAGACAATCCAAGCCCAGCTTTCGGCATACCTGCAGCGAGCTAAACATTGGTCGTACTCTTTCGAAATTCCTAATTCTGAGACAAGTTTTGCCCCTAAACGGCCAACATGGAAAGAAACATATGGATCAAAGCCCAGATCCGGCAGCTGGAGGATGTTCTCGCTGGTCTTAGAACCCGGCTTTCAATGATGAACGCAAGACAGTCAAACAACGATGCCGAGTTCTGGAGGGTCTGGGGCAGAGAGAGAGAGGACTATAAGAATTCCCCGGAAGGAATGCGTCTCTTGAGCAATTACAACAGCGACACTGCGAGATTCCGCGCCGATCAGCTGGATTTGGAAAGCAAGATTGATGATATACAGTACCAAATCCGGCTTGAGTACGAAAAGATGACTTTTTAAAATGATCGGAGACCACTCGAGATTGAACTTCTTGGACTACTTTGGGAGTCAAGGGGAGGTTTAAGTGATCTCATGGTTCGGAGTAGAATGCTGGAAGGGGGATCTGAGATGAGAATTTCGTCAAGTGGAACTGCATTTGTTGATCGGCTGGTTCTCGCCCCGAAGACCTCGGGCGGTGGATATTTCTATCACGGGGAACTTTTCACGGATATGGCATACCTAGGTACAAGGTACCTGTCAATTTTGATGTGCTCAAATCTCGATGGAGCTGAGCGCGCCTTGATTTCCAAGGTTAAAATTTAGAGGTGATCTAATACTATAAAAAAGGAGGCGTAGCAGGAATAGATGCATTCGAGCGCAGTAAAATGGCGCAAGATGGATGTCTAGGAACCCGCAATGTGAGATTTGGTGTATACCTCCGGAGAGGCTAGGTTTCGAGACTGATAGCAAATCGAATTTTGCGGGATGCTCAGGGAGGTGACCTTGGCTTCATACAAGTGGCATGAATTGCATTCTCTGTATCTAGGCCGAGCATGGCCTAGAAACCAACCTTTGTCCGCAAGTACCCCACTGGCTAAGCTTTCCAGTGCCTGGAAACTGCCTAGTAAAGCATGCATCATTGTGAGAAATCAGCTCCTGAATTTGGGTAGGCCTGCACTGCCTCCTGATTGAATGGTCCTTTCGTTCGCACTGGGACCGGTTTCTGCTGACCAAAGCCTGCTGATCAGCTGATCAAAACCTGCTGATCAAAACCTGCTGATCAAAACCTGCTGTCCAAAACCTGCTGTCCAAAACCTGGTGCTTCTACCCATGTCATATTTTGCGACTCTATCCATGGCTGGGAGCACACTCAGTTCTCAATAATAATTCGTATGCCGCGACAAACAAAATCTAGCCTCAAGTCTGCCTAAGATATAAAAAGGCGCTTTAAAACATACATCCATTTCATTCGGGCTATTCTTATTCTATTTCCCTTCGACCAATCCTATAATGCCTCCGGAAAGAACCCCGGTGATATCGAAGGAACTGTGGAAGATTCATGAACATGCAATTGATGACATGTATATGGACCAAGGCCTCAGTCTTCGTGAATTGGCGACTAAAATGCGACGTGAACATGGATTTGATGCAAGGTGAGGGCGAAATTAATGCCGTTGTACATTGATTGACATAAGTTGACTGATTCACACGCGGGTAGCCCTTCTCAGTATGAATTGTATCTCAAGAAGCATAACAAGGCAAAAAATGTCAAGACCGAGGAATGGAAAGCGGTTAATGCCGTACTGCGAAGGCTTGATGAAACGAATACTAAATACCGTGTCAAGTTCTTGGGTCAGCTTCTTGACCCAGCTAGAATCGCGAAGTCTAGGAGACGTGCTCAAAGAACGAACTCGCGGGCTAGGGATTCCTCAAATGGTATTCAATTTCGTATATAACGATTCTCGGAAAGTGACTTACCATATCTAGCAGAAGATATCTCGTTCGGCTCAAACCGGCTTACAGTTGAAATCTGGTGCGACGGAAAATGGAAGATCTACGACCAAGACTCTTACGTTGTAGACCCTCGCACACCACCACCACCGAATAGCTATACCGATGTCGATACCGAAGAGCCCATCGAGGAACATTTCTCAAATAGGTCATCTAACCCAGTCGGGCATCCATCGGGGGGGCCTCTTCCCATGGAAACCATTATTTCATCGCCAGAAATAACCACGTCTCCTTCCAATGGCCACCCAGTTCTTTTACACGGGCAGCTGCCTCCTACAGAGTTTGTAAGCCAGGGTCCCATATATCTTTTATGTACATTTATTAACCGAGTCAGTCTTTGGCTGGTAATGCGAGTATACTAGAGGACATGGCCGCTCCTCTATTTGCGGATATCGACTTAACACATCTAAGTGAAGAGCTAAATTCCGTCCACACACTCGCTAATCCTGCCAGCAATGAGAACATTTCTCACTTTCAACTATCAGAGAGGGATCTTCTGAACTCTCTTATTCGTTCAGGGGACCAACAACTGTCGGTGAATCCAGCACCAGGCACTGAGTTCGTAGACTCCGATGACCTGTGGGACTCCTTGTCATCACTGTTACCGGACAGATCCACGCAGACTGGCGATGAAATATTAGCTAGTTCAAACGATGAGAGCGACGTATTTGGATCATCTTTGTACAACGCCCTTTTTTTCTCTATCGTCAACGGTTTTGCTGGTCTCGAAGGCCTGCCTGCCGGGTCCCTCATAGGGACATTGAAAAGCGTGCCCAACATACGAGAGCGGCTTTCTCGATATATTTGTTCGCAACCACCCCCTTTCGGGAGATCTCTCATAGACAATCTATTCCGAGCGGCTGTCGAGGCTCTTGACGAGGATGCGGTCATGATCACGTTTCACATTGCTGACAACTTGCCGGAAGTCCTGCGATACGGGATCGACCAGTCCATTGCTTGCAAAGCTTTCGATGGGGATAGGATGTACACACCAATTATGTTCGCAACCAAATTTCGTCATGTTGGTATCGTACGAGCACTTCTTGACAGGGGTTATGGCCTGGAAAGGACTTTTGGAGACCACAAAGACGAAGACCATGACGAAGAATGTGGGCTGTTGGATATCGCCCTTCGACAAAATGAAAACTTTGAAACTCTGGATATTACACTTATTGATCTAATTGTTGAGAATGGTGCACATGTGCGGCCAAGGCACGTTCTGACTGCTGCACGCTGGGGGGAAGTAGAACTGACAAAACGCTTGCTTTCCTTCACTGGACGTTCAGAACATCATGCCTTTTTCGGCTATGAAGATGGCAGGATAAGTGATCCGCCCCCACCAGGTGCTGGTGTATTTTATCATCTTGTTAAATTCCCAAACGATGATGCCTTCGAGATCTTCGTCACGATCTTCCACCTATGCGAGGATTTCGCATGCCAGCAATGCCCTAAAGGGGCCCAGACCATGTTGGAAGATATCATATTCCACGCGACAGTAAAAGGGAATCACCAATTAGTGCATTTTCTTTTGCGTCATGTTCCTGAAGACTTTTCAGCACTATCCGCCGCGGTTAGAAATGGTGATCGTTCGATGATTGACCTCATGTTAGGTCGTGGGTCTAGTGTGACCGAACCAGTACGACAGATGAACGAAAGCCTCGGTCGTTTTCGGGTGGATGAAGCTGATGTTATCCCAACAACGCCATTGGCAGAGGCAATCAGATCACAAGACGAGCATCTGGTTGAAGAATTAGAAGCTTTAGGAGCTCTAGACAGTCTGAAGGATCATCTACACTTTGTCGCAGCCATATATGCTACAGCTGAAGCAGGTGATATCCCTTACTTGCTATCACTTTTGAAAAGGCGACCGAAGAAACAAAATATCAACTTAACAAGTTCATTGGCGATAGCGATAGAGAAGAATCATACCAAACTTGCCGTTGTGCTCATCAACGCTGGATCCGAGATCGACCCAGATTCGGATACTAACAACCCACTGCTGGAAGCTTTGAAACGACGAAACAGAGTCGTTGCCAATCGAATATTGGAGGTAGCTACGCCTCCATTCTCCTTCTCGTCCAGGGCTTCTATTCTCGAAGCTGCAGTACGCTGGGGGGATACGTCGATCATCAAAGACCTGGTGCTAATGGGTTGCTGTGTTGGTGGTGGACCACTGGCACTAGCTGTTGAGCTCGGCGGTGTGCACTTGGTCCAATTACTTCTTGAACATGGCACTCCGCTTGGAGATACGGCGCTTCTGAGCGCGTGCAAAAAGGGCGACGAGGCAATGATTCGGTTACTGCTCGGTCACGGAGCTAGCCCAGGTGACGGCAGTGCCCTACTCTGGTCTAAGGACAACAATCCGCGGGCTTTCAATACTCTAGTGGAATCATTCATGAAATCATATCTGAGGTGCGATGAATATCTGGGGGGGATAGCTCTGATCAGTGCTATAGAAACTGATGCGCACGAGCTAGTTGACGTTATTCTTACAGTGAATCTCGAGGCAGCAAAGGCTTTTACCACTCACCGTGGCATGGATCGTACAGCCTTGGGTGTCGCTATCTCTCATCAAGACGGTAGTAACTTCTACGCTGTTGATCAACTTCTGCGCCGTGGGATTGGTGTGAACAGCATTGTGCAAAGGCCCTCACGCCGCGTGGATGCCGAGATTATTGGCACTGAGAATTGTTCATATGGCCATTATCATTTCGCAAATGGCTATCCAAAAATACTGTCATCGCTATCTACTGCATTATTAGCTGCGATCGGTACTAAGAACGAGAAATTGGTCGACTTTCTCATCGAACACGGTGCCGACATAAATCAACCCGCGCGAAGGGGTGTGAGATATACTCCTCTTCAGTACGCCTGCGTTGTTGGAAGGTTCAAGATAATTGCAGGACTCGTAGAACATGGGGCAGACATAAAAGCACCACCGGCTGAAAATGGCGGAGGGACTGCTTTGCAGTTTGCCGCGATCAGTGGAAGAATCAAGATTGCCCAATTCCTCCTGGCCCGAGGGGCCGACCCGAATGAGCCATCGGCCCCTATGAATGGGCGCACAGCTCTTGAGGGGGCAGCGGAACACGGTCGTTTGGACATGATAAAGCTCCTTTTTGAAACAGCCAAGGGGGCATTCACCCAGGAATCGCTTATGCGTGCGAATCTTCTTGCTAGGGACCGAGGGCACGCTGGCTGTTCGAGCTTCCTAGCACTTCTATCTAATAGGCTTGAAGGGTACCGGGCTATTATGTAGTATATTCAGCAGTTCTCTAGGCTAGATTATCTGTATCAATAGATATAATTACTATCCTACTATTTAGGGCTCTATACTCTACTAATACCCATGATCTAATTATTCTGTAATACGTCCGTGTTGTTAGAAAGTTAGAAAATGCATGTAGTAATATAAGTCAAATGCAATATATGTTTTATTGCTCACACTTTCAGGGTTATACAGCATGAAGTACTTTTGAATGTGGTCAAGTTTTAATCCCTAAGAGTTCAAGCTTATCTCAAAAGTGGTGTCTCGGCCAAGTGCTGGCCATAAGTGCTGGGTGATTAAGTGATTTGTGGTGGATGGATATGTTATTCCAATGATCTTAAAGCAATAGTATGGAGTGCCGAGTTATGAACAGCAAATTAGCGTATGGAAACTTAGTCCTGTTCGAGACATCGCCAAGTTAACCGCACACGTGAAACAGCCTTGACCTCCCTTCCTGACAACTGCATTCTTCCCAACCTCGGCACACCATGCCCGCGCCATGGCCTCCTCGCCCGGTTCCATCGCGTTGATGATAATCATTCCCGGCCCGGTCGGGATTATAGCTCCATTGTTCAGCTGCCTGGCATAGACGAGCCTGTCAAATAGCTTATGTGTGAGTCGATCGTGGATCGGATGCGTCGTGCCCTCACAATTAGGCACATGCACAAACAGTGGGTTGAATCGGATGGTGAATGACACCTCATCACCGTGGCTGGAAAACTCTAGTCTTGCGCGATACGTCTTCCCGGCAGTATTCGCTGGACTCGCCACTTCGCTCAGTCGAACAGCTTGAAGCTCAACTCGACCTTGAATCTTGAATGAAGAGGGACGTGGTGGTAAGGCCCGGGGTGGATTCCACTTGGAGAGGTTGGCAAGATCTATAGGGAAGGCTTTGGGATCTGAAGGATCGTATTCCTGTTCGAAGCCGCACGATTGGAGATGTGACAACCCTTCTAGGGACAATGGAGGTAACAAAGGGACAGGCTTAGCCTCAATCCTGGCCCATGCGAATGATAGTCCGTGTACTTTTGGTGCAGGTAGAGGCCGCACCCAACCGCATGTTACCTTACTGTGATCCAGGGACGAGAGAATGCGACCCAGAACGGTTAGTTTCGGCCAATAACTTTTGTCAAATATGACCAGCCCACTGTCGAAGCTGGGACAGATGCCTATCTCGCGTGTTTCTGCGCAAATTACAACCAAAGAGGTCAAGATTTGATGTCGAAAATATCGACCAGGAAGAACAAGCCCAAGTAGCCAGTCTAGATGGTAAGGGTGGATGCCGGACCCAAACATGTTGGAGGTAAAATTTTTAAGTGTTTCGTTGATGCTGGCACACGCTTCGTTGAGATATGGCCATCCTAAGGCCTCGGCAAAGCGTACAAGCCCTTCTGCGTGGATCTGAGCATGATTCGGAACAAGATTCCAATCGTTCGTGCCGACGACAGGGCGGACGGTAAGGTGCTCTCTCCAGAGACGGGCGAGTGCAATAAGTGCACATAAAGCCGGACTGATTTGTACCTTGTTTGGGAAACGTGGATTCTTTGCCAAGTTTCTTACGAGTACGGAGGCTAGCTCGCCCATGAGGATATGTTGCAAGAATTTTTGGAGGCCGATTGCGTCTCTGGTTGTGATCTTGGCGATATTAGACGAGAAAGCGAAAAATCCGCGCACATCGGAGAGGAAACTTGGAGGAGTTAATTGAATAGTGGCACAGTCTGCTCCATCTCCGGATCTAGAGATGATTAGAAAGTCCAATGAGATAGGGGGAGGTGGTGGTATCTTACGTGGCGTAAGAGATGATGGCCTCGTCGAGTCCGGTCGCCCCAATCCTATCGAGAGACCCGGTTCTTGAGCACATAGAAATATTTTCATTGAGTGCTTTGATTGAGAGCTGCTCCATCCAAGGCTGTGCTGCACTGAAAACCTCTACGCTTGCGTGTCCCTTTGGCAAGGAACCTTGTTGCAGCCTGTATGCCTCACTGTATCCTCGGACACTGGCAGTTCCTAAATGACAACCGTCATAGTTCGCTATGGTCTCACAGTCAAAGTCGAACACCTCATTACCAGGAAGTGATAGAGACTCGAAGTTATAGTTGAACTTTCTTTTATCTGAACTGAGCGGAACACGCCAATAGTTCTTTTCTATAATGTAATACCATATGTCAGTTACAGTCGCACAATCTCAGCAATGCCGTGCTTAATTCAACTTACCCCAAGAAGGATGCAGAGTGGGTGGTGAACGGGGTGTATCAAGCCGCTGGGAAGCGGTGTAGTTATAGCCCAGAAAGAATAATGCCACCTGATCAACGGAACCGAGACCATTGAATTCTACGAGATACAGAGCGCCTCGACATTTCCGGGTAAGAGTCATGAGTAAGTCTCTGCTCTTAGGATGCTTAAGTGCCCGAATTTCTTCCAACAAGGGATGAGTAACACTGGATGAGGATGGTGGTTCGAGAAATATGGGCTTTGGGGTAGGCAGGTCTTGGCTTGTCTGAGTTTGATCCTCGGCTGTTGGCTGTGGTGCTAGTCGACCCATCTGAGTTGGCCGGGCTGGGGCTATTGGTGATGTTTGTGTCGACATTTGTGTTGATGTCTGTGTGGATAGAGTGGTCTGAGCTATGGGATTCAGAGGGGTATTTTGTGCTCGTTTTGCCGCCTCAGCCTGCGCCTGCTTCAACATGGCCAGTAGGGACAGGGTTTGTTGTACTGTTTGCTTTTGGGGGCCTTCTAGCCTCGCTACAGCTTCCGTGTAGGCCATGTAAGCTTGTTCGTAGTTTTCGGCAGCTTGTAAGATGATGCCTTTTAACTTCCACGATATTCCATCATCCGGGTTGAGCTGGATCGAGACATTGATGGTGCTTAATGCTGCGTCAAGCTGAGGTGGTGTGCTTCCCACCTGGGTAAAGGCTAATCTCTGGTATTGTAAAGCATCGGACTTATTAGCTTGAGCCTGTACGAGGACGCTGGACCCCGGAGAGGATTTGTCTGGTGAAGGTTGGTGTTGTTGCTGAGCGCTTTGATTTTCTGGAATGGAGGCTGGTGGTACTGTCCCTGAGGCTGGCTTGGTTGAAGCTTTGGGTGGCTCTGATGTTTCATTTACATCAGGCAAGTTTGCAGAGGGAGTTGGAGGAGGCCCCTCCGCGACCTGCTCAGCTCTCCCTGGCTGGAGGCTTCGCCGCTTCCTGTCAAGTCGCGTGTTGTGTCAGTTCTGATCCGAGCACCAATCGGTTAAGCCGCCGCATACCTTAGAGATGACAGTTTCTTCAGAAAGGCCATGATATCATATATATTGATATCTCTTCTAAGTGATAAGATAGTTGATGCTACCAGTTCTCTCTAGGATACTAGTTGTAGGTGGCGTGTTTTGCGTTTTGGGTGTGCTGATTTTAGCTTGAGATACGACCTGTACGAAGTGGATTGAAAAGGACTGGAGTGGGGATAAATTCAAGGTGAGCAAGCGGGTTGACAAGAGAAATGAGACACACAATGGAAGAGAATATAAATAAACTACTTTCTTAAATAAGTTAAGATATTTAGTAGTATCAAATGAAATAAAGCAATAACATATCCTATTTATATCTAAAGAACATGTTATTAGTGCTAAATGCATGCTCACTCTCACATTGGATGCCTTAATTCAATTCTCATACATTCAATTTGAGAGTGACCCATATTTCGCGCACGTGACGTGAGGCGGGTGACCAAGGCGAACTTCCACGAGGCGAACTCGACCTGAAAGGTCAACACAACAGAATTTTTTATTACGTACTTCGCAGGTTTTCACAACCTCTTGGTCCGTCCGAGCACGTCGGATAGTCCCAAATGGACACAGTGGTTTCTACAAACCGTACCCGTAGCAAGCGGGGAAATGTCGACACCGCCGCCACTTCAACTAAGCGCCAAAGAGCGCGGACGCTACAAGCTAGCGACAACGGTCTCGGCCATTCAAAGCTCGCATGCGATGCTTATACTGTTGGCTGGGTATGCGCTCTGCCCATCGAGATGGCCGCCGCAATAGCCATGCTGGATTGTACCCATGAAGCCTTGCCTAAGAAACCGGGCGATGACAACGAATACGGCTTTGGAAACATCGGCTCACACAACATCGTCATTGCGTGCCTGCCTTCAGGGTACTATGGGACGAACAATGCGGCTGTGGTAGCCAATAATATGAGGCGAAGCTTTCCTTCGTTAGAGACCCGGCTCATGGTTGGTATTGGGGGTGGCGTGCCGCTTAACGCTGATATTCGGCTCGGCGACGTTGTTGTTGGCCATGAGGTAATACAATACGACCTCGGTAAGACAACTCAAGCTGGTGAATTTCACCGTACGAGCAGTCCGGTCAAGCCGCCATATGGCTTGTTGACGGCCGTGGCAAGACTCAGGGCACAGCATGCGATCTCGACCAAGCTCCCTGCCATTCTCTCTGATGCACTTGATCGTAATCCAAGCATGGAGCAGTATAAATACCCAAGCCTCTCGAATGACCGACTCTTTGAGAGCTCATATGAACATGAGGAACTGAGAGATAATTGTGATTATTGCGACCAATCGAGAATTCGAGATCGACCATCACGACCAGATCGCCAACCCAGAATTCATTATGGCACGGTCGCCTCGGGGAATCAAGTCATGAAACACGGCGAGACAAGGGATAAATTTTCAAGGCAGGACAACATATTATGCTTTGAAATGGAAGCGGCAGGAATGATGGATCACTTTCCTTGTCTAGTGGTGCGTGGAATATGTGATTATTGCGACTCCCACAAGAACAAACAGTGGCAACCATATGCAGCTACCACAGCCGCAGCATATGCCAAGGAGCTCCTTTTATTAATCCAGCCTACGTCTTCGGAAGTACCGCCACATATCAGTGCAGGTAAGAAGATTTCCCTGGTGATATTGATCGCTTGCTAACTATGCCTCAGAACCAGCTCTTGGTTCTCAACCTCAGCATGTGAATCAGGAAAACAGAAAAAAGATCATGGACGCGCTATATTTTGAACAAATCAACGCTCGGAGGCTAAATATAAAAAATCCCCATGGCGAAACCTGCAAATGGTTTCTGAGCCATCCGGTTTTTCGCACTTGGAAGGATACCATGAAACTGCGCGACCATGGCGGATTTATTTGGCTCAAAGGCAATCCTGGCACCGGCAAATCAACAATCATGAAATATCTATTGAAGGAAACTCAGACAACAGACCTTTATGATGCCATTCTTCATTTCTTTTTCAATGCTCGGGGTCATGACTTGGAAAAAACAACACTAGGCATGTATCGGGCACTTTTGATACAGATCTTTCAACAGCTTCCAGCCTTGCAGAGTATCTTTGACAGTCTCGAGGACCACGCTATTAATCAACATCAATGGACTGTTGAAGAACTTGAGGAGCTTTTTGAACAGACTATTGAACAAGCTACAGGCTATTCCATAATCTGCTTCGTTGATGCCTTGGACGAATGTCACGAACATGATGTACGACAAATGTTGAAATTCTTCGAAAGAATAGGTCAATTAAGTCTGTCAGCCAACGGATCATTCAGAGTTTGTTTTTCAAGTCGTCACTACCCGCATGTCGGGTTCAAGGACGGGCTTGGTCTTGAAATTATTTTGGAAGACCAAAAGGATCACAGCAGTGACATCACTAAATACATAAAAAGCGAGCTAAACATAGGCCCCAGCAACCTCGCTCGAAACATACAAACGGAACTACATAGAAAGGCATCCGGTATTTTCATGTGGGCTGTTCTTGTCGTTGAAATACTAAACCGGGAACGGGAGCATGGACGCTTGTACAATCTCCAGCGCAAACTCCAAGAGATCCCATCAGATCTGCATCAGCTTTTTCGTCTCATTCTTACTCAACAAACAGAAACGGATAGCAACCGCCATCTGCTCTGCTTTCAATGGGTCCTCTTCGCAAGATATCCACTCACTCCCAAAGAGCTTTATTTTGCCCTTATCCAGGACGTTGAGGGCGTTGTGCTCGACCCAAAGGACCTACCCCCTCGTGACATCAGACTTTTTGTGTTGGAGCATTCTAAAGGCCTAGCCGATATCACCAAATCTGAGCCTCCTACCGTTCAGTTCATCCACGAATCTATTCGAGACTTTCTGCTTAGAGATGGAGGCCTGAGCAGTAGATGGCCCAGTCTTGGTGATAATTTAATAGGGAAGTGCCATCTTCGACTTCGAGATTCATGCCTCAAATACATTGAAAATGATATAGTCGGTACACTTGGCCTTGCAGAAAAGTCACAGCCCCTCAATTATGGCGCAGCCAGAGAACTTCATGACAAAGCTACCCTTTCGTTCCCGTTCCTGCAATATGCCGTCCAAAACATTATCTTTCATGCAGACCTAGCTGAGAGCAATGGCATATCACAAAAGGAGTTTATATTTGACTTCCTTTGGACGAATTGGATTGCACTCGATAATATCTTTGATTTACGCTGGATCCGGCAATACAATCATAGTACACGGCTAAACTACATTTTAGCGGAACTCAATGCATTGCATCTTCTCAAGTATTTCCCTTCACCCGCTTCATTCTTGACAGTGGGAGGGGAAAGATGCGGCTGTCCACTATTAGTAGCCATTGCCAATGATAACAAAGCCGTCATTGACCATTTCCGGAGTCTACTACTGGAACAATTATCTCCGAAAAGCTTTTTTAGGGCGAAGCTTGAAGAACTTAGACGAGCCAGCAGCGTTTTGATAAACCTGCCCTATGACTTTGTGTTCTCAAATTCTAGATCCGTCATCTCGCATTTGGCAGAGTGTGGCGCCTTAGATATGGTTGCTTTTCTAGTACATTGTAACCGGCCCAATCTGCAAAGTCAAAGGAATACTGAAGACAATCTCCACGTGGACCAGACACATATTAGTTGTGCCCGTGAGCTCAGAGACACAAAACAAATCGATCCCTTCTCCAAGGATAACACCGGCCGAACCTTGATCTCTTGGGCTGCACAATGGAATCATCCGGGCGTCATAAAAATTCTTCTTGACTTCGGCATATCTGACCTAAACTCCGAAGACGACATGAATCGCGCGCCAATTTCATGGGCAGCTCAATGCGGATCTTCCAAGGTCGTTGAATATCTTCTACAGATCTGGCAAGTTGAATCCGATATGAGGGACAAAAATGGGCAGACACCGCTGAGCCTAGCTGCGGCAGAAGCTACCCGAAGTGATGTGCCCGAGAATCATTTGGCTGTGGTTCAACTTCTACTTGGAACGGGGAGGGTTGATCCGGACTCGAAGGATAACCGTGGCCGGACTCCATTGAGTTGGGTTACAGAATATCATGGCAACTATTTTGATTATACCACCTTTCTAATTGCTAAGACATTGGTCCAAACTGGCCAAGTTGATGTCAATTCAAGGGATGATAACGGTTATACGCCACTAATCTATGCGACTAAAACTTCAAACTTCAAGGTGATTAAGTATCTATTGACCCTTGAACAAATCGATTCCGTGTCAAGAGACAATGAAGGTCGAGACGCGTTGAGTTGGGCTAGTATTGACATATCCAACCCTGCTCGTTCTGTTGGGGTATTACTACAATCTGGTCGAGTTAATCCCGACTCACGAGATGATAATGGCCGGAGCCCATTGAGTTGGGCTGCGACTTGCGGATGGTATTCATCTGGAGATAAAAGTAATTTTGAGCTACTGCTCCAAACGAACCAGGTCGATCCCGACTCAAGAGACAACAATGGCCGAAGCCCATTGAGCTGGGCTGCCAGTAATATGGCGACAAGCGCACGTCTGCAACTTTTACTTCAAATTGACCGGGTTGACCCCGATTCGAGAGATATCCAAGGGCGTAGTCCACTAAGTTGGGCTGCCCAGAGTGGGAATATTTGGTTCATGGAAATCTTAGATCAGACTAATAGAACAGTCGAGATTGACTCAAGGGACAATCAAGGCCACACCCCACTTTGGTGGGCGGCATGGTCATCTCAGACGGAGATGACTATGTGCCTCCTTCAGACTGGAAAAGCGAATCCTGAGTTCACAAACAATACTGGCACCACGATCTTTCCTCCAGATCCGAAGATGAATAAACTTCTCAACAAATGGAAGCACTTGTATATAGAATAGTTACTAAGATGATATAAGTGCAAAGGATATTATTGACTCTAGATAACTAGTACTCGAAATCCAAATATTGTTCGTTTATCTTGAAGTTAGACAAAGGTTTAGCTTTAGTAGGATTAATTAGGCTAATTAGAATATAATGAGTACATTTTCAACTTGAGCATAGAATGGAGCACTTCAAGTTATGTCCGTTCCACCGATGGCAGGTTGCTATTGATGCTTTGTACATTTGTACCATGGAATCGGCATTTTTAATCCCACCACATTTACCCATCACATGTTGCTCAAGTACGCTTCTTTTCGATTTTAATCTGAACAGCTTATATCCAACATGGTACAACTCGAATATGATGGACGACGGAATTATCCTGGAATCGAGATTCTCGGGCTTCCACAATATAAGAGGAGGGTTATGGTATGAAACGGCGGCCCGAATTCGCCGGCTCAAGTCTCCGAACCAACTGGTTATTTGTGACCCTGGCTAATCACAGCATGAAAAGTGCGCACTGATTCGCCAGCTATTAGAAAAAATGCGATTTATGCAGGATCTACCTAGCAAGGGATCCCATGGACCGTGTCCAGGAATACGTGTGTCCTTTTGGATGGCGAGCTATTGAAGTAAAACAACGGCATAATAACAACATGGGAGGAAAAAAAGAAGAGAAGAAATTCACAAGGATTGATCTCGGTGGCTAATGTCGTATTTCTGCGGGAAACCGGCACGACAACTTGAAACGCAAGTTTACGACTCAGGGGTTTGGATGGATGGTTGCGAAAACCAGTCCAATTAATGTGGCTTTGCACCCAATGGGACCATAATTGCTCCAGCGTTTATTAATCCTTGAATATACCAGGTTCTTATTGTTTTTCTTTTCTTGAAACTTGAATGAAAGACTTGAACTAGACTCTCGGCCGAGTCTCAAGATGTCTTGCAAATTATACGCGATTTCAAGGATCCTTCGTCATATCCTTATTCAATGGCGCTCGGCTGAATTTCCTCCAATCAAGATTAGGTGCTACCTGGCGGATCGACATAATTAAAATCAAGCTTTCGCAAACCAGGCTGAGCGGAGAATTCCATTAGCAGTAGCTTAACATAATGTCCCGCTCCATGTTCCAACATGGGATCAGGAGACAGATGTCCGAGGGATCTCTCGCCCGTTGAGAGATAGCGTGGAAACACGTCTTCTTTAGCCAGAATAGCGTACTCTGTAGATCTCCATGGCAAATGCCAATCAAATGTCAGAGAAGATGTAACTACTGCCCTACCAGGCACTTGAACCCCCGACGCTGTCACAGTCCTTGGCAAGGGGTGCCAAGTCGATTCGCGATGGACAAGGCGTGCTCGGCCATCCACCTCGGAGGTTTTCCCCCGCTCGGTTCCAGCAAGTGCCGATGACTGACGATTTAGTGCCGGCATATGGTGTAATACTGCGAGGGTTTCATGATTACGCGTCGCGATAGTCTTCGAAACCATCAATAACTGTTGCTCCACCAATGGCAATTCGGCCGACAAAGCCCAATCTAAATTCCGACTGGAAGTTGGTGATGTCGATCAGAGGAGAGTCGTGGCGAAATGTTTCTATATGAGCCTGATCTCATGGTTGGGAGACGTCAAGGAATCCTGTATATAAGGAGTCGAGTTCTCCTGCTGTTGAAAACATTCCTCAGCTCATTACAGTCCTTCGATCACCATTCACCTACTCCTCTCAGTATCTTCTAACGCTTATTCGCAACGATGGGCCAGTCTCTTTACCTTCTTTCAATCGCTCTGCACCTGTCTAGCAGCTGGGCTGCTCCTCAGTTCAGCAGTGGTGCTCCCGGGCTCCCGAGCGGACGTCCAACCGACTTCCCCACGGGCATTCCCACGCCTGGACCGCTCCCTACTGGCCGTCCAACGGGCATCCCGAGCGGTATTCCCAGCGGTATTCCCAGTGGTGTCCCGAGCGGTATCCCAAGCGGCGTTCCCAGCGCTGACCTTGAGGTACGCCAGGTACCAACGCCAACTGGTATCCCAACCGGTTGGCCCACTGGTATTCCAACAGACTGGCCAACCGACATCCCGACTGGTTGGCCAACTGGCTGGCCAACCGGCTGGCCAACTGAAATTCCTACTGGTTTCCCAACCGGTAGACCTACCCCGAGCGGGATCCCTAGCGGTATCCCAAGCGGCGCTCCTAGCCCTGATCTTGAGGAGCGCCAGATACCAACACCAACTGGTATCCCAACCGGTTGGCCCACTGGCATTCCAACTGGCTGGCCAACCGATATCCCGACTGGTTGGCCAACCGACTTCCCAACTGGTTGGCCAACCGACTTCCCAACTGGTTGGCCAACCGACTTCCCAACTGGCTGGCCAACTGGCCCCGTCCCTACTCCCTCTGGACCATTCCCCACTCCCAGTGGCATTCCCGGGGGCCCCTCCAACGTCGATGATGTGAATGCCCTGGCTGCTCCTCCTACTAGTGGCCCTGGTGGCCCAGTGCACACTCCTCATCCTTCTCACACTGGTCCTCCTCCTTCAGTCTCTCACTCTAGCCGCCCTGTCCCTACTCCTGGCCCTCCCCCATCGTCGGGCTTCCACACCCGCACCCGAACTGCGACCCTCTAGTGGGCTGCCCCGTTTCTCAGGGGAGAGAGTGCTTGGCGATATCGCCGCGGTGCTGCCATCCTGGACTTCTGACTATGGTGGGCACTACTGCTGAAGGGGCTACGCGATACATGCCACAGGAAAATAAGCTCTTTTCTGTTCTTTCCTTCGTTCGATACTGTTAGTGATGATTCAAGGGCTGCACATTTACGCCATCTTGAAAGGTTGATTGTGATTTTGTACATAAAAAAAACAATGATCAAGGATTTTCACTTCTTGCACTCCTTTTTGATTACCTTCCTTTTTCAATAAAATTCATTTGAGAACCTCCTCTTGGAATCATTACTCACTCCTCAAATCAAGTTTGCTCCACCAAAATGCATGGATCAGGCCATGCTCGTTGGGGCCCGAGGCCTTCTTTCTTCCTGTGAAGTAACTTTTGCTTCATTATATATAAGTTTTCGTGTATTAGTTCGATTTCAATATCTCAGGATTATTAAGACTTAGAAGATAAGCCACCGTCTAGATGTTATCATAAGGCAATTCCCCGCGGGATTACAGAGAAAGAACGGTACCGTATCATATATTTTCTATATGAAGGATGATGGGGGCATCAAGTACCGTTTTGTTTACCGAGCTCTAAGTTCGGGCCGATATGCCCTAGCGGCCAGATCGTCGCTGTGCTTCTCATAAGCTTCCCGCTAGTATTCACATCATTAACAGGTTTCTGCAATCTTTGCAAGCCAGTCGACGACCTGTTCCTGCATGGAAATGTGCGGGGCATGATCTCCAGCAACAGTAGTGACTTTAACTGTCTTTCCAGAGTGCTTTTCCAGCCTTTCAATACCCAATCGTTGATTTTTCGGTGAAATTACTTTATCATTCTCGCTGAAGAGCACCTCAAGAGCGACGTCTGGGATCGTGTAACTGAGAAAAGTCACCTTGCTACCAAAGGCTTTCGAGGAATGTTGGGCGGTCTTCCTCGCCCATGCCATTTGCTGGTCCTTCGGAAGGTTTGAAAAAACTAGAAATCCAGAATGGGCGTAATCGATTGGGTCTATTTTCAACCATCCGTCATCCTAGACAGAGTTATCAGCTTTTTTCGACCAGGTGACCACAAGCAAGATGTTGTCGGGATGAGCAGGGCAGACAAACATCGCAGTCCATTGGGATAACATGGTCCAGCGGCACATCAACCAAGATCTCAGTTGAGGGTTGATCTAGTTGGGGGATTATTGACGACATGTAGGCAAGTGTAGCGAGGCCGCCCTTTTTGCCATTGCGTTCCCGCTCAGTCCTTCCCAGTCCCTCACAGCTCTGCGTTTTGGGAACACCAGAGTACGAGCTAGAGACAAGAATGACGTCTCTACCCTCGTCGGCAAGCCTCTCGACCTCTTGAGAAATAGCTGCGGCGTCATCGAACATGTCGGGCGGTGGTCGGTGATCATCCGGTCCGAGCCGCACGGATGGCAGTGGAAGTACACGGGCATCGACGCCACGTTTCATCACGGCATCCCGGACATCGAAATAAATTTCGTCGGAGGCAAAAGAGCCCGGCAAAAAGACGACCGTTGGCTTCTTTGTCATCTTATTTGCAGAGAAAATCAGCAGTAAGTTCCTGGTGATGTAATCAAATGCTTTACCGTAGTAGTAGGTGAGGGATGTTTCGTTCTGCGGAGAATTGAATGAGACGTGCTTCAATTCACAAAGAGGCAGCGGAATGCGGAGTTTCAGGCAGTGGCATCAGTGGAGCCAGCACACAGAATTAGCGGTCAACTTTCCGCTGTGTTTGGTATTCGGCAGTATGATGGTCACGTGACACTCCCGAGCATCAATCCCATCGCCCACCGCCTTCTTTCTCTGTTCCAACAAAACCTCCTCCGCCTGTTCCTGGCTAATCTTATTCACTCATTATTTTTAAAGAGTTCAGACATGTCAAATTGAATACGATAGTTGAGAGTTGCCTCCTCGTTTGCTCTGTTGCATTCTGAGTTGTCAAAGTACTGAAGCGACGAAAAAATAATAAGACTTGATGTTAGTCACCATTTATTTGCTTTCACTTGAGGATCCAATTTTCTGTCTTAGGGAGAGTCACTATGTAATTTAGTGACCCACAGAATTAAATAAAGTGTGATACTGGCTCGATATCTAGGTACATGTAGACAGCAAGACCTGGTGTGTAAGTTGTAGGGTAGGCTACAAGGGAAACGACCTTGGCAAGATTGGGCTAGCACTGATATCTGTGACTTACATAAGCGAGGTCACGGGACATTGGAGCCAATCTGTTGCTCAGGTCTCATAAAAGCACCATCGTGCCGGTTGCCGCTGCTGCTGATAAGGGACATTGCGACGCTTTTGTCTCAATTCCTCGCCCCCTTGATCTCACCCGGACCATCAAGCGCATTGGGGGATTGGACGGCTCTATCTACGACGATATCGGCAAATGAGTCTGCCGTAGTTTTCGCCATGGGCGGTCGTCTTCCATCGCGGCCTATGACGTTCACAGGGTATGCGGGCATTTGTTTGGGTCCCCCGTTTTTACTCCTTCACCAACTAGTTCCCAACGTGCTAACACGACTAGATGCTGGACATGCAAAGCACGGAAGATAAGATGCGATGAAACACCAGTATCTTGCAGAAATTGCGAAAAGAAGGGTGTCGCGTGTGGTGGCTATGGGATCCGGCTGCAGTGGGTCTCAGACCCGTTTACGCAACCTGACAAGCAACCCGGTGGCACTGGAGGCCGCAGGAGTATTAAACTAGGTGATTTGCTACCCTCTTCTGTCTTTTTAGCCTTTCAATTTTATCCCCTGGAAGTCATAGGCTAACGCCGTTGACAGACAAGCTGAGCGGACAGCGGTATCGCCTGGACGACATCGACGGTTTCTTGGGTGTCATTGATGGGGAAGCCGTCACAAGGGAATCCGTGAGACATGGTCCCTTCTCAGTCTTCCCAGTCCAACCGAGTGATATTGGTGGACCGAGTAAGGAAGACAACTCAGTTTCACAAGCCATCACCTCTGATCCTCTAAACCTTCACGACAGTGCTGCCCAAACTCGGCAAGAATGGGACTATGAGGACTACGCTGTGGATCTAAACGAGAACCACTCGTCATATTTACCAGTCGCTGTGCCAATAGCACAATCAGAAGAGGAGCGAGTTATCGATCAGGGCCAGGTTGGGCAAGAAGATAGCCTAACCATCGCCTCGGATGAACTGGATGAACTGGATGGAGTGTTGGATCCCTATCTTTCTACCCCCGACATCAGCCAAGACCAAAACTTCGGCAGTGAGTTGGTCGTTTTCCAAAGCACTAGCCAGAACGAAACCTCTTTTGGTTCACCTGGTCGAACGCTAGCCCAGGATTTCCTTCGGCATCCAGCCTTGCCCCGAAACCCACGCATCACCTTATCAGGAGACGTTGAGATAGACTCCCTCATCGACCATTACATGATTCACGTTGCTGATATCCTACAACCACTTCTTCATCCACAAAATCAATACCGATCACGCGGTCTATTCCTGACGTCAGCACTTCAAGGAGCAATTAAGAACATCCTGGACCCGAAAGAATCTGCCCCCACCATTTATTCCACGCTATTCCACTCGGTACTGGCATCAGCAGCTTACCATCTGTGGAACCGAAATAAATTCTATGCCAGATATAAAAGTTTAGGGGTGGCGCATCAACAGAATGCCCTCAGCTCGTTGAGGGTCGCCATGCAATCACCAGCAAGCGGTGCAGACTACAAGACACTCATGATGGCCATGCTGTCCCTCGTCACCATTGGGGTAAGTAATCAGAGCCCGGGTTTTAGGAACAGGAGCTTACTATTTGACAGGTCGTATCTGGAGACGGCGCAGATTTCCAAGTTCACCTCGGAGCAGCGAATCAGTTACGGAATTCTCGTAACCGATGGAGGGTCGTCAGCAGCCAGACTCGGCAAGTAAACGAGATCAGCTTTTTCCTGTCCCTACTTACGAGGACGCTTGCTTTTCAGCCTTCATCTACAACTTGGTCTGGGAGAGAGCAGCAAACCCTCGACGAAGAAATGGATTTGGTCCAGTCTAATACATGCTTTGAGTTCATGTACGGAATCACACCCGTCATCGCGGGAACCATCTTGGAAATGTGCCGCCTGGGAGAATACCTTTTACGGTTCCAGCAAGATGGCGGTAACAGCTCTTCCATACCGGATGATCTGCTTGAAGCTTGCGAGTCCCTGGGAGAAAAGCTGCTGTCCTGGAGATTTGAGTTGGAGACGATAAGCTCGATCCAGGCCAACGACGTGTACATCTCCACCATATTTTACCACCAAGCCCACGCATGGCACCACGCAGCCCTCGTTTACTATTACAGGAGAATACAGAGCTGGAAGAGCGCAGATCTGACCCAGGAAATACAACATACGATGGAGCACATGCATGCGGCCGAGGATTCGAAGATGATGCCCGGGTCCCCAAGGCAAGGTCTCATGGCGCCCCTCACGTGGCCCGCAACCATCGCTTCTCTCGATGCCATTGGTGCTCAGCGAGACATTTGCCGAACTTGGTGGGAGCGGGTGCTGAGTTATGGGCTTGCGAATATCGACAAGCAATGGGACGTCGTGCAGCAGGTCTGGGAAAGGGTGGACGAATTGCGGCAGTGCCACGGTGTTGGTGCTCCAGATGGGATGACTGTTTATCGCAGCTTGGATATTCATATTTTGCCCGTGTAATCATATTAATACAAGAATAATACAATATCAATTTTGGTATGCTAATATGCTCCGCCTTCCAAAAACTCCAGTCATCATAACATCCACCCCTTCATTTCATATGCACATGCTTGACTCAGTATATCTACATCCTCACTTTGTAAATTACAGTTCATCCTTTGCCTCGTTAGCCTTGGTCTCGTCAACCTTGGCGGGCTTATCGAGACCCTTCTTAATCATGCTGGTCAGGATCTCGTAGGCTACTTGAGCTCCAGCCAAAGCTGTCTCCTCGCCCCTTCCATCGTAGCTAGGCGAGACTTCGACGATATCGGCACCAACGACATTCAGACCCTCGATTCCCCGCAGAATGCGGATGAACTCTCGGGTCGTCCAGCCACCAGGCTCAGGGGTACCAGTACCAGGGGCCTTGAACAGCATCCGTTAGCACGTCAAGTTTTCAACAGACACGTAGAATCTAAGACTTACAAAAGCGGGATCCAAGACATCAATATCCACACTGAGATAGACAGGATCCTCGGTACCAATAGTCTTCATGATGCGCGCAGCAACAGCACTGGGTCCAATATCGTCAATCTCATCGGCGGCAATGCGCACCCAGTTCTGGGCATCGTCATCGAGGTAGTCCGGGTTGGGGTACTCGCTGCCGGACAGCCTCGTGCGGAGACCGGCGTGCAGGGAGGGCTGGGACGACGAGTTGGCGATGAGCCCCTCCTGGCCGGCGAGCCAGAACATGCTCCCGTGGTTGAAGTGCGTCTGCTTGCTGGACCAGGCGGACGGGTACTTGGCCGGGTGCCAGGTGTCGAGGTGGGCGTCGAAGTGGACGACGCGGAGGGGCGCGCCGTACGACTCCTTGAGGGCGCGGAGGGCGGCGAGGGCGAGGCTGTGGTCGCCGCCGAGGGTGATGAGCTTGGGCTTGTTGAGGACGGGGGAGACGGGGGGTCGCTGGCCCAGCTCGGTGAAGGCGACGGTCATCTGCTCCAGGGCGAGAGCGTTGTCCATGGGGACGACGGGGATGTCGCCGCAGTCGATGATCTTGGCCCACGAGGCGTAGGGGTTGATGTTGGCGCGGGCGTTGAAGCCGCGGAAGCTGGTCTGGCGGGCGGAGGCGGCGCGGATGGCGCGGGGCCCGAAACGGGCGCCTGGGCGGTATGATACAGCTGTGTCGAAGGGGGCGCCGAGGATGGCGATGTCATAGACCTCGCTGGGGGTGGTGAGGCATCGCACGTGAGGGAGATGTGCAAATGTTGAGATGCCGGAGAATGACCACTTGTAGAGATTAGTTCATGTTCACGGTCCTCCTATTTCTTTCGAATTTTTCACTTACGTCTGTTCCCCATTTCTTCTCGAGCTCGTCGATTTCTTCTTGGCTCCATTCTCTCACCTCGCCGTGCCCGCCGCATGCATAGGCTCCAAAGGGGAGCAGCAGGGTCGAGAGGACCAAGCCCGCCTTCATGATTGCGTAGAGCTGTTGGCTGTAACTGAAAGTCCTTACGTTCCGACCTCTATAGGAGAAATCTCCTGTCAAATTGAGTATCAGACGGTGAAGAAGGGATTGAGAGCGGTCAAGGCAACGACAGATGGTGAGTGAGGTTTTAATAGTGAGCTCACGGACTCACTAGCCAGTCGCTTTACTCATGACTTCCCCACCGGCCAGCCCGCCATTGCCTGTCAAGTTGTGTCAATAGGCTAACTGGGCAGAGATAAGGACAAGATAGATGGGGCGTTTGCTAATAGGGAATGTGCATGCGATTCCGTGAGTGAGGGGACGAGGACAAGGCGTGTTTGATGAGCTTTTGTGGGGTTTTGCTCGGAGTCTCTTGCCGCTCTGCCTCTCGTGGGGAAATCGTGGGCGAGATGGGCTAAGACGGCAGATGGTCTCGGCCTAGGAGAAACGGCTGCTCGGTGACTCCGGCCCGGGACCGGCTCGGAGTCTCCTGCCTCACTACTTTTTCTCATGACACGGCGCTGAAGCATCATGTGATTGTTGAATGGGATATGTCTGGAGACGGCATTACTATAGAGGTGCAGCGTCACTCAGCTAGGACCCATGAAGGCCCCTGACAGCATTAGTACTAGAAGAGGATAAAGAATATAATTAGCACGAAGAGCCTCAGAACAGCCTAAGACAGCAAGACAAATAAAGTTGAGTGACGGGTTTAAGACCTACCAGCTATACCGACCGCAATTGACTGTGGTGTGATGGACTGATGAAGTTATCGAACTGGATTACATGATAGAGAATACCGAAACTGGCTGTTGAAAGCTGGTATGTATGGTGGCAGTCGGTCGGCTACCGTCTCATTGATGTTAGATGCCAAGCATGCCCTCACCTATGCTCGAATAAGAATACTTGTTCATAACATTTCGGACAATGACAAGCTGTCTCCTCGATATAATTCTTCTGTATGACCTGAGATATTCTTTTTCATTTATTGCATTTGGTACTGGATTTCCCCCATAGTATCTTAATCCACATACTCTCAGGTCGAGTTCGAGTTATCAGCACAACTCCAAGCCGCTGATCCTCCAGAGACCTTGTAACTGTCGATAATCTCGACAATTGATCCGTACGTTCCTGCTATGGTAAGAAAGACGCCTAGAACAATGACGAAAGCAGCCCACGATGCCATCAGCGTCCACTTGAGAGTTCCTCGCTCTTCACTGTTCCAGTTATCGTAAAACCACATGCAGGCCATGGCCTGGAAAGCCAGAGTTGTGATGAACACAGCTCCGATAAGCGACACGAGGTTTCCGAAGATCGGAACCGCGCTAGCAACGATGTATGCAATCACAGCCGAACCAGATGTGCAGCTGAGCCACACGATCCAGTGGGTTTTCGAATTCGATGTAAGGTGCTTGGTGCCTCGAAGTAGACGGACGAAGATATACTTGGCGGGTAACTATTCCATACTGTTAGGAGTCTGTATCTGGGCGGAGGGAGATAAGGTCTACATACATGGAGAAGTAGGATGGTGCTGGCGATGAGCCCAGGTAGGGCAATACCGTAGCAAATCTTCTTGAGAAGGCCACCGGCAGATCCAAGAGCAGGAGATGCCACGTAAGAGCCGCAGAAGTAATAGACAAGGCATCCGATGACAACATAGGTGATGGTTACCCCGCTCTGGCAGACGAGGAGAGCCTTCGTGTAGTCGCGGGGGTCCTTCATCTCTGAGATGACAGGAAAGAAGAGAGGTGCTGCTGCATATGCGAAGATGTATGTCGAGAGGGCTGATACAGCCTTTATGAAAGTCGGGCGTTTAGCGATGGCGAAGTCCGATTTCCAGGGGCCGTCTTGCGGTGCTGCGGCCGGCCGATCTTGGACACCGACGGCAATCGTAACGGTAAAAACTGTGGAAGTGTTAGGTCAGTTATTCCGTTAGTGTGAGGGAACCAGCGTAGAGATGCCACATACTGGAGATGAGAATTCCCGCAAGTCCAATCCAAGCAAGCCACTGTAGACGGCCGAGTGTTCGGATACTTGCACCCATGAAAGCGACGATTGCTGCGATGGCGACAAAGACTGCAGTGCATGTTCCATGGGTCGAAACTGAGTTGAGGCCGATCGAAATTCCAAGCATGCCGGAGCCGGCAACGAGGATATAGCCTGGGTTTGGTTAGTATTGGTTCTGATCTATCCTCCAGGCATTGAGAATGCACATACAGAGGCAAAAGCCAACAGCGAAGAACTCGCGACCAATCTTGCCAAACATCAAAAACCCTGCATCATCGATCCCGTAGACTTCGGGATGCCGCAACTTGAAATTACCAACGACGTAGCATGACCATGTCGCGATGCCGCCGATGGCAATCAGAAGGAACATGCCGGGAATGATTCCAAAAGCATCAAATGTGGCTGGGATAGAAAGAACTCCGAGGCCGATACAGAGCTTCATCATGATGATGACGGTACCGATCCATCCGACCTACTGCTGGTTATTCCGCTGGACTTGGAAAGCGAGGGTATGGTTAGCATGTTCAAACCACTTACGCTTCTGTAATTGGGGCCCTCGGCCGTGATGTCCCCAAAGACTGCATCTTCGGTCGCAGTCTGCCCGTTTGCAATGCTCTTGGCTAAGGGGTCTGCTGGATCTTCGTGCAAATGATCTGTCTTGGATTCTTCCATGATGGGTAGACAAAAACTGAAAAGAGGATGGGTATTGCCTGTTGAAGTCTGGGTATGATGAATTCGTTGCTGGGTAGGTGATGTCGATAGAAGCTGAAGCTGGAGTGGAGGAGTGCGAGCAAGCTGGTCTTTACAGATCTATGCCCCTGGGCTTGCTTCGCCTCTCAATCTGATATCAACCAGGGAGCTCGTTGTTGGAGATGATGAAAGCTAGGCATCATGGGATTACTTTCCCAATACGTACTGTAAAAGAGACCGAAACATGACTCGCCGGCCGTATCGAGGAATTCGTTATGGGTCCCTTTCCACAAATACGTTTCAAATGATCCACCCTTCGGTGGCTGGCCAAGTTTAAATCGGCCTATAAGTTGGTAACCAGCCAAAGTACCATGTCTGATAGTAATCCAGCCCTGATAGCGGTTACTCGGCCGGCTGAAAATAACTCAATAGATATACCTAGGTATGAATGCGTTTGGGTTCGGGGCGGGATCCCCGGAGTCGGATAAATGGTACTAATGAGCGAACAATTGCCAAGCATGATCTCCGTCTTTGGAATACACTAGAGTTGAGGATGATACCGAATGCAATTTACCGAATTTCTTACAACATAAAATATTAGCAACAACACACTACGATATTAAATATTCTAGTAGATACCCTTGTTTCCCGAATAGACTGATAAACAGGGCAACATTTTTCCAACCGCAATCTAGGCTCTCCCCGCTATCCAAACCATGGGCTGACTTGTGGTGTAATCTGGGGTGCATGGTACGGGGTTTTGTGATGCGGAGGCGAATCCTCGATCGAATGTCGAATGATTCTATGACACATACATTCCTCTTCTGGGCTTCTCCTTCATCTAATAGCCGTAAGGGATATCTTCAGACGCAAGGGGGAGAATGGGAGGAAATTGGGGCACGGTCGTTCACCCGCACTTTCGCCCAACACCCGTTTACCCCGGTTCCAAATGTGTCAGACAATGGTTGCGGACGGAGCTCATCAACCGTGTGAATGAATTTTGATTGGCTTAACTGCTAACAACCGTATCAATTTTGGGCCAGTTTTGGGGCTGGGGGTGGAGAATGAAGATCCTCCCGCCATTCCGGCAAGGGATCACTTGCCCGGGGTTTCAATCAGGAAGGTTATGGCAGCCCTAACTCTAGCAGGAGACTCGACACGAGATTCAAACTCAATGCTGTCTATGGAGCCAGGAGAGATAATGTCAGTTGGTTACGGGTTTCCTTATCTATACTACATGTGGCATTACTAGCAATACATGTAACCTGTAGTTGGACGTTGTTAAGGTTGCTAATGAACTTATGTTAAAAGTAGTCGAGTTTGATTTATTGTATGAACTACAACCAGCATACTGCTGCTAAAAGCCAAATTCTCACCCAGGTTCTGGCTAGCCAAGGGGCAAAACGGGGGTGAGTCCGAGATCAAATCAGACCAGGGCTTGTTAATGAGGGTTAGCCCCCTCAGATGGGAACAGGAAGATGGCCCGGTGCTGCAGGAAGAGCTCGATGCCGTATCGTCCAGCGTGGCTACCCCAGCCGCTACCCTTCCACCCTGCCAGTGGCCCGAGAGCTACACGATGAGATGAAATTAGTAAAATGACGTCAAATAATCTGATAGACAATGTCACTTACCGTCGGCGTTCAATGTCGATTGGTTAAGCTGAACTTGACCAAACTCTAGTTCACTCGCAATTCGCAGCCCACGCTCCTGGTTGCTAGTAAAGATGGATGCAGATAGACCGCCTTCTCGGTTGTTGGCTTCTGTGATGGCCTCTTCGTCACTGTCTACGGCAACGACGAACAAGGTGGGTGCAAATGCCTCATTCTTCGACATGAGAGACTCCGGGTCGACGTCAGTCAGTATGGTTGGCCCCACAGAAGCACCAACAAGCTTGTTGTCCCCATATATGATCTTGGCGCCCCTTTTCACAGCGTCGTCAACAACCTGCTGGGCCTTACTCGCAAATGCAACACTGATTGCTGACCCAGATACGGGGTTGTTCCGGAATGCGTCAGCCAGCAGCGAACAAAACTTGTCCTTGATAGACGAGTGGACAATGACTCGCTCGGTGCCGAAGCAGACTTGCCCATGCAGCATTTGCGCTCCCGTAGCAATCAGAGTTGCTGCTTTGGCCAGATTGGCGTCTTCAAGGACAATAGCAGGACTCTGGTCGCCAAGCTCCATGATAATAGGTTTCAAGTGCTTTGCTGCTGTCACGCCTATGGCTCTGCCCACCGGTGCACTACCAATGAATTCGATCTTGCGTAGTGCAGGGTGAGCAATGACCGCTTCCGTAACTTCAGCTGCTGTTGTTCGATCCGACATGATGAAATTGACTGAGCCAGCAGGAAATCCTGCTTCTAGAAAAGTCTCAATGAGGAAGGAGTGAGTCCATGGGCAAAGCTCCGAAGCCTTGAAGACAACGGTGCAGCCAGCAGCCAGTGCACTGGCAATGCCACGAGCGCCAAGAACAAGAGCACCATTCCATCTGTCTCAAGTTAGCATTTGCTGGTGAGAGAGTTGGGTGTGTATCTTCATGATACTTACGGGACGATCATAAGCACAGGCCCGACCGGTTCCTTTTGAACAAGTAGAGGCACCCCACTCGTGGATGGCGGCAGATCACCTGTGAGGGCAGCCCGAGCTGCATGAGCTGCCTCACGCACTGCTCGAACGGTAGCTATGACATTGAAACGGGCCCACGGCTCCTCACAACTGGTTTCAGCCATCTGACGATGCATGGCCTCATCACTGCGCTTCTCAAAGATATCCGCAGCACGGAGCAGAAGCTGACGCCTCTCATCGACTAGAGTCTTCTTGTACACCTTGAATGTGGCATCCGCAGACTCTACGGCTTTGACAGCTATTTCAACTGTCGATGTCTGGCCATAGTGAAGAGTTTCCTGTGTCCGACCAGAAACAACAGGAAAGCTAGCTTGGGATGGTTGGATGACAGGTTTGCCGTTGATCATGCAAGGAACCACCAGCTGGCCTGCATCATCTTGGATTGCTGGACTTGTCATTTTATGTTATGTTGAGAAGAGACTCTAAACTTGGTAATTTGATACGGATATCCCATTCTTTCCCTTCTGTTATTTCCAGCCGAAGCTCTTCTTTATATAGGCTACTACACCGCTCGGCTCGCCAATATTCTACTCTTAAGTCCTAATAGCCGTCTTGAGTCTCATCACGCGCTTAGAGGGATATTCTCTTCCCGCAGCAGTATTTCATTCGCACGGACTTAGGAGTTGCCGAAATGGATTAACTCCACAGCGTTCGACGTGTTAACACATGCTCCGCTTACAAAGCTCAGTTAAGGAGGCATGGGAAACCCTGGTCACTCAAGGGCTTCAAACCCTCAAGCCCGCAACAAGAAAGTACTAAGGAAGTAACTTTCGAGCCGCTTCCTCTCAAGTCAAGAAATCTTCTTCTTCTTTTATATCTAGTGACAATTTTAAATCTATGGACTCCTTGGTTGAATAGGTTTGGGGAACATCTCTTAACATTACCCCTTTGTATATACGCGGTGTGGGGACCGTTTCTGCTTACCATGCATACTCTTTTGCATAATGATGGTTGGCTGACACTGATAAAAGCTTTAGGAGCATTAGATTTAACGAGAGTAGAGACAGAGGGCTTGCTGTCTGGGAGAACCCCCCAGAAACTTCATACCTCAAATGTCTGGGCAATGGTTTGCCATGAGTTGTATACTTAGGAAGATTAATGTCTACAACATATTGCATGTCTGATCCGTGATTGGCCTACATTGATAACGGATTTCTCATACGTGATATCAAGAGATTGGACAAATGAATTGTGAAGCTCAAATTGTTCTTTCGGCGCTTTACCCTACTAACTTGCTAGAATATGTGCTTCAGATCTTGTCCAAAGACCCCCGCTTGTGCATTCCATCCAGATTTGCGGCCCCTTCTTCAATATAGGTCACTGAATCAATGATCATGTCAGTCTCCACATCTAGCTCCTCGAACGCATGAGACTTCTCAAGCGTCTGAGTAGGCATGGAAATACTGAGAGCGTAGTATACCACGCCACTCATAACCAAACTAGGCAAATACCCCAGATTCCACGTCTGCTGCGCACCGCTAGAAACCGTCACTGTTCCAAAGGTCGCAACGAATCCGGGAAATGGAAGAACGATCCCAATGACCCATGCTGCAATTGCTCGCAAGTTGCAACCCTTCCAGTACCAGTAACGCGAATCAGCATTGCCGACGTATAGTTCTCTTATGAAAAGGTTGCCACGAGCGACAAAGAAGCAGTCGACAATGCAAATCGCAGCAAAAGGACCCATTAGAAGCGAACAACCAGACAGAAACGTCAGTAATGACTTGGCACTCTTGACAATTTTTATGGGACAAGAGGAAAGTCAACAGGGCGCATAGAACTTGTCCCCGTCGAATGTCGATCCACCGGGGGAAAAGGCCGGCAAAGTCACTGCCGAAAGGAAGAGATTTGCGGCAACATTGGTTCCCAGAACTGCTACTACAAATGCAAAGGACGCAAGAAAGACCAAGCCGCGGGATGTAGGCGACATCTCGTAGTAATCGAGGGCGGCACTGAGAACGTCCCAGAGATTCCAGTAGGCCTTTCCCCAAAACTTGAATGTTGCGCTCGCTACTAGGATACCGAAAAGAGCTGGAAGATCACTGAAAACTGGGTACCTGTTCTACTTCTTTTGGGGTCCCTAAGCTGTTGCGCTCAGTCTTCCAATCGCTAACACATCGGGGCATACTAAGAAAGTGGTGGTGAACGCGATGGTATTCTTAGCTTACTGCGTGGCCAACGTTGTAGCGCCGCAGACTTTCAAGGGTTCTGAAGCCCCTCATTACGAGACGGGATATAACACAATTCTTGGTGCGGAAAGTGCTGCTGTCACTATGTTGGCGTCAAATGAGAGAACAGGAGCACATACGCATAATGTCGAGCATCATAGCCTCGATGACTTGGCTAACAAGGAAAAGAAGGACTTTCGTTATGTTTGCTAGGTTGACTGCCTGGAATACCATTGAAGAGGCACCACATAGTACAATTGGGATATCGCAGTAATACAATGAGAGACTAGGGATCATCATTCTCAACGCTACCTATGATCTTGGCAAGAAAATAAGTCCGTTGCAGAAGAAAATGCATAGTGAAAAGGTAGACCTTAAGGTTATTGCCTCATTATTTTATTGAGTCTACTTTTAAAATATGTAACACTTAATTATATTAGTACACCGAATCCGACACATTACTATGATCTCATATCAATAATGCACATGATATAAGACCCGTAATCAATGAATTTACCTTCTTCTGGCTAGAATTGCAATTTGGCAAACATTTCCTCCCACTCCTTCTTCATATTCTCCGCGAAAGTTGCATTTTGTAGCACTTCGAGACCGGTCAAAGCCAGAGCCTTGGCAGTAATGATCGCTTGATCGAAAGCAAAGTCCTGAGGTTAAAATGAGCATGAGAATCCAAATGCATCTATTAAGCTTCTTGTGGAGTAGTATCGAGGACGACTTACAGTGCCGGCGACCTTGGTAAATCCAGGATTATGCTTCGGCGCGCTGCCACCGATAGGGAATCCCACTTGGATGGATGGCAGGAACCACGAAACGTTGCCCTTTGATTCGATATGTTAGCGAGATAAAAGTAACATTGTCCAGATTTGGCAGCGAGAACTCACCTGATCAGATGAGGCCGATGGGCTGCCTCCAGCTTCAACTTCTTCTTCCGGAGTGTGGATGCTGAATTTCGAGGTAGTCTCGTCTTTTGATGGGTCAAAGTACTCGATCAGGTTGCCATAGTAGTTTTTGGCTAGTTGGAAGCTAGGGTTCTGGTCCCAGTAGTCTTAGACTTTGATGAGAGAAACAGTTGTGTTTGTACCACCAGCAGAGCTATTCACAATGGAGTTCAACTGCTCAATCACGGCAGCTTGTCGAGCGCTTTCAAGATGGATAACTTATCAGCGAAATAATTTAGACATATCTGTTGACGGGGACTCTTACCGATTCGTACCACGAACGCCCCATTCACTTTCTACTCTGTCCGGGATAACATTCGTGACGAGGTTGTCGGTGTTTTTGATGACATGGTGAATTCGATCGGTTACCATCAGCTGCTAGCGGTATAATCCTGTCATTTGATATGCGGCAACAAATCCATCCGAGGCATTTTGTCTTTGCCAAGGAGCCAGTGCGGCATGTAACGCCTCTGCGTGCAAAAGAAAATCAGTTTTTAGATGTGGCCAGAGATGAATATTAAGGGACAGCGGACTCACTTCCAGTCCAGGTGACGTTGGCTCTCCAGGAAGCAAGAGTTCTGGCCCATGCCCCGTATGCGTTGTTTCCGGGATGGGCCATCAAGCTACAGTCCAAGTCCTTGTAAGCACCGGCGTCCAACATCTTGATCATCATGAAGCCTAATGGGTAAGTAGTCCCTTTACCTATTACCTATTCTGTGTATGACCCCAAATTTTAAGCTCAGAATCACGCGTTAAATTCAACGAACAGATGCTTGGCTGCATGAAGATACCGTAGTCTAGATCGTTCCTCCTTGAAAATATGTAGCTTCATCACCTCTATCAAATATTAGACTACCCTAGACCAAATTGCAGCCGCTCATTTCTTTGCGAAATTCCATGAGCCGAGCTCCTTCTATTCGCGGAAAATTGGGGTCCAAGTCAAACTGACCTCATAGAAGGTGATCAAGACCATAAATGTTGGGTTGCCGTCATGTCTTCCTGTGTCCATAAGTTTCATGTATGCCACATTTAGCATTCCCGCTTACCAATCTTCCTTCTGTTGTATTCTTTGATTAACAACTTACACTATATCTTCATTGCTCAATAATTACAAAATACTCTTGAATTGCACAGTAATCCCGGATCAGTCGGATACAGTTAATGAGGATACACGTAAGAAGCAATGCACTCCTGTTCAAAGCTAAGAGAAATTCCCCTCAGTGTAGTAGATGGGAAAAGCTGCAGCGGGCTGCCAACATGTTACGCATCAATCGAGGCTAATTGAGGCACCAGCGATGTCCAAGTTTGGTTCTAAGGATGATTTAACAATAAGTCGGTACTCAACGCTGAGCTGATACTCTTCACTGCTATTCGTGCGAAGGAAGTTACGAAGAATGAATATCAGTTATCTACTGAACCACCAACCGGTTGATGGCTATAGAACGACAGGGAATGGCTATTCGTTTCAGTGGCTGGCCATCACCAAGATTGTGCACTGAATTGCTCCTGTAGTTCTATCCTTCGTTTCTCTTCAGCACTCCTTTGATCTGAAAGTTTAAAGAGAGAAAACAACACAAGAAGAAATTTAGATACCCAGCCTAACTAAATCCAGTAGCGTCTGCGAAATGTATAGCAGATCTTAGAGAACATACTCAATTTCTTCGAGAGCCTTCTAGATATGTCAATGAATCTCCCACATCTAATGTTCTCAAACCTCTTCTGGGTCCCCAGGAGGACTCGGAAGCCCGCAGGTGGCGAATTTGTCACGAGGATTAGGGGAAACCACGCAACCTTGCAGCTCAGCAATATCATTCCTACACTAATAAAACATTAGTTAGGTGTCTCTCCTTCTCGTTGCTTTGGATTTGCCCATGCACTTACTGGTTCAGTTGGGTTGCAAGGCATTGGTTTGGGTCGTTCGCCTTTCATATTGCAGTAATGGCACACGCCGGGCTCAAGTTTCCGACCTAGGCACGTCTAGATTGCTTGATGAGTTGCTGATCGGCAGAAGGGATAGGATTGTTCTTACTCCGGGTAATGCTGGATTAGCTCGCTTGCCAAGCTTTCCCTTGACTTTGCAGACAGGGGCTTTGGGTTTCTTTGCTGCGCCTGCCTTCTTCTCTTTGGCTCCCCCAGCCTTTGATGAAGGCGTTTTAATCTTCGGGCGAGCAGCTTGAGCCCTCGGGGGGCGGGCTCTGGCTATGTGGGTAGGCACTTTTGCGGCCCTGCCAGCCAGAGTGCCTCTTCTCACCGCATTGGCATCTTGTGGGTAAGGCTTCAGTGCGGAAGTGCCTGCAGAGAGTAGGACGAATGATACACTGAAAAGGCTGTAAAACTTCATTTTGAATTGCGGGGGACAAGACAGACAATGGAGCAAGTTGTATCGAGAGTAAGTTGGTATTGGAGCTTTCTGTTGATAGAGCAGTGATGAAAGCATCGAGAAAACTTGGTGCAGAGGCTTTTATTTAAACCACTAAACAATAAAAAGACATTTGCAGAACAGAATGAGCAGGCTGCCGACGTCATTGTATATTCAAACTATTATTAGCATCAGTAGACGATGTCCGCAGAGTCAAGCACCAACCGGTAGCAAGACCGCGACATGTCACAGATGGAGAAAGTATTACTGGCTAAGTGGTCCGATTGATTAAATGTAAAATATGTGTATTACCAACAAGCTGAGTTTTCAGGGCAATCGTGACAAGCGCTGTGTACGATTGAATCCGCGCTCTTACAGGCTCAGAAATATAATTCACAATAGATAGTGCTTAAATGAGCTAGCCTTCCAAGATAGTGGCATAGTTTTCAATATGTGATACCATTGTGTCAATTGTATACCTGCTTTGTGTGGTCTTCCGGGCGTTATGAACACTCAGTGATGTGATGTAATAGGAGTGTTTTTTTTATATCTCACCCCTGACAGAAAGTAGTGGCTTACTATGTACACATGTACAGGGGAGAATGTGGAGAAACGCCCAACAACTGTAATAAAGGCGCCAACATGCAGAAAGTAGAACCAACATGCGTAATACGACATGTCGTGTCATCCTAGATAAAAGGGTAGGCGAGGCAACCCAGAGGGGAGCTTCGTGCATAGACGGGTTTTTTGGGCAGTACTGGGACAGGTTTGGATCAACTCAGGTACATATGTAGGAGCCCAGCCCTGCCAGAACGCCATGTAAAGCTCGACAGTGTGTGGGACTTCTGGCAGCCTGTTAGGCTTCCAATAGAATACGACCCTGACAGCCAAATCGTCTGGACGGCGGTTAGCCATCTTACAGGCTTACCAACCAACCCGGAATATCCCCCAAAACAAATGGCTGTCGATAGTGAAAGTTTTGATCATGGTGTTGGCGCTTGACAGGCTGCCCCCAGTACTGTCCAAAAACAAGCCGTGCGCGCGATGGAAGTATTAAAAATGCTGTCATTTCGCTTTATGGGGCTCAGTATAACCCAGCTTACGTCTCGAAGAACACTGGGTAGTTTACTGGACAACTGATGAGTGAATTGCGTCAAGGCTGTATGTGCTATGCAGTTGGGCAAAGCGAGGGGGAATGACCCCCGATCTATTAATATACTCTATGCAGTGCATAAAAGTCAAGGTGCTGTTGGTCAACAAGTATTATGAACAGGCATTATGTAATTGAAGTATGCTCGCTTGACCTGAGTGAATTTCATTCCTTGTTCATCAGCCCCCGCCCTACCAACAACCAACGCCATCAAACAGGACAACGAATCATCTCAGCACTCGCTTTCCGAGCGGCGAATTGATGAACAGTGTGAAGTACCTCAGTCCCAGGCCATGGATCTGTCACTTCCCCGTTTACGACCCATTCTCATCACTCACTTCACTCCAGAGCTTCTTCGTTGGATTTTCGGTTTCTTTAAGCATCCGGCTATACATGACAACAGGATCAAGGTGGAAGATATCAACACGAGATTTGCGGATGGCGACTATGAGACATTAAAAAGTCTCCGCCTTGTTTGCTCTCTCTTTAATCAAGTTGCAACAATCTTCCTTATGCCGATCCTCCGCGTGCAGATCGATAAGCCATCGCTAGACCGAATACATGCTATCTCAAGAAATCCTCTTCTTGGGAATGGTCTACGCGGCATCCAAGTCCGTGTGGCGTGTCGCTTCAAGGTGCATGTCTCCTATAGGGAAGAGTTCTTCAGCCATCAGCGACGCCATCTTGTTCAGCTGCTCAATTATCACGCCTTCTTTCTGGGACACCGGGTCGAAGATGTGACAGCCGAAACATCCTCAGGCCTCATCTGGACTGAGGCGCGGTTTGTCATGCTTGAGAGGATCCGAGCTTGTGTCCTTGCATGCGACCGTTGCCTTGGCAGGGATGCTGGAGTCGTCCCTAGCATATCCAGCGTGCCGCAATCTGAATTGCAAGATGTTCTTAGAAAGCCCGTTGAAGAGGCGCTTATTGATGAGTACCAGGAAATCCTCTACAAAGCCTATGAAGATTACGAGAGGCTATATGAGAGAGACTGGCCAGTGGTATCAAAGGGCCTACTTGTCAGCGCCCTGGCAAAGCTTTTGTCTGGGCCATCTCGCTCAGTATCACTCAGCTTTGAGAGGTTTAATAATGGGTGGGAACAGCACTGGCATGCATTTAATGACAAAGAAGCATCGACTAAATGGCTAGCACGGCCAAAGGGCTTATCTGAAGTTTCCCAACTAGAGGGGAAACCTATAGAGGATGAGCTTAAGGTGTATAGTGGGCTCCTCTGGCATCTTCCAATTGCCATCTCCCAAACGGGAAGTGTCTTGAACAGCATTGAACTCCACGGCCCACTGGTGGGTTATGAATACAATATTATATGCCCCGAGGATATATCTCCCGCCATCCCAGATCAGCCAATATGGGACCAGCTTCAAATGGCATGCCGAAATCTGCAGGCATTGATCCTCACGAATGTGAATTTTCGTTATAAATTGCGCGACGACCGGTTTCCTATCAACGGTCACAGCTACGAGCAGCAGCCTGTAGAGGAGGGCGTATCCATTGGGAAATACATTGGCACTATACTTTCTGGCAAAACACTCGAGAGAGTAGACCTTGATGCTTCTGCACTTGGTCTACAAGCACTCGGTAGAGAGCGAGCCAGATGCCCACTTGGTCATGCACTGAGTCGGATGACCTGCACGAACATGAGAGTGGTTTCATTGACAAACATCGGCTTCTCTCAAAAGAAACTGGAAGCATTTTGCCGGTCCCTCAATCCGGGCATGCAGCTGCTCAGCTTATCGGATGTTCATCTCACTCATGGCAGCTGGGTTCCTGTTCTTGATCTGTTGCGAGATCTACTCAATGAGAGATGGGTGCAAGGGAAGTGTCAAGTACGACTATCACTGCTTGGGGGAGGCGAGATCGAACAATTGGAAGCCGTTCATAATAATGAAGAGAGCGAATTCGCGTATTTGGAAAGACTCATGGGGCGATTTATGGAATATATCCAGAGCCAGCAGGGTGGTAAGAACCCGGTGATTGCGCCAGGGGTCTTTTCTTGAGTCTCGAGATGCATTTGAAATCGAAATGTCACTAAAACCCCCCCAAAAACAAAACTTTGTCTGTCTTTGCTTAGATCAGTTTAGTTTAGTTTAGTAGGCTATTGTTACTTTCAACCAATCCCTTAGGAAGAGCACACTGCGAATATTATGTTTATACAATCAGAACAAGGGGCCCATATCACCGTACTTATGCGCTAGGTAATGTGCTTAAATTTTCCTAGAACGGAAAAACGCACCGTATTACTTGCGGTCAGATTATCGCCATCAAGCAGGATCGAGCGCCTCCATAAAGGAAGCAGAGGTGCTCGAATATGTCCCTCCATCTGGAAATACAAAATCCCACACCCATCAACACCCCTTCTCTCGAACCCAACCATCTTTCCGGTCACAATGAGCCGCACAGCACTTGTCACGGGCGCCAGTGGGTATATTGCCCTCCACGTCATCAACTTTCTTCTCCAGGATGGCTGGACTGTCCACGGAACAGTGCGAAGTCTGAAGAACGCTGAAAAAGTAAAGCCGATCCTAGAACTAGAGAAAGGCTCCCCTGGTACGCTTCGGCTTTTCGAGGCGGACCTACTTGATGCAGGCTCCTTTCTGGAATCCATGCAAGGCTGCGATGTCGTGATCCACGTCGCATCACCTTGCCTGATGCCAGAGCATATCAAAGATCCCCAAAGGCAGCTAGTTACACCAGCCCTTGAAGGCACACGCAACGTGCTCGAGAGCGTCAACAAGACGCCGTCTGTGCGGCGGGTTGTTTTGACCTCATCCGGTACGTATACCATTGATCGATATCAATACCCGGTACTAACACGGTGTACAAAGAGGGTGCTATGCGAGGTAACGCCAATGAAGCGTTGTTGATGGAAAACCACACCGTCCATGAAAGCTACTGGAATGAAGCAAGTTCTTTAACCCATAATGCTTATGCTTACTCAAAAACACTAGCTGAGCGAGAGGCTTGGAAGATGGCCGATGCCCAAAAGAGATGGAAGCTTGTTACCATATGCCCAAGCACAGTTGTGGGACCCAGCCTCACTCCCAACTCGGTCTCAGCAAGTCTGGACCTCATTGAGCAAATCATGAATGGAAGTATGATTTTTGGAGTCCCAGATATGTACATGCCTATGGTTGACGTACGGGAGGTGGCACTAGCCCACGTCCGAGCTGCCAAGGTACCAGAAGCTCGTGGCAGATACATACTGTCGAGCCACGAAGTCACTGGCCTCTTGGAAATTGCGCTCATCATCCGATCAATCCATAAGTACCCCTGGATTGTCCCCTTTTGGCAGCTTCCTAACTGGATTGTTCGGCTTACCGCGCCCCTTGCCGGCGTGACAAGAAGATACATAGACTGTAACCTTGGAATCAAGTTCATGGTGGATAATTCGAGAAGCAAGTCGGAGCTCGGGATAGAGTACCGGTCTTTAGATGAGTCTCTAACTGATCACTATAATCAACGCGTCCTTGATAAAGCAAGGAAATAGGCTGCCGGAAATCTCATCAATTTTCTTTAGATCTCACCTTATTAGCTTAGCAGTGAAATTATAGTTTAAAAATCAAATCAAGGCCAGATCTCGGAGTCTACGGGTCATTTCACTTCGCTCCCTAATGATAATTCACGGAAGGAATAAGGTGCCTCTTATGAGACCATCGTGAAAATGATCTAGCCCCAAGTTTTAACTCCTTTGAATTTCATTGCTAAACGGGCAGTGCCTCACATGCCCATCATATACCATAGGCGACATACAATTCCTACTTAGTATGAGCAATGTGTTTATCGCGTAGCTATTAGTTTGAGAAGCTCTGCTGTCTTCTCCGGGCTGCTCAGAAAAGGAAAATGTCCCGTCGGGAGCTTCTCCACCTGGTCAAATTCCCCCACTGCCGCAAATCTTTCTTGAACCGCTGGCGGAACCACTTCATCCTTCTCGCAGAGGATATACGTCTGAGGAACCCGCAAATCCGTCGTGATGAATTCGGAGACATAACCCAGACTTTTCCGACTTTGACTTCCCAGAACACTCGTCCATGCTATATCCTGCTCCTCGCTTGGAAGGTCGCTAAAGAAAAGGGGCTTTGCCGCAGGTTGGATGTGGAAAATACCTTCCTGGAGTTTCAAAGTAAGTCTCTGGGGCGCTGTTTCTCGGAACTTACATACCTCGTGAACAAAATAAGACAATGCAGGGGCATCTTCCAAGTTTCCCCTTACGTTGCGTCCACGCGTCCCATATGCGAATCCAGCAACCACGGCGTACGCCTTTATGCCTCCCGGCAACCCTTTAGCCGAACGCTCCTCAACAGTCTGTCCCTGAGTTGCCAACAGGGCAGGTAAACTTCCGTAGCTGTGCCCGACAATGACTGCCTTGCGGCCTTGGTTTAGCAACGGCGTCAAGTCAGCGAGTACTGTCTGCACGTCGTCCGGAAGATCTTTGCTCGCAAGATCCTTAAATTCCTTGGTTGTGGGGTCCTTTGACGGCAGGCTTTCGGTCACTTTGAGCCGTGGAACAAGGACCTCGAAGCCATCGTTCCGTAGTATATCAGCGACTTTGGCGTAGACATCGGGGCTGCAGAACCCGCCAGGGACGATGGTGATTACTGGCTTGGTTTGCGACATGACGAACGCTTAATGGTGGGAAAAGAAGGTGCACAATACTTGAATATAGATACAACTAGATATTTGGGAGCAGAGGGAAGGTTAGCCTTTATCTTCATTTTACTGGCTTGTAGAAAATAGTCCCGGCGCTATCGGCCCTTTTTGGAAATAGTCTATGTTAAGACTGTGATCTAAGAAGTTAAAGTGAGGGGAAGGAATAGCTTAGATCGCATCATTGGTGAATCAGATTGAGTTGGCACTCCTCTTCTTGAACAGTTAGGTAGCTCGTAAAATAAGGTAAGCACTGATTTCTAGATCGGGTCCATTTGGGAATAAAAACAGTGGGAAGGCATCACACCGATGCTTACAAGTGGTACCTAAGCTTAACAACTTGGGTTATATCTTGCTAAACGAGATCCTACGTGGATAACACTATTCTAGGCAAAATCTCCCAATTGGCCCTATGATCTCAGAATGATCCATTCATTTAATGACAACTGACTTTCTCCTGCTATCCCAGTTCTAGGCGCCCACTTTCTGATCAAGGTAAAAGGTCAAAACCGTTCGTTTTACAGCTATCTTTGTCAATGAGCCAGTTCATGCATGATGTATCCTTGTGAGCCTTAGCCTAATGACGGTGGGAGCCTTTCAAACTCTGCGTCGAGTTCGCGATTTCTTGCGGCATATCTCTCTTCCCACTTCCCCGGTTGCGATGATAGCTCTTGGAACTTTTGGGGGACGGAACGCAGTTTCGGGCAAGATTCCAGCAGAGAATCCACGTCTGCCCCGGTGACGTCGCTTGAGAAGGTCACAATAAGGTCCTCGAGGTTGGGCATCTGCTTGCAACTGAGTATCATACGCTTCCCCAGCTGGATCGTGTGGGGATCGAGATGAACGGTTGTCAGCGTTGATGAATGCGAGAGCATTAGGCTTTCGATGATTCGTTCGGTCCGATGCATCCACGTAGGAAGTGATGATTCCGTTGTGTCAACGTCGGTTATAGAAATTGACTTGAATCGCTGCTGAGGGCGCGACCGAGCAATCGCCTCAAGATCTCCTTGGGTCAGGACACATCCATATCCCAGATGTAGATTCTCTAGAACCTCCAGGGCCTCGACAGCGTCCCCAAGGCAGCCATGAGAAAACCTCTCTATTTTGTCGACACGCAAAACGCGCAGACTGGTTGACCATACTTTGCATGCAATGATGAGATCACGACCATTGGCAATTGCACAGCGCATCTCAAGATTTTCAAGGCGACGAGTGCAGAGTGTTAAACCCGGGAGAAGTGATGGGAAATAATCATAATGTGTGTCCTGACCGAGAGTCAAAGACTTGAGTCTGGGAGCCGGTTTTAGTAACAGCGCCCGTATGACCCAGTTCGCTTGACCATGGACTGCCAGTTCTTGTAACTGGGCACTGAACCTTGTAAAGCGGCGGTCCACATCACATAAATGATGGATTTCCTCCTGCTCATCCCCGTAACGATCAGACTCAGGTAGCCACTCAGTAAATGTTGCATACCAAAATTGAGTAACCCTGGGACTTGCGGCAAAGATACTGGCCAAATGGGTGACGTCCTCGCCCGTAATTAGCCCGACGTCGGACATGGAGGAGCCTCGTTGGATTTGCAAGTCCCGCACGTTTGGACAGGCGTGAAGTATATCAATGATGAGATTGGTGTTGTCAGGCCGAGGATACCATTGGAACTCGAGCGACTGCACAAGATGTCCTCTCTGGGGCTCAAGAACCAGACTGAACATGAATCTCCATTGCCGCTCGATTGAGTGAGCGCCCCGGGGCTGTTTGTATAGATGTGGCTCTGCGAGGTGACGAAGCCGTTTTGAGGATGCTGAAAGAGAAATCAGGGTTCTCTGCCGCGCTGAGTACTCAAACTCGAGAACGTGAGCAATGACGGCTTCGTAAATCTCAGTTGGCAGATACCTGCGAACCAAGTCACCATTATTTGTTGTTAAATACCCAATGTGCGGGCCTTCTTCCACTGGGATCTCATCAACCTGCAGGAATGCCGCGACCTTATTATAAACCCCCAAGGCGAGACAAGCGCGTCGTTGCGCTTCTTCATCCTGTGGGTTACTTGTTGCCCTGAGAGTGATAATTCTGGTGAGTGTGGCAATCTGGATGGCAGCGTTCCAAGTTTCCTGGTGTAGGCCGTTTGCTTCCTGGCCGTCATCCATTTTGGGTGTGTGATTGATGATGATGAATTGAACAGAACAAAAGGAAACCGCGTAATCTCGGATGAGGCCTAAAATCAATTTGGTCACGTGAAATATGTCTCAGTTGTACAGATCTCATTGGATGTAAGCTCGCGCCATCTACGAACATGCGATGGAATGTCGCGATGTTTGATCTCATAGCGAAGCCTAAGGTAGCTTAACGGCATCAGCAATTGGATCAGAAAAGGGTCTGGGCGGATGATCCATCAGGCAGATCGGAAATTGACGAACCAGGCTCTGGAACGAGCCTCTTGCCTATCAAAGCCTCAGCGGGATTAAAAACGAGTGGAATTACAGCGGAGTTTACCTCCTGCACGTCAGCGGAGATAACGTAAATCCCTGGACTCAGTGCGGCGTTTGGCAGGCTTCTCACTCACGCAAGCAAAAAGCTTACACTCCCTCAACCTACTAAAACCAGACAGACGAAGCATAAGATTCCCAATTGGCTTTCTTCTTTTTCTTAACATCACTTTATATCTACAATACCTCGTCTCTAGTTGTCAAAGTTTCCCTAAAAACCGTTCTCGCCTCATATATCACCTTCACTATGCATCTTATCCTTACTGGTGCCACAGGCCTGGTTGGCTCTGGTGTCCTTGACGCAATGGTCAAAACGAAGGAGATTACGAAAATCTCCGTTCTTAGTCGTCGGCCAGTGAAATTCGCTGAAGATTTAAAAGACCCGCGAATCAATGTTGTGATTAACAAGGATTTCGAAAACTATGACCCTGCAGTGCTCTCTCAGCTCAAAGATGCGACTGGCTGCGTTTGGGCTCTCGGAATTAGCCAAACCCAAGTAGACAAAGAGTGCGTATCTTCGCAGAGCTAGGCGACTTAGTAAGCGATTGCTAATCGAGATTGATGTAGAGAATATGTCAAAATCACCAAGACCATGGCGTTGAAAGCTGCGGAGGCGTTCCAGTCGCTGCCACCCAAGAATGAGCCCTTCAATTTTGTCTACGTCTCAGGGGCCGGAGCGACGACCACTCCTGGCAGATTCTCAGCCATATTCGCACGTATCAAGGGCGAGACGGAACTGGCACTAGCAGAGCAACGCAAGACGAACCCTGCTTTCCACGCCTCTTCGATCCGCCCTGCCTTTGTGGACGCGGCAGCTCACCAAGCCATCAAGCCTTATCTGCCCGTGCCAACTCTCAGCATCAGGGCACTTCAAGGTGGTCTAGGCCCTATCATAAGGAACGCGATGCCCAGTCAATGGAGCCCGACTGAGCAATTGGGACGGTTCTTGACAGAGGTTGCCATGGGTAAACACAAGAGCGCCCTTGTTGCTGGTCCTGGTGTGCAGATGGTAGGCCAGTTTCCAATCGTGGAGAACTCCGTTTTCAGGAAACTTGCTGGGCTTTCATGAATCTACAGCAGGGAACATAATGAGTTGTTTTTTGTGTATGAAGCGCTTCAGTCACGGTCTATACAATCTATTCAATGGTCATAGAGGGATAATGATAATCAAAGACACAATAGTAAGACTGTATTTCCATGCTTGGATTTGCGCGAGTTTATGATCTTTCATCCAGTTTCTTATATGACCCAGATGGACCCATCATTCGCTCATATATGAGCAGCTAGATTTACATGGTCAATGATGCTTATACACCATATTCATCAATAACACTCCTTGACTCAGCGAATCCATCGCCCAATCCCACAGGCGCCATCTTTAAGCCAAATCCTTCCGGACCACCAACCTTCATCCCCTTCTCCGTTTTCCAAAGCGGGTGTGCTGGTAACGCAATGACATTAACTCTCAGTCCGTAACGTAGATCCTGAGACCCGATCGCTTCGCCATCTTGGCCAAGAATCGAAATCAGGTCAGGGACTGTGCAAACAACCTCTTCTGCTGCCTTCTCGCTTCCATTTGCCACTGGATCAGTGAGAGCTGCGTACAGATACTCATTCTGGAAGGGTATGATCATGTGCCTATCCGTGGGCACTGTCTGGCTAGTCTGATTGGAGCTTGAAGACTCGCGGTCGTCTTCACTGAGGGGCGCGATAATCACAGATCCCATGGTGTAACCCCCGCCAATGAAGCGGCGGACGTCGATAATTTTACCTGTGAAGAGAAGCTTTCCAGCACATACATCAAACTATAACAGACAACAAAATTTAGTAAAAGTCCATGCATCGAGAATCAAAGCGAGGAACAATGGCTAAAGGGACAGCCATCAGTGCTCTAACTTACGATGGCGTCGACGTAGCTGGTCTTCTTCCGCCGAGCGAGGTGAACAGCGCGGCCAAGATACCATGCCAGAGATAACGTGTTGGGGATACCACAAGATTTGATGGTCGATCCTGGCAGTGGGTTGGCACACACCGCACAGCCCAGGCCAAGCTCGATAGCCGACGTTCGCAGGAGACTTTCTAATCGAACAGGATTATCGACATTCTAGTACGGAAACAAGTTAGCTAAAGGCGCGAGCTCAAAGAAGCAGGGCAGTAGTCATACCATGATGATAGAGGTGTTCCCCCGAGCATCAGAGAGGGCGCACGGCGTGAGCGAGTACCCGTAAACACTAAATATTGCTACTCAAGTTTCAGCAGACTGAGCGGGCTAAGTGAATAGACTGGAGAATTTGACTCATACCGTGATACATGGTAGGATAGGCTCTGCCCATGGCATCACCGTCAATGACAGGAACATCAAAGTAAACGCTGGAAGGGAAAACACTCATTCCATTGCCACCTCCGCTGGGTTTCTGTTAGTGAGAGGTATCTTACGCCTTCGCTCGAGAAAGAAGGAAAAGCCTTGAAAACAGTGACTTACATTTCGTCGATAAAAAGGCCATCAAAAGTCTTGTTACCAAGAACCTTGTTAAGAGCCTCGATACCTGTGGCAATTTCCTTGCCTCCCGCGATGCGTTCATTGATCACACTTGGACTGCCATACCAGGAGCCAAAGCAAACCGTGTCATCATCCTTAAGCGACTTTGGAGAAATAATCCGCATCTTGCCTTGGGGACTAGATCGCAGGGCTTGTAAACTCTTGAGGAACTCGTGGTGCGTAGGCCCGCCTCCACCAGTTCCCAGTACACCACAACCTGTGGCGAACATCTCCAGATCAACTTCAGATACGTACCAGACGCCATCTCGTACCTCCGGTCGATAGGTCTCCAAATCAATTCTAAGAGATGGTTTGGTGGTAGGTGTCAGAGCGTCGGCGACACTGATTTTTTGGCCCTCGTCTTCTTCAACATCACTCTCAGCCTCGGCTACTAGGGTTGATGAGGGAAAAACGAGGTCATCCGGGATGGACAGGCGGCCAACAGCCCGAATCTGGATCCTCGTGGCACCATTATGCATGTACTGCAAGGGCATCTTATTTATTTCCACGATCTGGACATCTTCAGGGGCGGCGCCCTTCTCAATTGCCAGGTCAATAGCCTTTTTGGAGGCAGCGTCAATCATTTCCTTCTCAGAACGCCCTTCAGGGATTTCCACGACGTCGATCTCGCCCGAAACTTTCGCAATGGCAGCACCAACAGCATTGGCGGCCCCTTGATGGATGGGACGCAGACACTTTTCTACGCCGTCCAAGTCTTCTGTAACCAGGAGAGCACCGCCTCCGACCAGTAGGACGTGAACAGGAGCAGCGGAAACCTTCATCTGTTCAATGACGCCTTCCAGCATCCTCTTTATTTCTTTCCGTGCGTTTTCAACAACCGAGGCAGTGACATCTTGTACGAGGCCCCTGTCACCCAGCTCGGCTTTACCCAAAGCGACAATAATGTCACTGGTCGTCAGGGTTTGTCCACCAAATACTTTGGCTTCCTGTTTGAGGTAGTGGCCAACAGAACCTGGGCCGACGGTGACAGAGCCATCCTCAGCCACACGAACCTTGCTTCCTCCACCCAACCCGATGGAAACGACTTCAGGCATGGAAAATGCTGTTCGCACCCCGCCGACCTCGACAAAGCCAGGCGCCTGGCGAGGAAAGCCAGAAGGAAGGAGAGCGCACACATCTGTGGTCGTACCTCCAATGTCCACGACAAGAAGTTGTGCCTGTTCCTGTTCCTGGTCGGATGAGGGGCTGTTGTCCTTCCGGGCCTCCTTTTGATGATCAATGCCAGCGAGGAAAGCAGCGCCAGTCATACTGTTGGTTGGTCCGCTGGCAAATGTCTTGATTGGGTACTCAGCAGCCGTGTCGGCGTCAATGAGTGTTCCGTCATTTTGCGAGAGGTACAGCGGGCATGAGAGGTTGAGTCGCCTCATGGCACGCTGAAACCCCCTCTTTACCCTATGGCCAGTGCGCAAGATGGCAGCGTTGAGGATAGTGGCATTCTCTCTCTCCAACAAGCCAGTTGGGCCGATATCATGCGAACACACGACGTGGAGATCTGGCGCTTCTTCGAGCAGAATGCGCTTGCACTGCTCCTCGTGAGCACCTTCATGGTCTAGAGGGGAGAAGATGCCAACCAAGGCGATAACCCTGACACCAGAAGCAACGACATCCCTGGCTGTTTGGCGGATCTGCTCAGGGTTCAAGGGAGCTATCTCACGACCATCGATCTCGTGGCCGCCATCGAGATAGTACGCACCCCCGTCAAGGATGGTTCTAAGACCAACAGGAAAGTCAGAGAACGGCACAATCTGTCTAGCAAAGGGCCCGCAAAGACGTACAACAGCGACACGATCTAGCCTCCTCGCGTCAGCCTCGACAAGTGCATTGATAAAATGCGTAGTTCCTATTGTGACGCTCAAGACGCGAGTCTGGTCGACTTGCGACTCCTGCAGCACAGCGCGGATGGCAGACTCGATACCACTGGTGATATCTGGGGTTGTCGAGGCCTTGTGTGAAGCAAGAACACCTCGGCCCGGGCTGTCAGCCGCCCTGATATCAAGGATGGCGGCATCCGTGTTGGTGCCGCCCACATCAACGCCAATACGGTAGAGAGACATACGGACGAGAGCAAGGGGAATCTATGCCGGTCCAGTAGACAGAGTAAACAGAGAAATTCATGTCGTTCTTGTAGTTGATCACCGAACTCCCGCGGCTATACAGAGCCCCACGGCTAGTTCATGCGAATATCGCCTCAACCAAGACGTGTCGTCAAGTTGGCCGATGGTGACGAGATTAGGTGACATCGGCGAACTGAAGTTGACCGATCAGCGCCCAAAATCGCTCGTTACAGCGGCCCACCGCCCCTGATGACGAACTACAGGCGCTACGTGACCTGCTCCAGCACGTGAAGTTGGCCGATCGCAAAACTAATCAAACTCTCCACTCCTCCCGTCATTTTTTGGTCGCGATCTAAAAATCAGCCTATCTGTGTTCCAGTCCACTCGATCCTCCGCGCCTCGGTCAACGGCAGTTGTAATCCACCACCCACCCGCTCGCTTGGCGCAAGTAAGAGACGAGGAGTCAGATAAAGGCAGCATAGAGTATCATATTAAATTAGATGCTCTCCCAGCGCCCAAAACCCATCTCTACACCCTTCTTCTGCAGTTCTCTCTCTTACCCCTATTTCTCCAATTCGGCTTCATAATGGATGTAAAATCGCTGCTGAAGCGCATTGAGCTGCCCCACGGCTCACGATGGATTGTATGTTCTCCATCTCTCCCACACCTTCACTGAAACATCTTACTCGTATTCCATCATATCCGGGGACTGACTTGTCTTGTTTAACGCGTAAAGAATGACGACTTGCGCCCAATCGAGACCGAGAGACGCACATGGAATTTTCTCACTTTCCACAACTATTGTATGTCTTGATATCACTATACATCTCGCCCACAATCAAACCGCGAGATCCTTTTCTGACATGAGCCAATAGGGCTGCTCGTCAATTGCAACATCGCGACCTTTCTCACCGGTAGTGCTCTAATTCCTCTTGGTCTGACCTGGTGGCAGGCCATCATTGGTGTGTACACTTGCAACCAAACCCTCGCCCTATGAAGATCCATCTTCTCTGACACGTAGACCAGCCATTGTGATCGGGAATATTCTTGCCACTACTGCACTTGTACTCAGCTCCCTTGCCGGAGCCTATTATCACGGTATGTAGGAGCCCACTCCATGTCTTGATGTCTTTGATCTAAACAAGTGGTTCTCGTCACAGTTGGGTTCTCTGTCTATAGTCGAGCAGTATGGGGTGTCTGGGGCTCCCAGTTTGTGATTTGGAATAGAATTTTCCTCGCATTCGGTATGTTACAATAATCTCTGAGCCCAATTAACCATGTCTAAGCTAACTCATCGACCTGTTCATAGTTTGGTATGTTCACGCGGATAGATCTCTTCATCGACATCAGTTCTAACTTCGACGCGATATAGGTATGGTTTTCAGTCATGGGTTGGCGGCGAGTGCATATACTTGATTCTGCTTTCCTGGGATCCGAATTATGAGCAACGTATCCCAAACACGATACCCGCCGAGACAGGCATGACTTCAGCCCAGTTTCTCGCCTACTTCATTTTCTCCATCATCAGTCTCCCAACTCTCTGTATTAGACCTCACCGCCTGCAGAACTTCTTCTATTTTGCCAGCGCAGTCACGTTGATCTTCTTCATCGTCCTCCTTATCTGGGCTCTGGCTACCATGGGCCCCTCAGGATTCGGAAGCACACTTGACTCGACTGCCACTCTACCCATCACCGGCGGGCCTTCCAGCACCGTTTGGTTGATGATTTCGGGTATCATGTCCACTGTCGGCTCCATCGCCGCCGGCATTCTTAACCAGAATGACTATGCTCGTTTCGCCACCAAGCCCCGCGACGCCATCTGGGGCCAAGTTCTTCCTTACCCTCTGTACAGTATCTTTGCCTCAGTCCTCGGCATTCTAGTCACGGCCGCTACCCAGGAACGGATGGGAGGCGAGGCCATCTGGAACCCGCCCACGCTTTTCGTTCGCCTTCTTGAACAGAACCCCAGCGCCGGGACACGTGCTGCTCTGTTCTTTTCTGGTCTGGCACTCTGCATATCTCAGATTGGAAGCAGTCTGCCGGGGAATGCCCTTGCCGGCGGCATTGACCTCTCAGCTGTGCTTCCACGATACATCAACATTCGCAGAGGAGCGTTCATCGTCGCGATTCTGAGTCCCATTGTCAATCCGTGGCGCCTGGTGAACACAGCGACCATCTTTCTCACTGTTTTGTCAAGCTACGGTATTTTCCTTGCACCCATGACAGGTATTATGGCTTCGCAGTACCTCCTGGTCAGCAAGCAAAAGGTCAATGTGGATGACTTGTACCGAGGCGATTCTCGAGGTATATATTGGTATACCAAGGGAGTGAACTGGCGTGCCCCCATCTCCGTAAGTGTTTTGTTTCCTAAACCTCTCGCCCGAATGTCCACGAGCTAATAAACTTCATACGATAGTGGATTGCCGGTGTTATACCACCCTTGCCCGGGTTTATTGCTGCGGTCAATACATCCGTGACAGTCAGTGACGGGGCCACAGAGCTTTACTATCTGAACTATCTATTTGGTTTCCTCGTCAGTGGTCTTCTATATTGGGTCCTGCATCTCGTATTCCCCGACGAGAAGTCCGATGAGTTTGTGCGCAACAGCCAGGATGCCAAGACGCTCCAGCAGATGTATCACACCCGGTGGGACGTGACCCTGGCTGAGACGTGGGATCTGCTGAACGAACCGGCTGTGGTAAGTTTGACTGAAGCTGGTAAAGAACCTACTGTGGCTGAAGGTGGTAAAGAACCTGCTGTGACTGTGGGAGTTCCTAAAGGATCTCAGACTGCGTGATTCGTTTTATATGTTGCTTCTTGTGTGTGTAATTCGTGGGTAGGATTGGAGTACATTTCTCATTTATAATATCGAATCTTCTTGTCTTATACATAAGCTTATCTTTAATTGAGGACATTTCTTTTGCTCCGTTCGGAGATCGAGCGGTGCTCAGCGGGCAGTCTCTGCTGACGTCGATTGGGCTCTCACTCATGCATGTGATCTGATGACTCCAAACCCTGTCAGGCTTGCGGCATTACCATATCCAAAGGCGGAATCAAGAATCGACATGGATTGGAGTTGCATTGGACAGAGGGAATGGACGTATAAATAACTGCCTATCATGTCGCCGACTGTGAAGATTCACAAAAACCACATCACTCCACCAAATGCAATAGATACATATCTCCCTTCCTCGCCTATTCATCCGCCACAAATCTCACCGCAAGGATTCAAAAACAAGATGCCAACCCCAATTACACCGCTTTCCACTGTTTTCGAAGCTATTGGCATCATAGCTAAATATGCCGGAAATCACGTGGCATACTTGCGAGAGGATGCACCATCTGCACAAACTCTCCTCCACACTCCACTGAAGCCACGTCAAGCAAAGATTCCTCACAGGAACCAACGAAACCATAAATACTATAATTAATACCAACTTTAGCCTCATTCGAAAGGCGATATCGAAATCATAGACTTCACAGGCCGAAGTGGCGTCATTGATACTTCGGCTTGTTGCCTATCATGTATAATCAGATCCCACTCCCCTTTATATTAAATTTCACAGACCTGAGTAACAGGTAAAGGAAACGAGAGGAAATATATATCGGCCATGTCCTTCTTTCCACAATGTATTACTACCTATCAATATTTGAATGATATCCGATTCAGTTTCAAAAGTATCAAGGCATTATCAATGGCTTGGATGTTTTACTCTCAAGAATATTCTCTCAGGATAAGTGAGTTGTTGAGCAGGTTACAGCTAATAGCCCGGTTCGAACAAAATATATAGGTATCTCAACTTCTCGAGCAAAGTACTACGCAAATTGCTAGTAACCTGAAATTGCAGACTGTCATGTGGTTTCTTTTTAAAGTTTCCATTGACAAGGGAAATGCATATAGCAACCTTTTTTGTTCCTCTCACCATCCCTTTCTCTCTAAGCAGCTACTAGTTTTCTTTCTCCCAAAATAGCAAAATGGCATGTTTTAAGGTTGGTTGTGATTGATTTGTCCGTCTCCTAACAGGGAAAACATGCTCTCGGGTAGGTGGATGGTCTAGACAGAATCCCGCTTTTCATTCCAGTCGTTCGCCCACGTGCTCTGATAAGTGTCCAAGCTAACAAAACGATCCATCAATAATTTATATCTCCTCGATAATAATTCTGCTTTTCAAGGCTTTTTTCTGCAAGGCTATCTGCTACTTGCCTCAAAATACTATTCAAATGGCCACCAACCCTGGGTTCCTGCGATTTGCCAGTATGCCAAGCCCAATCCCTCATTGAAATCTCGCATCGTACACTGACATCAACTTGCAGGCCCTGGTGAGCAGCGTTGCATCGCTCGTGAGGTTCTTGGTCTGTACAATTGCGTTGTCGTTGGTGCCATCTACACATTGCCGAGCGACTTCGGATCTCCTACTCAGCCCGAGGCCTGCTTCCATCCGCTCAAGCGCTGCGTCCAGGACCATCCTTTTCTCAGCGTTGTCGTGCGCGATATACAAACAGACAAGCCTTTTTACGAGCAGATTCCCACTGTGCAGCTATCCCAGCATGTCTCCCTCCTGCCCCCCAGCGATCAAAATATAACCGCTGCAATTCAGGCCGCGCTTGCTCCAGAACTTGATCGTCCATTCGCAGACGGCATACCTCCATGGCGCATTGTCGTGCTCCCGCTGAAAGAACCATCTTCTTGCTTCATCGCGTTCGCCTACTCTCATGTCCTTGGAGATGGGGCATCTGGGGCTGCCTTTCATCGAACATTCCTTAAAGCCTTAGCTGAAGGTGACGGCGGCAAGCCAGGCAAAACCTCAGAAACGGCCCCTGCGTCACTCAAACTACTTGCGCCTCCATTCGATACGCCTGCACGGCTGCCAATTACTTGGGGGTTTCTTCTAGGACCGCTCATCGCCAGCTTTCTACCGGCCTTCATTGCACGACTGCTTGGTATCCATGATGCGGCCTCACACGTCGACAATGGGACCTGGACTGGCGGCCCTAATGCTTAATGGGGAGGGGATCTGGCTACTCGGATCATAGTCAAGGAGATAGAAGCTCCCGTACTGGATAACGCCCTGCGAGCAGCAAGGGATCATGACACTAAACTCACGGCCATCCTCCAGGCCCTCATCGTCGGCGCCTTAAGTAAGGCTATTCCAGATCCCAAGATCACCAATTTCGTTTCACAGACTGTCCTCAACATGAGACCTGCCGTTGGTATTTCCGCCGACCAGATGGGAAATATGACTTCTGCGGCCTATCCAATCTACCCTCGTTCCAATTCTCAAAGCGACACATTCTCGGATAGCGACTGGGCTGTCGCACGGGACGCCACTCGAGAACTTGCGGAAAATGCATCAAGGCTACGGGATCAAGCCATCGGGTTATTACGATTTGTTATGAGCGTGCGTATGTGGATGCTAGGGAAACTCGGACAGCGACGAGAATGCTCATTCGAGCTCAGCAACCTTGGGGCGGTCGACGTCAGCCATTATCCGGACGCGCCTGGGGCAAAGATCACCAAGATCATTTTCTCGCAAACCGCAGCTGCTATTAGCGTCCCGATTAATTTCAATTTCTCGGCCGTAAAGGGTGGGGAGGGTCTCATCTACACTGTAACTTGGCAGAAGGGTGCATTGAACATGACCGAGAAAGATGAAGGTGACTTTGTGGAAGGGCTGTGCCAATCTCTGTCACAAGGGCTTGAAAATCTACGATAGTGTGTTCTTATATACGGATGAGAGTTCGAACACACAGTAAAAACAGCAATGGAAGATAAGCTACGGCAAACAATTGAAACAGCCTCAAAGAAATGACGTTTGCCAGTTGTAAAAAAAGCAGCAAAAAGCAAGGAAACGGAATGACAACGCAGAGAAATGACAGGTCAACAATCTGCCCTCATCAGGTTGGTAAAAGCTCAAAGAAGCAAAGCCGGTCCAGCTGAACTGAGACAACTGAGCTCAGCCCAGATTACTTAATCAATTCATGCTTATATTTTAGAGCCCGACGCTGCCATCTTTGGGCCGTCATTTCTGTGTCTTGCATCCATCACCACTCCTCCATAAGTGAACCCTGAATACTCACACATTCTTTGATTGATCGCCCAAGCAACTCTATCTTTCAACAGTATACAGTCAGGATGGTTGCCATCTATGAGATCTTGCCCAATGAACTTTTGGATTCAATTCTTGCCTTCCTCCCCTTGCCTGACCTCGAGGCATTCGGCCTCACCTCGAAGCACTCCAAAGAGGTCGCTCAGAACCGCCTGCAAATTCAGCGAGATGTATACCGCAAAGCTGCAACCTTCAAAGTGGATGCCTTCTGCCAGCGAGGACCTGTTCCCTGGCTTGCGCCAGTAATTCAGGTTCTCCGTGAGCCATTCTTTGGAACTTATATCCAAAATCTGGATACGGACGTCTTTGCAGCAGACAGGACGCTTGCAGTATGCTTGAAACAGAGACCCGGGAGTACTAGACGCGATTTCGTGCCTGATTCCGACTGGTCGCTCCTCCAACAGGCGGCACAGAGCTGCTTCGCCGACTGGTTCCATGTTGACAATGAGCCAAAATATCGGGAGCTTTTCTTCAACAGTGTCAATAATTTGGAGTCTTCGGCACTCCTCGCCATATTAGCCTGCCATCTCCCAAATCTCCGAGTCCTCACACTCTCCACCGAGTGCTATGGTGGGATGGTGAGTCTCCCATGGTTTTTAAGGTTGGCTCAGAGCGTTCATCTGAGCCCAAAGGCACCACTCCTCGGTGGTGAACCCTTTACTCGTCTAGAGCATCTCAAGGGCGATTCATACAACGGCATCTATGGCTTGGATTTCCAGTCCATCGCTCCATTCATCGCACTCCCAAGTGTACGGTGGCTTGAAACGCCGCAGAACCACGAGCAGGGGTTTAATTGGCCATCCTACCTCCCTCGATCCAATGTTAGAGAGATCGTGCTCGATGGGAGTTCGATCCCGGAGAATGTCATCAGGAAATTCGCTGCAGAGGGCCTCAAAGGCCCCTGTGTCATCAGGCAAGCGTGGACTGTCAGGACAGATGGCGAAACGCCTTCCCCAACATGGAACCGACTGGAGATTCCTTTTGCAGGGGCCGAGGCGGAGGACCATATAGTAGAGTTCAGACTAGATAGAGATCCTTACATGGTACCATTCGGTGACCCATGGTACTCGAATATCGGATGGGAGGTTAAGGGTGGAGGAAGTCTGCTCGGGAACAAACCAGTTCTGCACGCGGAGGGGATTTATTGGCACACTCCAAAAAACCAGTAAACATTGCGTCTAGATGGATTCTCGGACAGCTTTCAGTTTGTGTTCTTTCTTTATTAGTCATGAGTTGAGTTAAATTCGAAATGATTGTTTAGCCATACAAATACCCTCATTGTAAAACTCGATGTAATTACCCTTCCATAAGATTGTGGTCAAACACACACAGCTCTAGCTCTTCCATGTATGAGTGACCCCATGCGGCGCATAGCCGTGATATCGTACATAATACCTCTCTCTACTTTCTCCAAATACAATGTAGGTAATGTAGGACATATCCAGTGTGCGTCCATGCCAATTTTCCCAGTGCAAAACTCGCCCCCGTCGCCCCAAGGATAGTAACGGCCCCGACTGCCATGAGATCCCAATTTCTAGCCTTGTACAATGGCATCCGCATATCTGCTGTCTGTAGATGCATCGGACGTATCTCTTTGCCGTCTTGATAACGCAGCTCTGTGTCATACATGAGCTCCTCGATGAGATCGGCACCATGATGTTTCCGCCGTGACGCGATATGAGCAATCCGTTTGAGCCTCAAAACATTCCGCCCAAATAGACCATCCTTATCCTTAATAATCTTTTTCGCCTTGGCATAGAGCTCCTCAGAAGTGAAGTGGAATTTGTTGAGCGACTCGGCAACGCCGCCCCCGACAAGGCGTGCAGTGTTGGCAATCTGATCTGAGAAGATGCCCATTGACAGCATGGGCTTTCCGTGGAACAAGCCTTCGTTGGCGCTAGATCCGCCTCCATGAGTGTAGTAGATATTGACCGAGTCGTGATCAAGAATTGCACGCTGCGGGGCGAAGAATGGGAAGTAAAATTGCGAGTTCTTTCCTTCGACGAGATCACCAAACCGTATCGCCTTGCCATGGAGCTCGTATGTCTGGTTCATGTCCATGTCTTGGCGCCCACTCTTACCCACTGCCCAGATTACACCATCAATCAGCCCTTCTTCTAGGAGTCGAAGAACACCAGTCGTGATTTTGACGGTATCAGAGCTGGACAGAATGATATGAGTCCCCAGCGCGATATACATGACCTTGCTATGGCTACTTAGAAAGCTCTGGCAGACGTTATCCAATGGTGGATATTCGTCGCCTAGAATGGGGCCGATGGCCTCGCAGAGCGGTGGGAGGTCCTTGGGGATCTCCAGGCCAAAAAATGAGTTGATAAAAAGTAGATAGTCGGGCTTTGAGGGAGTCGGCAGATCATAGTTCACGCCCTCCTTGCGTCGCATTCTTCTCGTCCAGCTAAAGAACTTGAGGATGTGAGGGAGAGCACGAACTATAACCCATTCGTTCTTGAAACGCAACCACATGGAAGCTTTCTCCGAGGTGAGTGTCCCGTCAAGCTGGAATCCCGGTTGACCCGGGATATAGGAGCACGGCATCATCAACATAGGCATTTGCGGCCAAACCATGGCAATCGGAACGTGATACTGCACGTGGATATCCTTGACCGCATCGACGAAGAAGTCTCCGATCGACATATCAGGTCGTGCCGCTGGAGCTTGGTCCATGATCTTTTTTAGCCCATGATAGGACATTGGCCAAAAAGAATCAAACATATACTTGGAGATCATGGAGTTTCCAAGACCCTTGGACATGTCCCATTCGCGCATACGGAGGTAATGGGCGTCCATTTGCTTCTCAGTAGGGCCAGGGCCCAACGAATGGACACGGGAGATGAATTCATAGCCTTTGGTCCATTTTTCTTGGCCATCCAGTGTTGCAAATTCTACGGCGTGGCCCCGATCAGCCAGCACTTTACCCAATTCAAGGACAGGAGCTGGATATCATCTGTCAGCAAGTTTGATAACTTTGGTGAAGTTATATACTCACCTGCGTGCGTATATCCTCCTGTTGTCACCACGAGCAGAATTCTTTTAGGTGGGTGGACTTCCATGACGGCGATTCACTAAGATTGCGAAGAGTGCTGACCTCTTGACTTAACTAGATCACTTCCATCTCTCAGATTATAAGTGGTATGATATTCGGGTTTCGGAATTCATGCGATGCGTCACGTCGTGGATTCTGCCCTTCCGAAGGAAAGTCTAGCCGGGGTTCGGGAAATCATGGATCGGGTTTAATTTGGCTGTTTGTCTTTCATTGATAGCGAATCTACAAATGGTATGAATATTTCTCTATGTATGCCAATTCAACAAGCCAAAATTCGATTCTCGTCTTGTACTGAAAGAGACTGGAGGGAACGGAACCAGGATATCAACAGCATTCATCCCCATCCATCAGTTGACGACAAGCTAGGCACGCCTTGGCTGCAGGTCAGCTTAGGCCAGCTCACCAGAAAAAGAGCTTACGTTTCTGATTAATTGGAAAGGTGGGGAAGAGAAGATAATCTATGAATAAAGTCCCTAATAACGAGCAAAGTCCCAAATGAGGTCATCAGCATCTCTTCATCACCTAAGCTTCAGGCAGACAATTAATTACATGCTTGGCTACGGCGCCGAGCCTCGCCCTCTCAATTACTATATTTGATACAAAAGGACACATTGCGTTTTCTATGATTTTCTATTCTTGACATCACAAGTTGAACTTTGCCACATCATAATGCAGTTTAGCCAAGGTGGTAGCAATTGTCTCATTCAATTGATCAATTGCATGAATGCTAATAACAGCTGTTGGCTCTGCCATGGGACGATGCATTTCTTGAGACGTTGTTGGTTGTGTATTGATGGGCCGGTTTATTTTTAAGCCATCCATGGGGGTTATCAATCGCCTATGCATTGGCATCACCAACGTCTAGAAACTAGGAAACAAAACAATAGAATAGCGCCATTGATATTGCTTCTGCATACCAACTGCATATCATGCCTGAGCCAACCGGTTGGAAGGATTCGGTTGGTGCCGTGCAGCACCAGGAGACGGGCCTTGCTTGGTGTCGTGTGTGCCAACTGCAGCTCTCTGTCTAATTTTAGGGGCCGCCGCAACAAGGTACAACAGTTATTAGTGCCTAGAGCATTAAAATATTAATGAGCGATCCTTGTGCGAGCGGTTGGGTCGCTGACCACAAACTGGGGCACTACCAACATCCTCCGGAACAGGCAACTCCCATCTTCTAATACAATGGCTGGGGATTGCGAATCGTAATATCAGCGCCCCTGATCACTTGCGGAATCTGCCCACTGTGGGCTAGCGCTGACCGCGTGTGGAAGGCGATGCTGGTTGGCAGGGGACTTCGGGGCCCAGCGTATGAGAAGGATGATCCATTTGCGAAAGGATTCACAGGCTTACTGGCCGTGCTGTTATATTTAGCAGCACGCGCTTGGATCTTCAACTTTATATATAGACCGGTGCCGAAAAAGACATATATACCACTTCTCTCCTCCGCCCCGTCGCTCACCGCTCGTCTCGACCATCCACCGATCACATCACACCAGAGCCTGTCTACGTGCTTTGCAATCTCTACCATTTAATACAATTCCTTAAGTCGCGGTCCAACCGATCAATCACACTGCCACTTTCAAAATGGTCGCTATCAAGCAACTCAGCGCCGCCGCCCTTGTCGGGTTCGGTCTTTTCAGCCAGGTTCTCGCCTCCCCCGGCGATGCCGCACAAGACCTCGCTGCCAGAGCCGAGGGAGCCGAGGTCGCTTCCGAGGTTTTCGCCCGAGACCCCGCCCTCGAGGTCGAGCGAGCGATCGAGGAGGACCTGAGCGAGCGCGATCTCGAGGAACTGGAGGAGCGCGACCTTGACGAGTTCCTTGACGAGCGTGACCTCGAGGACATTCTCGACGAGCGCGATCTTGAGGAGATGCTCGACGAGCGTGATCTCGAGGAGCTCCTGGACGCACGTGATCTCGAGGAGCTCCTGGCCGAACGAGACTTCGAGGAGGAGCTGGAGGCGAGAGCGTACGAGGACGAGTTGGAGGAGAGAGATTTCGACGAGGAGCTTGAGGAGAGAGACTACGATGAGGAGCTTGAGGAGCGAGACTTCGAGGAGGAGCTTGAGGAGCGAGACTTCGAGGAGGAGCTCGAGGAGCGAGACTTCGAGGAGGACTTGGAGTAAGGGGACTGGACCAGAGCTAGGAAGTTGGACGTCTACTTTCCTGTTTTTTCCAAGTTTTTCTTAATCCTTGCAGCCTGAAGCGTTATTGTGCATTTGTTAGAAAAATCAACCACCACCTAAACATTGAACAGAGCGCGATTTATCACTGAATACGTAAAGCATGCCACAGACTCCAGAGTGACCAACCTGGCAGGAGTAGTCAACATGATTACAATTCTCCATATCACAGCCGGGCCTTTGCCCACGAACTCGTGACAACATACTAAATGGGCTTTCCACAGGCCAGGAGTTCGCCAAACTATCATTTACTTACGAAATCTATAGGATCGCTCTGCAATTGCTCCGCGAATTTCTTGCCAGAATATTATCTTCGCGAAGCTTGGACACCTGATTGGCGATGATTGAGTTTCGCAACCTTCTCGTTGCTTGTAGGCGTCGGGCCAATATCTCAGCTTCCAGACTGTGCAATTCCCATAGAATCAAGATAGTTTTTATCATCAATGCACGCCTTTCTTGTATTTCAGCGGGCAAGTAAGCCCCGTCGGGGGTGAGAATTGACTGGATAGACATGATCTCATCTAGGAATGCTAAGCAAAGCGAAAGTGTATCCGGCCAAATCTCTATAACGAGGTCGCACCGCTGGTCTTCAAAATATCCATGACCATGACTACTTAAATAACAAGAAGCCTTATGAAAAAAAGAGAGAAAAGTCCTTGATTAAAATTCTGAAATTGTACGCGACGCAACCACCACCCTCTCGGCCCATGACACGCCGTAGAAACCCCCAGGCGTCTCGTCTCGCCTTGACACAACGTCCTAAGGACGTAGAGGAACTATATATATATACACATATGAACCTCTCCTTTTCTTACAATTTTTTACCGGCGCTCTAAAGAATTCTCAACCAGCTTCAATCCAAAATCGAAGTCAGCCAATTTGTCATTTGGTCCGTTTTAACGTCCTTTCTCCCACATTTAATCA